AGTGACGTCACAGGTGGTATGCGCGAACTGAACGAAATTGGAGCCGCTATCGATCATACCTTATATTCTTTGTACCATGGGACACAGGAAACATTTCAGCTTAATGTACCTCAGAGAATAGGTACATTGGGATAGATAACACTGATCAAAGGGTGCAACAGTAGTGTTCATCTTCACTTTCCATTGAAGTTATTCCTGATAAAATACTTTTAATAATTTTCGTAATTCAGTTTCTGTCAATTGCGGTAAAACCACAACTAGTTTGTTACGAAAGTTTTTAATGTTTATTAAAATGATATCCCACTGAACTGCTTGTAAACATATCAATTTCAAATGTTTTTATGAAAAACTATTAATAAATCACTAACACAATCACACCATAAACTATTTAATTCGCATTTGTCATCAAAAACAATTACTGTTTACAGCTGTTTACATCAAATCAAAGATTGAACTGGTGATATTTGTTGCTGGAAATTCTATCTTTTTTGTACAACAGTTATAGGGAAGATTTATTTTAGCAGCTTATATTTTTCTTCGGTCGTGTATGCACTAAAAAGAACCATATAATGAAACAATTTTATAATAACAACTTAGAAAAAGAATATCTAAAACCGGCATCTGATATAACCTAACTTCTAACTTACTTTTCAAACTCAAATTTAAGGTTGCAACCACGCACATTGTTCAATTAGAAAAAACACGTTTCTAAAAGCTAAATCTGGTAAAAATATGCCCAAATATTAACTGAACTCTATAATTTATAACAAAATAGTAATTCTTGCCATAAGAAGCTGTGTATTTCTCAATCTGTCGGATCACATGCGCCCCTAACGGCGATTTTTGAACTTCATTTAGATCTCAAAAACTGGGCCCATAATTTTTGCGTTCGATTCGCCTCCTCCTTCTAGCCTCCATACAAAAAACATTAATAAGAATAATAACATTTTTAACAACAATACTACAATCTATAGGCGCAAGGGAAATCTGTCATCATCGATTTTTGTGCAACACGGTTCGTGATCGCGGTAAAATGTAAGTTGTTTTGTCTCCCTTTATTTAGATGTCTTTGGTATGGATACATCAATGAGATATACTGTTTTTTTATTTTGTTTATAAATACTATGTCTGGTCGGTTGGCATTAATTGTCTTATCCGTGTGAATGGGGAGATCGTAATAAACTTTATAGGATGCATTTTCAGTTATTGATTGTGGATGGTATTGGTAATACGGGGTCGTGATGGTTTGTATTTTGTGTACATTAATCAGTCCCTTGTAAATTATTTTTGCAACGTTATTGTGTCTGTCTGTATATTCTGTTGCTGCCAGAAGTCTACATCCTGCTGTAATATGCTCGATGATTTCCGGTGCAAGGTGGCATTTTCGGCACGCGTCTGATGTTACTGTTCCGTCTTTTAATATATATTTTCTATAGTTCAGAGTATTTACGACATGATCCTGGATTGCTATCGCAAATCCTTCCGTTTCGGGGTACAGCTGTCCCTTTTTGAGCCACATGTGACTTAACTGTTTGTCTACATGTTGTAGTTCAATTACTGCAATATGTTTTCCATGTAAAGCTTTAGATTTCCATTTGTTAATTAGTTCTGTTTCGAGATTGCTTTGTTGGTCATGGTTTTGTGGAAGTCTTTTTAGATGTAGTGGTGTATAGTTATTATCAGCATATATTATTGCGGTATGTAGCGAACTGTTTGATTTTGTCTAGAAGTATTTAGTAAGACCTTCTATTTGTTTCTCACATAGCTCTCTGATGTTGACAATTCCTCTTCCTCCATTCAATCATGTTATCCTTTCTATGCTGGCGTTTGGATGATTCATACAGTATTTAGTTAGTGATGTTCGAATTAGTCTATTCATAGCCTCTAGTTCTGTTTGGGATCATTTTATTATCCCGAAAGAGTAAATTAGTGTAGGGATTACATATGTGTTGATTGCTCTTGTTAGATTACGCGAGTTTAATTTTGATTTCAATATGTTTGTTAGGCGTTTAGAGAATGAGTTTTTGAGCTCTAATTTTGTGTTTCTTTGTTCAATGTGCGTACTTTGATTGAATCCTAGATATTTATATGTTTCGTTCTCTGACATATTTGTTATGTATTCACCTGTTGTTGTTTGAATAGGATCAATTTCCTTCCATCTACCTCTTTCAATGTACGTTGTTTTACATTTGGTATTTCCAAATTGCATATGGATGTCATCACTAAATGTGCTTATTATATGAATGAGTGACTCTAGTTGTGGTTTGGTTCCAGCGTATATTTTTATGTCATCCATATAGAACAGATGGTTTATGGTATGCAAGGTTCTTTTTTGGCTTCTAATTTGATATCCATGTTTGGTTTGTTTTAGTATGTTGGAAAGTGGATTGAGTGCCAAGCAAAACCACAACGCGCTTAGAGAATCCCCTTGAAAGATTCCTCTCTTTATTGGAATTTCCTGTGCTACAATACTTTTGTCTTCTTGGTTTAGATGTATGACGGTTCTCCAACTCTTCATTATATGTGATAGAAAATTTCGTATTATGGGTGATATATTATAAATCTCTAATGTTTTCTGGAGCCAGCTGTGCGGCACAGAATCGAACGCCTTTTGGTAGTCTATAAAGCATGTATATACATTTCTTTGTTGTTTTTCGGCTTGTTGTAGTACTACTGAATCTATAATTATTTGTTCTTTGCACCCTTTGGCGTTTTTTTCTGCAGCCCTTCTGTTCTTCTGCTATTATATTGTTAATTGATGTGTGTTTGTCTATTATATTTGTTATGATTGATGTTATTATTTTATAAAGAGTTGGGAGGCAGGTGATTGGTCGGTAGTTAGCCGGATTTTCTGTTTCTTCACTTTTTGGTTTTATATATGTTTTTCCGCTTGTAAGAAAGTATGGCAGTGTTTGTGGATTATGGATTACCCGATTAATGCTTTTAATTAGCTGATTATGCACACTTGTCATATTCTTATACCAGAAGTTCTGAATGTGGTCTGCTCCGGGTTTCTTCCAATTATGGGTTTTTCTTATTGCTGTTATGAATTCTTCTTCTGTTATTATTATCTCTTCTTCGGTTTTTATATTTCTATGTGTATCTTTTTCCGTTTCTATCCATTCTGTTTTGTCGTTATGCTGTACAGGGTAAGACCAAATATTTTTCCAGAAGTTTTCAATTTTTTCTTGCGTGGGATATCTAAGCTGGTGCTTAGTAGGGTTATTCTTTTTATTTTCTTCTAGGTTGCTATAGAACTTTTTTTCTTTATTTGCGAATAGATTGTTATCAGTTTTTCTTTTGTTTGCCTTCATGTATCTTTTAAGTCTTGCGGAGTATACTGCCAGCTTCTGTTTCATTATTTCTAAGTTTTCCTTAAGGTTGTTCTCATCGCAGTTGGTTTCTTTTATTAAATTGTGTAGCTTTCCTATAATTTTCTTCGTTCGATTTCCCCTCAAGTATTGTGTTAGTCTACCTATATCTGCTCTATATGAATTTATTTTTTGCTGTATTCTTCGTAGCCAAGGAGGGGATTTCTTTGTTATTTTTTCTCTTACTTCAGTTATCAGTCTTTGTTTATTATTTTCAACAACAGTCACAGCTGCGCAGTATAGAAGCGTATGAATGTCTTGAAGAGTACTGTTTTCGTGGATGTATGTTGAGAGGGACTGGTTTGTTATCTTAATGATGGTCTGTGTTTGCTGTTTAAATATTAGCTTTGATATAGCTGGTCTTTTGGTTGGATCTGTATCGGTCCATTTTATAATATTTGTATGCAACTCTGTATTTAATTGGCTTTCTATGTCCGTTGGAGCATTGTTTTCGCATTTATCTTCTATTTGATGACTTTCAGTGTTCCTAATCTCGTTTGGGTTTTGTGGTTGCAGTTTCGGTGTTCTTGATGTGTCACTGTCTATGCTAGTGTTTTCATTTTCTTGGGAATGTGTTACTTGTAGTTCATTGTTTAATTCATTGGCTACTTGGGATTTTATTTCTTCTATGATGTGGATAGATAGTCTCTTGTTTTTAATTATAACTCTCTTTTGGTCCATAACTCTTTGCTCTGAGACATGAGCATATTCAGGAAATCTCTCAATGAACAGTCTGTGAGTCTCAGTTCGGTGTCCAATTATTTGGGTTTCTAGTTTAGTTGCGGTGTAATAGCAATGCATGATGTGTTTATTCATTTCGGTTGTCCAACAGATGCGTTGCCTTGGGAGGCCTGCTTTGGTGGTTGTCGGCTGATCAGCCGGCAAAGCACGTTCAGCGGTTTGTCCAGGTGGATTAGCGGTGTCGTCATTGATTTGGCCAAGCTGAATGTTCCCACGGCGTCCTTGACCGTTACGCCGTTCGTCCGAGGCTTCTTCCATTGAGTTTGGAACCAATTTTTCACCCTGAGAAGGTGGTTGGCCTTCTCAAGGGGTTGTGTTGTCGTTAGCCGGAAAATAGTCCGTTGCCCGGGATGCACCGCGTGGAGGTGACAAAGTGCACCCCATGTATTTTATTATTATTATGTATTTTATTTTGTAGATTTTCTTGCAGTGGCGAAATACCCATACCTATAGGATTTTTTGGAGACAACTATGATTGTTTGTTTTTGTAGTTCATAGCCCGAGGTTGAATAAGTACCTATTACAGCTGTAGTATAATGAGTAATTGATATATTATGAAAATTAAAAATTCAAACCTAGAAGCAACATTTCTCGAAAACGCCTACAGATGCAGTTTGAAATTTAAAAGCAAAATCCGGCAATACCGCATAGAAGAAGAAATGTATCAACCCTTAGATAAGGAATACCTTGTCAAAATATCAACCCAATTTTTCTTCTCTTTTTAATACATATGATTTTTCATTAAGCTGTCTCCATTACTGTCTTATACGTTAAAATCCAGACCACACTTCTACGGTAACCAAATCTGTATATCAAAAATAAAACCTCAGATGAAACAGAATAAGAATAAAAATTGTATTAATATAATCTTATTTTTGTATGGTTTAGATCAGGGCAGCTCTAAAATACGTCCAAGCCAATCAGTTTCCAGCAATAACAGTCTTCAGAGATAACAGACCACACTACTACAGAAGAGACGAACATTCTGGACTTTGGACGCCCGTCAGATACTAAATAACAATTTGTACAATAATTCCGTTACAAAATTACAAGAATGTCCTATAAGCATAAATAAATATAATAGGTCCAATTAGTAGATAAATATGTTTCACGTACGCAATTAACACTACACAGAGTCCTAATAATTTATTCTTTCTCCGTTAATTTCAACCATAAGTACAGTTGACATAAGGTTAAAATTAAAATTGCATTTTAATTTACCTTCTAGTGTGTAAATTATTAACCAAAGCCCATTTATAATAAAACTTTTAAAATTATATATCAGAAATATATCTGTTTATATCTACATATTACTACCCAAGCAGCATTTGGACGTCGCTCGGGACAACTTTGTGTCACGCGACCAAACATCGGGACGCAACGTCGGCACAACCTCGTGCCAACCCTAGTCTGCACTAGTTTGGAGAATAATTTTTGGGTCGAAACGACGTTGGATACCGACGTTGGCTAGCAGCCTAATTAAGTACAAACTGCAACGTTGTTTAAAATCCTAATTCACAGAAATACAAAACTATAATAATATGGCGTCTAAGTCGCGTTTTATCCTAATTGGGATAATTATAGTAAAAATATTATTTTTATGATTTTAGAGACATATGCCAGATGGCAGTAAAGGAAAACAAAACAAAAGTATTTAAGTGTGGAGGATGTTTGAAGATCATAATTATTGAAACACTTTAACCGACTCTATAACTCGTTACCCAAGGCGAAAAAGTTAAACGCAAACAACTTTATTGATAAATGTATTGTTTCTACTTTGAAAAATACTAATGGGCCTTAAAATTAAAGAAGTTTTAAAAAATTTCTGGAATTTTTTTTTAGTAAAATGAGAATAATTTATTCACAGTCGATAAAATTGTTTCCGCGTGTTGTTTAGGGTCAAATATTTCAAGTTAATGTATTCAAAAATCAGGAATTGCTATTTTAGGAACGAAACATTTTTTTATTCAACAACATGGCGGCTTTCACTTTGTTGTTTTGGAGATTAAGATGGAGTAGTTCGAGTAGTCGCATACTGGACTAATAAAGTCGCAGTTCAGCCTTAACAGGTAGTATACTAGTCGCAAGATTGCCTAATTTAGTCATCCTAGAGTCTAGCTTGTGCCGCCCTCTATATTCTAAATAAACGAGGGAACGGATAAAGTATCGGTAATATGTCGATGTATATTTAAATTTAGTTTAGTGTACCTTTCTTATGTCCCATTTTAATTAAGTTTTTTTTAAATAAAAACAAAAACAGCACCGAACTGTCTGACTGAACAGAACAATGAAGTGAAAATTTAAGATTTAAGGTTATGGTTCAATACAGCTGCAAAAAGGTAGTAGCTCGACGTCCTACCAACGTAAGAATACGGAAATCTAAACAACGTTGGAATTAGTAAAACCGACGACGTTTGCATAACGTTGGAATAGGTCCTAAAAGTAACGTCGGAAAACTCTTTATTGCCCAACATTGTAACTACGTTGTCCGAATCACCTAAAGATTACTTAAGCAAAAAAGGTTACAAGACAACGTTTATTCGACGTCGCAGAAGCTTTTACTTTGTTGTAGTACTAGTTCAACGTCGGCACAACATTACAACAACGTTTACATTTATTTTAATACCCAAGGTACGGAGCTAACTATTTTTTGTAACTAATCCAACGTTGTGTTTAGTAAACATGTGGTCGCAAGTCGTGAAAATGCTACTTGGGTATGTAATATACACTAAAGCTTGATTCAGAACTTCGCATTTAGTGGAATAAATTAGTGGTCTCAATTACCGGTTGTTCCTTTAATTTCAATGTAAGCATTCAGAACGTCAAAATTAGTGATAGACATTTTCAATAAGTAGAAAAAGTTATCAAACTTTTAACATTTCCACTAATTTTATTTCAAAAATGACATTCCCCACATAATTTTACATATAAAATGACAGCGATCTTCATTCCATAGCCATCGCTGACGCCGTTTTTATTCGATCATACGGTATTAGGCTTTCTCTAAGGATACAACTGACTAACGCAAGCTGTTGCTAGGATATTCTATTAATTTTAATTGTGTTTTTTAAACATTGTGAATGATCGTAAACTAAAAAGTATAAAGTGTAATTGAAACCACTAATTTATTCCACTAATTGCGAGGTTCTGAATGAAGTTTTACACTTCATACTTTTTAGTTTACGATCATTCACAATGTCTCATTGAGATATTCTCATATTTAGCTTATAAGGCTTATCCCTAAAACAATAAACTTTTGATTTCTAACCACAATTTCTGATGATAATCAAAGGCCAAAATGACATTCCTCGCAAATTTTGAAATATAATTAGTGGAAACTTTTTCTACTAATTGAAAATTACTACCACTAATTTTGATGTTCTGAAGCTTACATTGAGTCCAAAGGAACAAACTTCTACGCTAATTGACGCTACTAATTTATTTCACTTATTCCGAGGTTCTGAATGAAGCTTAATACCAGCATAAAACAATACTGCAGAACAAAATTTTATCAAAACGGGGTGGAAGGACCTTAATTATATTTATTTACAAAATAAAATAAAGTAAAAAATGTGGTACAAGAATGTACAAGTACCAAATGGATATATATAATAAATATACATTTGTTAATAAAAATCTTTTCATTTAAATATAATTGTTTATATATTGACATCACACAATAAATAACCTTAATTAACATTACGAACAATCATATTCTTAACAAATAAATTATTGCCATTTTCTTCTATACAGAGTACCATACTTTGTTGATTTTGATTAATAATATCAAAAGTATTTATATGCCTTAAATTAGTTCAAAAATATATATTTTTTTCTATTTGTGAATACAAATCCAATTTGCCATTTTTCATATTTCTATCCTAATCCAACGAAATAGCAACCATATAATGATTGGAAACAAAACGAACATCTCAATCTCAGTCGAAATCAGTCAAAGAATAATTACTAAAGTTATACCCGATAGATTTAAGATCTTCATATTATTTCCCAATCTGATTCGTCCGAACTAATCAGTATTACCTAAAACAAAATTCTACCTATATATTTACTATACAAAGAGGAAGTCTTGACCGATCAATTATAACAAAAACTTAGAAGAAAATTCTTGGGAATAGCGGTCTGAAAATTAAAAGGTCCAAGAATTTTCTTCTAAGTTTTATATATTTACTGATATATTACAACCATTACCTTGCCAAATAAATAAAGCTATTTTTTCTATTTATCTATACAAATTTAAATATTTAACTTTAAGGGCAGTTTAGACTCTCCGATAACTTGCGCAAACTGGTTTGCGGAAGCCATTTTGTACTTAATTTTATTCAAAACGTGTAAAAATATAATTTAATACCATACATTTGGTATTTCGAGTCAAATTTTCGTTACGAACCGCAAGTTATAATTTCAAATAAACCATATGCGAAAATGTCAAAAGTTGACATATGATATGCCATTCTATTCAGAATGTCATTTTCTATCGAATAAAGTAAAAAAATACCGAGGGTGCTATTTAAAAATAAAAAGTTGTCATTTCCGGTGAAACAGAAGTGACCAAAAACAATTGAATACGTCAATCAATCCTAATTTACATAGTATGTGTCATAATATACTAACATACCAAATCTCGTTTTTATAGTAAAAAAATAAAAACGTTATAGGGGTGAGACACTTTTGAGACGCACCCGGTATATTTCTAATAAAAATAGATAAGTTAATAAATAATTATTCAATAACACAAATATCAGATGCACTACACAGAAGCACTAAGTTTTGACTTAGTACATAACATATCTTAATTTTTTTTAGAAGTAGTAAATAAAAGCGAAAATGTAATAAAATATACAGGGTAAGTCTTAATTAAGTGCAAATATTTTTAGGGGTAATATTTCGATCCCAGAAACGCGTCTATGAGATTTTTTCCGCGAAAATTTTTTTTGAAAATTTGGAATTTTAATTTTAAGTTAAAAAACAGAATTTGTTGATAATATGGCAACATACATAGGTGGTAAATTAAATTTACAAGAAAATCCAGAAAAGATCCAGTGATTCTCCAAATTTAGGCACAAAATATATTTTTTTTATTTTTAAAGTAAAATAACTTGGTTATTTTGGACTTATCTGAAAAACGATAAAGAGAAAATAATATTATGTTACTTTTATAGAGGTCTGTCTACCAGCCCTGAAAATATTTGCACTTATTTAAGATTCACCCTGTATAAATAATAATAAATATTGATACTTAATCGTAATTTGTACTAGTTTTGTACAATAGTTCCTGTAATAGTTAATTACAATATTTAAAAATACTTTTTATATATATTTGTATATATTATTATTTTAATATATATTATACAAAGGCAAACAATAGCAATATAGACAAATAGCAATATAGACAAATACTATTACTATAATATACAGGTTGTTAATTTGTTTATTACTCGCGGCAAGAGCATTATGGTTGAAATATGGCAACCTCGGCCCGCTCGTCAATAGACGACGCGACGGGACGAGTCGGCAGAAAACCCTATAAGTGCATGCGTTCTCAATAGGCAGTGTTGCCATTCTGTTCCCCTATAAGTAACTGTCGAGTTAACAACCTGTATACATAATACAATACGATTGGAAAAAAATGGCGTCAGCGATGCCTATGAAATAAGATAGCAGTAATTTTATATGTAAACTTATATGGGGAATGTCATCATTCATTTCCAAGCCGACTGGACGCCGCCGCCGCTTTTTTTCGATCATACGGTACTACTAAATATTTATAAAAAATAATACTGATAATTAATTTATCAAAAAGTATTGAACAATACTCTTAGATATAGGTAATCTATAAAAAATATATTTTTAAAAATCCAATTTTTCGATACAAAAATATCAAATTATTAATAACATAGGATGCAATGTCTGGAAACATCTTCAATGGCTAGTCAATACATTTCTAAACTTCTTTAACGGAATTAAGAAGATTCTACTGATGACTGAGTTGTATCTTCTGTAATCAAATTATACTGGGTGTCCCCAAAAATTTGAAAATTCGATTTTTTTTTTAGTTTTTAGTTAAAAAACATAATTTCTTGATAATATGGCAACATAGGTAGTAGATTAAATTTACAAGAAAAAAAATCTAGAAAAGATCCAGTGGTTCTCAAAATTTTAGCAAAAAATCATTTTTTTGGATATTTTCAAAGTAAAATAAATAACTCCGTTATTTTGGACTTATTTGAAAAACGATAAAGAAGAAATATGTTTCTTTTATCGAGATCTACCACCCCTTAAAATACTTGCACTTATTTCTGGGACACCCTATATATAGTTCATATCAATTAAACTTTTAGTCACGTGATTAAACTCGACCATCGCAGCGTTGCCCGCTTTTACATATTATCTTTTAATCAAAATATTTTAGGAAACAAAAATAAATTACATAATTATAAATATATACACAGTTATTATTATTTACATCAACAAAACGCACCTCCTTAACAGCACTTAAGGGACATAAAGGGCCATTACTATCGCTTTTCCGTTCAAAATATTCTAATAAGGTTGCGATGAGATTTTTCTATTGGCTATTAAGCTATCTTGTACACTTCGTACTAAAAAAGGTTCTAAAGGTGCGTATTCACTTGCAACAAAACACTCCGAACAAACCAAACACGTCGCGCACTCCAAACAATCTGCAACAAAACATTTTCCGGGAGCGCTCTGAACGACCTGCAACAAAACATTTTGCGCGGAGCGTTCCGCCTGTTTGCGGTGTTCGCTGCGTTCCCACCAGTAATCAGTGTATGAATCAGTGTTAGTGTGTTTGTCGATAAGGAAGCATCTGATATTACCATAGCCGCTGGTGCTTTTTTAATTATAGAGACATTAGCGGGCAACAAAAAAGAGAAAAAAAGGAAAGGACGAAAAATGTGGACAAGACGCCTCTTTTTGCGCCGTCAATATAATATGGCCTTACTTAGTGACCTAGATTATATGCATAAGAAGAATTTAATTAATTTAATAATTAATTATTAATTTAATAAAATAGGCCGCCTTTCAAACTCATCAATTAACTCTAAACATTTTTCTCTGTTCCACTCCATAGCGTACAGTTTAAAAACACCCCAAACACAACGAACGTTCAAAACTGCCGTATCCACTGAACACCGGCCAACCAACAAATTCTTTTGAGCAAATCCCGTTTACCGACAAGCTTCGGAAAATGTTTGGCGCGTTCGGTTCGGCGCAACGTACTGACTACACAAACTTGTTACAGCGCGCGGCGCGTTTGGTTCGTTTGGAATGTTTTGTTGAAAGTGAATACCTACCTTAAAAAGAACAATGTTCGACTGCAAGGTCTGCTAGTAAAAATGTTTAAGCTTATAGTATCACAACACAATTCAATTTTAAATCAAAAACTCGTAATATAAAACTAAAGTGTCAAAACGAATGACAATGTCAGGGAATAAATAAATGTGGCAACGTGACATTTTTTGCAGTAGAACTACCACCTGAATCCCCAGCGGGAAATTTCAGTTCCAGTTAGATCGCCCGGCTCGAAACTCCTGTGGAACAGGCATATTAAGAACACTACCAGCAAAGCCATAAAGGCTCTCATGATATGCAGAAGACTGGCCGGAAATAGATGGGGCTGCTCCCCTAACATTTTGCGCTGGATGTATACCATGATAGTAAGACCCATGATTACTTATGGAGCAGTTGCCTGGTACACAAAACTAGAGCAACGGACGGCAAGGCTAAACCTATGCAAAGTCCAGAGACTAGCATGTGTGTGCATCACAGGAGCCATGAGAACCTGTCCAACAGCAGCAATGGAGGTCATTCTAGATCTAACACCACTGCACATTGTCATTGGTAGATATGCCAATGCGACAATGATTAGAATGGTCACTAACGGAATTAGTACTGGGAGAATTGTCAGATCAGGGCTTGGAACACCCTCAAAAGGAAATACCACTTCTGCAACTCCCAATGGACGATATGCCAAGAACGTACAACTTTGACAAACATGTCAATGTAGTATTGAGCAATAAGAAGGATTGGAAGAGCGAAACGCTTGCCCAGCAGTTAAAAGTCCATACCATAACTTGGTATACTGATGCTTCCAAAACCAATACGGGAACAGGGATCGGAGTGTTTGGGCCGAGAGCTAATTACTCCGAACCAATGGGCACTTACCCTAGTATCCTACAGGCAGAAATCTACGCTATCGAGAGATGCGTACAACTTATCTTAGATAGGAACTATCGGAAACAAGAAATAGCCATCTTATCTGATAGTCAAGCAGCATTAAAGGCGATCAACTCAGTATCAATCAATTCGAAATTGGTCAAAGAATGCATAGAGAAGCTGAATAAATTAGCCAAAGAAAACAAAGTCCTCCTACACTGGGTGCCTGCTCACCAAGGGATAGAAGGCAATGAAAAAGCAAATAATCTAGCTAGGAAAGGAGCGAACACTCCACTAACTGGACCAGAACCGTTCTGCTTTCCAAGTGGTAACCAACTCAAGGCGGAACTCAAGAACTTGGAAGATTCCATCCGCAACTTGGAATGGAAATCTTGCAATGGTCTAGGACACTGAGGTCTAGGACACTAAGTTTCTGAGGGCTTATGATCAAGAAAAATCACAGATCTTCCTGGGTCTGAGTAAGAACAATCTTCGGATTGTCACGGGGTTTTTAACAGGACACTGTCTCCTCAATGAACACCTCAGTAGATTGAAACTAAGAAGAAACGGCGAATGCAGATTCTGTGGGGAAGATGGTGAAACACCAGTACACCTCATCACTGAGTGCGCCGAGACGACAACCATTCGTGCCATGAATTTTGGTACGACTGATATTGGAGATGGAGAACTACCCTCTATAAAACCGTCCCAGATACTGGCTTTTGTCAAAGCCCTGGGACTGTATGATGAGTTATGATTTAAGAAAGGGGGACACAATGGATCTGTAAGGTCGAAGTGATTAACCCCCCTCCCACTCATTCTAAATTCTAAATTCTAGATCGCCCGGCGCCGAATATGTCCATGGTTGCCAATAACGAATTTAAAAATCGCGCTCTTGATTACGTCATTAAAAGTTTAACTGGTATCGCTTATACGTAATTATTGTGATAATAAGAGACAATAGTAATTTGATTTGGCTGCATGTGGACATAATTTTTTTCAGTCATCCGCTGTAATTTACATTGGCGTTTAGGTTTCCCAATGATGCTTCGTCAAAAACATCATTAATTATTTTTTCTGCGCGGACCCTTTGTTCTGCAGAAAGTCGTTGTAGTTTAGAGCTCCAAATTTTTCCTATCAAACTAAATGTGTTGTCCTCATCAATTATTCCTGGACCTGCCAATCGCTTGCTTATTACATCCAACACTTCATTACGTTTATCTCGTATAGCTTCTCTCTTTATGGATTCCTGAGATGTCGATACTTCTGAGCCGGATATTGGCGGAAAAGAAGCTGGGCTGGCGGCATATAAAGGATGTGGAGATAGGATTAGCTGTGTATCCTAAAAATTAAAAAATTAAATTTGTATTTTTTTACAAAGCAAAAATAATGGATAAATATGAAATTCAAATAGTTTGATATAGTGATTTTGTTTTAGTTTGTAGTGGCACCATTTAGTGCGAAATAGAATGTTCCCAATTGTTTGGGAGTTGTAAATGGAAAGCATGTCCATATTATACAACCACCTGGTTGTGATATACTATTTCAATTATAAAAAAAAAACTTACAGTATTGTCCTTATAGCCAATGCAAATATGAATTATGAGTTTATTATGTGCGATGTTGGTACAAACATTGAGCAATAAAAAGAATGAAAGAATTTGCTCACAACAGGTAAAAGACCATACCATAACGTGGTGGCAACTGTCACTCTTGGGTCGGTGTTCACATGTGTGGAAGTAAATCGCATAGGGATCGGAGTGAGAGAAATGCGACGGAGTGTTGATGCGGCGTTGCCGGTACGCCTTTCCCTATCAAGTAAAGTACAATCACGATCGCAAACCGCTTATTTTTAAAAGACTTTTTTTCGAAAAGATAACTAGATAAAATCATTAAAAATGTTTCTGAGCATCTGAAATGGAATTATAAGGATATCTTTTAGGTGTCATTTTTTTTATAACGAGAAAACGTCAGTAATCGCGATAATAATTTAAAAAACTCAACTTTTCAACACATAACACGCCATAACTCAAGAAACACTTTAAATATTGAAACTTTTTTTTATTTTGAAGATAGAAACTTTTACAATATGTTTACATAAGAAAAATTCGATAAGGTTGTTTTTTTCCATTCAAAAATTGTAAACAACACATCTATTTACTTTTAGAGCATAGCAATTTTCAGCAGTCGTGTAATTTTTTATTGGTACAGATTTTCACTTACTGTCTACGAAGAAAATACAGCAGAAATATTAAAAAAGTTTTTGAAAAAACTACAATCAATTATTTCTAATAGATTTTGAGATATCGATTTTTGAATTCAGAGTTCTAATAGCCCGACCACTGTCGAAAACCAACTCAATTCCACTTATTTTTACCAAAAATGCAAGAGTTTCTAGCTTGCACTTAAAAATTTTCCAGCTATAGGGAAAATTACAACGACTTGTTAATAAATAAACCAAAAATAAAGTATCACGAGACGTAATTAAATCGTGAAGCTGAATGCATGATGTACACTTTTCCTTAGAACTTTAAGTACTGACAGAGGTACTGATTGGGTCGACCGGTCAATTGCGACAAATCTGCTATATCCAATAATCTGATACTTCCAAAACCAAAACAGGAACAAGGATAGGATTATTTAGGCCGAAAACTAAATATTCCGAACTAATGAGCAGCTACCCCAAGGTCCTCCAGGCAGAAATCTACGCTATTAAAAGATGCGTACAATTTATCTTAGATAGAAACTATCGGAAACAGGAAATAGCCGTCTTAGCCAATAAATATTGGTACGGCCATAAACTTTGGTATGGCTGATGTCGAAGATGAGGAGCTGGTCTCTGTAGAGTCGTCTCAGATAGTGGCTTTTGTCAAAGCCCTGAGACTGTATGATGAGTTATAACTCGTTATAACTCAAGAAAGGGAAACACACAATAGATATGTAAGGTGGCGGTGATTAACCCCCCTCCTAAACATTCTACAATCTACGTTGATGACGTATGGAAAAAAATAAAATCCTTTTTTATAGCTAGAAATTTATTATAATTACAATAAATTAGAAGATTAACAGTGTTGTTAAACATATTTATAAATATTACTAAAAATATTGGTATTAAAAAATATTTATAATACTAATAATGTATCTAAATAAATAAATTTGATCTATATGATACATATATATTTCAAAATTATTAGAAAGTATGCATTTTGTAGACACAGTATTTCCTCAATAGAAATTACTCAATAAAGCTTGATTTTCATGCATCCGTTGTCCGACGATACGATGATACGATATTAATTTTATTGGTTGAATTTAAAGACTTCGGTTGGTTAGAAACGGTTAACCAATTGAAGCCTTTAAATACAACCAATGAAATTAATATAGTATCAACGTATCGTCGGACAACGGATGTATGAAAATCAAGCTTAAGTAGTTAAAATCAAATAAATTACAATAATTAAAAAGGCATTGTCATGTTGTCAAGTTTTGTTTATTGGTTTTCGTATGCAGGGCATCAAAAATTCCCAGGACACAAGTAGATATTTCCAGATATTCTAAGTTTGCAGTATAATATATGCTAAAAAAAGTTTCATCACCTTCTCCATATGTTTCAATGAAAAATATCATTATTCTCTTGAAGAAAATCTATCTGAAAGTTGGAACTGCATAAAAAATTAATTATGTGATTATATGAGTATTTAATTTGCCTTATAACTAGTTTGAATGATAAGCATAGCATATTTGAAAAACAAAATATCTGTCAGAGAATTGCTTATACAAATTGTTTGTTTCTACATATATATAACACCTGACTATCTTTTATTAATACAATATTTGTCTTACCTACAATACTCTCAAATTTAATCAAATCACCATTTTTTACCACAAATCTATGAAACTATGACTAACTACTGTTTTCTACCACACTAATACAGCGAGCCAAAAAAACATATTTTTTCTTTACCGATTTTCAAATAAGTCCAAAATAACCGAGTTATATTAAAAATAAATATTTTTGCTCATATTTTGAGAACCACTGGATTTTTTCTGCTTTTTCTTTTTTGTAAATTCAATCGACAACCTATGTTGCGATATTAAATATTTTTTTTTAACTAAAAATTTAAAAAAAAAACATATTTTTTTCGAAATATATTGAATTTTGAAAAAAAAATTCGCGAAAAAAACCTCATAGATAGTTCCTGGGGTCGAAATATACTACCCTTAAAAATATTTGCACTTATTTAAGACTCACCCTATATTTTATAAAAAAGAAAATTTCAATTTACCTCTGAAGCCTCATGTGTTCTTTCTTGTAAATTCCACATTGCTTACTGAACGCTTTGGAATTTCTTGATTCTGTCAGATCCTGTCTTGATCTGTAAAAAGTCTAGAAGGTAAAAGTGCCAAAGATGCGGTTTATAAACATCATCCTCTCCCGCCCACGATCTTTTTAGCTCTTTTCTATAAGGTACGTATATTTTTTTTAACGGCAGCGTCTCTGTTTGTATCGCCACCAATTTCTTTCAATTTTTCTTCTACCAGTCACTATGATCCGGAGATCTCACCCTCTAAAGACATGGAAATGATCGGTATATTTCTTTTCAGCATGATACTTAAACTAAACAAATTTCTGAAACCAGAAGGTATTGTATAAAAAGATATAATATTAAACTATTTTAAAAACTCACCTAACAATTGTAAAACTCACCTAACAAATATGTAGGTAATTACATACACATTCAATATGCATTCGATAAAGAAATTTAAACGTTAAATCTTAACCAATATTAACCAACATTGTCACAATTATCTCAAACCGCTATATCGCTCAGTTAAAAATCAAGATGAGACAGATTTTTCTCAAACCAAATTTTTGAACTGGTTTTATTTGCTTAAATGGCACCGGTATTTTTTACTTTATTTACCATTGGTATTTTTTACTTTATTTACCATTGGTATTTTTTTACTTTATTCTATAGAAAATAACAGTCTGAATAGAATGACATATCAGATGTCAACTTTTGACATTTTCGCATACGGTTTATTTAAAATTGTAACAAGCGGTTCATAACGAAAATTTCACTCGAAATACCAAGTATGTGGTATCAAATTATTCGTAAAAATTGCTTTTTCCAAATATGCTAATGAGCTACTCTTGTTTCATTTGAAAAAATTCAGATATGACTAAAAATACGATTTGGGTATCTTTTAACCAGCCATGATAAGACACTAAGACATTATAAGGACAGGATAAGACATAAGACGACCAAATCTATTTTTCCAAAGCTCCTTAATTAAGAATTAGTGTTTTCAACATAGCCATGGCACTCTAGATTGAAATTTAAAATACTATTTTTTATTAAGCGAGAATGTCAAAAATTGACAATTGACCTATGATATGTCATTCTATTCAGAATGTCATATTGAACAGCACAAACTAACGATTTCTGTTTACACTTTACGATTTATTGGTACAGTTTGGCTTGCCAATTTGCGCAAATTATCTGAGAGTCTAAACGCCCCTTAACACATGAGTTGTACTCTGCTTTTTTAATTTTAGTTCATAGTTTATGTTATTATTTTCAAACTAAAAATATTATTAGACTTTATTACTTTTTTGTTAATAGATACGACTTGCCTGCTATAAAGATGCATGACTTTAAATTAAACTATGCACATACATATTTAAATGCAATATTATATTGGCATATAAGTCAGTTAAACTAATATTGTTGATTGAAATAATTGCGAAGATACGCAACCAAATGGGTAAATTCATGACAAGGCTGATTTGATTTCCCCTAACGTCTCTGTAACGTGGAGCTTGTAGAGTCATGTAATTGGCTTGGAAATGACGACTATTGATATTTACCATAAGATTTTACATACGAAATAACAGCGACCTTCATTTCCAAGCCCACTCTGACGCCGTTCTTTGTTTAATCATATAATACCTATTATATTAAATTGTTTAATGATAGAAAATCCGTATAATTAACTTACTCTACCCAAAATCTGTAAATCTACGGATTAATCTGTAATTCTGGCAACACTGTCCCCGGCAACTCTGTCGATTGAAAATAGAACTACGGTACAGTATTCTTTATCCGCTCCGCTGTAAACGACTATCGGCGCGCAGCGGCGCAGAGCTAAACTAAATCTCGCACAAATTGACCAGCGGCGACAGTATCGCCAGCTACATCTCGAACAGGTTTTGTGCCAAGGTTATTAAAAGATAAGGTTGTCTCGTAACTTTTGGACCAATAGGAGCGAAGCGAATAGCATCCTTATGACGTAGCCAGAACGTATAAAATCATAGATAAAAGTAATAAAAAATAAAATGCAACCGACAAAGAGAGATAAATGTACAATACAATAAAGAAAACACACACCAAACAACTGAAAACTATTGACGCCATACACTATAAACAATAAAGTACACAATGAATTTCGATCCGGAAATGCACTGTCGGACTGTGGGCAGTTTTTATCCCTTTATCTATGAGTGGTATCAATCCTATGACGTAGCAGATGACAGAATACATTAAAATACGCAACCAACCGTCATTGAACCGTCCAATCAGATCAAAGGAGTAATCGTTGTAGATCGTGCGTTATCGATGATGTTCGGTACCTGGAGAAAATTGACAATTGACAAGAGAATTAATTGTTTATTATTTTTGACTTTTTAGTTCGTTTAATTTAATGATTACTAAAACCAGTAGTTCGAAAGATATATTTAAAAATAAAAGATAAAAATCAAAAAAAATTAATTATCTATTAACGTGGATTTGGACGACAATAGGTAAGAACACTAAATTTATTTCTATACTCGATATAAACTTGTTTATTAGGTTTTTAGTTTGTGATGTTTCATGTGATGATCATTTTCATGTTCATCGTCTTTGAATTGACATGAGGATATCTATGGAAAAGTAACTAATCTGAAAGTAAGCCAACATATCGTTTGTCCTTTGTGTACTAAAGAAAAGATTTTCTTTTCGCATCGTGAGGAAGTATTACATCAATTAAAAAATGTTAGGAAGTTGATTACTTGTCATGGAAAAGTATACCAATGGAAATTATTTGTTAAAGAAGTATAATTCTAAGGGTAAATTTTATTATAATTAGTAACCTGTCTATTTTTTATATGTAGATGTTTCAGGTTTTAAGAATAAATTGGTTGAACCCAAAATCTGGAGGAAGTACCTATATCCATACACAGAATATGCCCATTAAGAATACTAGTCCAAATTTGCTTTAATGGTAGGCAATTATTCAATACAAATTAACTTTTTAAGTGACTGAAATATTAAATAGTTTAGAATATGGTATAACAATGTAAAAAAATACTATTTTCAGGAACGATTAGGGCCCGATATATTTGAAACTCATGTTGGACATAGTATTGAGTTGGGTAGAATATTATTCTACGTTAAGTGAGGATATCAGATACCTATTATTGTACTGTATTTTAATATATACATTAGAATTGTTGGTTTTTTCATATTTGTTTTATATATTATTTTACTTACAAGTTATATAAAGTTAACACTAAAATCTACTTTTTGACTTATATAAGTTAGTCTGTGGTTTAATGCGTGATTACATCCACATTATGATTTCAAGTTTTTAAAATATAAATATTATAACTGGCTTTAAAAACTCCATTAAACTGTTAAAAGTGTAATTTATTTCAAAATAAATATACATATACCTATACCTAGGTATATATTAATATCGAAAAATATATATTAATATCGAAAGACATTTTTATTTCCTTAACACCAATTTAATCATCACATACATATGTATAAACATTTATTTACGTTATTTCAAATGAAGACCACAGGAAAAACCAGCTTTGTTCATTTTAACTGGAGCCGAGAAAATGCAATTACGAGTGAACTACTCTGGTTTTTCTCCTGTAGGGCAAAATAACTAAGCTGTAATATCTCTGGGACTAACATATTATTATTGCTTTCTTTGATGGTGCCTCGAATAATGCTAACACTTGCCTATAAAATTGTCTCGCTGTCAATTTCTATGAAAATGTAACATATTATCTGGTTTTTCCGTGTAGTCTTCAAATGATCTAAAAATTCAGCAGGAATGATCCATTATGCAGCAAACACACTGATGTTGAATCATTGGAAGCTTTTTTGTGGGCATTTCACAAATAAAATCAAATGTCTGATCAAAAACTGAAAATGCAAAACAGATAGTAAGCTTTATAAATACATACATATATATAAATAATCATACCTACATCTATTTATGTCGTACAATCCAACCCATATTTTAATATCCTAACCCAAGTAAATAATCAAAAATGCACTTTTTATATCAAAAGCAGTAATGTTACCAAGGGTTCCAATTAATATCCAGGATTTAAAAAAAACACGATCCTAATTCTTATTATTTTTCTAAATACGTATTGTCTGATAAGCAATTACAAAATATAAATCTGATGTAAATAGAAAAATAAAGTAAAAACTGTAAAAACAGGTAAAAACTCTTCGGTAAAAACAACAACAAAAATTCTAACCAAAGATTTAACCGTCATACGACATGAGCATCACGTGATTGCACAATACCCAACGATAGGGCACGTACCTCTTTCATCTGATTGGACGGTTGGTTGCGTATTTTAATGTATCCTGTAGATGACGTTTTCGATAATGGCGGATCGAGTTACGAGACAAACTTTTCTTTTAATAACCTTGGTTTTGTGCCACAAAATTTCCGAGATTTAGTTTAGCTTACAGCGGAGCGGATAAAGAATACTGTACCGTAGTTCTGCTTTCAGTCGACAGAATGAGTGGTTACCGTAGACGGTGAAGCCAGAACTACTTATAAAACCGTAGATTTACGGATTTTGGGTGCAGTACGTTAATAATGCAGTTCTTCTATCATTAAACAATTTAATATATTATATGATCAAACAAAAAACGGCGTCAGAGTTGACTTGGAAATGAAGATTACTGTTATTTCATATGTAAAATATTATGGTAAATGTCAATAATCGTCATTTTAAGCCAACCAAACCACTTTTTTCGATCATACGACATATTCAGTACCTATATAATAATTTTTATTTTTGTTGTTTATTCTATGTTCAACAGGAATAAATTTTCAATACATAAACGCGAATTTTTCATCCAAAAATATTTTTGTCAAACGTATTACAGATATTACACATTTTAATATGGCAACACTGTCGCTTTTAGTTCCACACCGTCTTCGATGTGCCTTCGCTAGTCGAATTAGAAAAAATGAGTGTTTTATGCGTTGGCCGCAGAACGAGTAGAGGCTCCACCGTACAGCACTTGAGATGTAAGGGGAAATCAAATCAGCCTTGCCACGAATTCGCCCATTCGGTTGCGTATCTTCGTAATTCTTTCAATCAACGGTATTAGTATTAGTCCAGTTATTTACTTGTCAATAAAATTGCTTTAAAATTATAAATAAGTCACTTACCTCTGTTTCACTTTTCAATTTAATGCCGTATTCTTTTTCAATATCATCTATTGAGTAATATTCATCATCACTATCACTGCCAGATTCTTTGCCGCTATCTTCCATTTCTTGCACAGTTTTCGATACAATTTCCGATTTTATTTCTTGTTTAATAACTTTATCTTCATCTTGTTTCGTTTCCTCTTCAATTTGTTCATTGTTTGATTTGTTCACTGTTTCAGTTTCTGTTATATTATTTTCCTCTATAGGTGGTTCATCAAGTAAATCATCACTCGATTCGCTAGTACTGGTTGCTTTATCTTCTGGTTTTTCTGGACTATCACTAAAAATTAGACAATAAATAATAAAAAGAAGCAAATGTAAGAAATTTAAAAATCACGTTGTAGAGTTGTTTAGTTGGGCATCTCCTCGTCCTTTTCCATGAAGAAACCTGGATATTTTTCTTTCAAGTTTAGATCCCTGTGCTTCTTTTTTAAATACTCTCATTGCTTTAATTCGCAAATATTGCCAAACACTTCTCAGTTCTTTTTCGGTACCAAGCAAACCATGCTTCCTTTTAAAAAAATTAATTTATTATGATACAGCTCTTTATTCTAATAGAAGTGTTAAAAAATATTTTTTCTACGATTGTGCAAAAAGTTGCTATTTTTCAAGGACTGTAATATTCTAATAATATATATTATTCTAATTTCTATAGTATTCTTGGCTATTTTTTACATTATCTACTGTATTAAAAGTTAAAAGTCAAATTTTTTATACTAGTGTAAAAAGTAACTTATTTTATGCACTTCCCAAGTAACATTTTAAGTTCCTTTAGGTTATATATTCTCAAGGTTAGTTATATAAAGGTTTAATAAATGTCTCATTGGTATCTGACAGTGTTTTGATTTATATAAGTGTAGCGTTGGTTACTTATCACTAATAGTAACCTTGAAATGTTATCACTTTCCTTATAAAACTAGAGGTTCTTGTTACTAAAGGTTTCATAATAAGGTTTTATAAAGGTGTTCACATCTATTTTATATAACTTCTGGTATTAGGTTTTATAAAGGTACGCAAGATATACACTATATAATTAAAGGTGTTATTAAGAACCATTATGTAACCAATAATACTACAAGTTATACAGGGTGTCCCAGAAATGAGTGCAGATATTTTAAGAGGTGGTAGATCTGGTCAAAATAAACATATTTTCTCTTTACCGTTTTTAAAATAAATTGAAAATAACTGAGTTATTTAACTTTGAAAATTTAAAAAAATAATCGCAACATTTTGAGAACCGCCGGCAGATATTGCCAACTACATCCAATTACCCGGATCAAGCCCGGATTTCAGTTAATTCGACGCACTGTGTTGCCATATGGACAAGAAAGTATATGTTTACAAGTAAGTCATAAAATCACAACACCTGAGGAGTTTGCAGAGATGCATTACATTTTTAAGATTGTGATATTATTACATAAAATAAATTAAAAGTTAAATGTTTAAAAGTTAAATTAAAAAAACTTACCCAACATTAAAAAAGATACTTATGACAGATCGATGTAACTGCGACAGTTCTCTTTTTCGATACACACTTAACTAAAATACACTTAATTGTGCTGCTTTACTTGTACGTGCTATTATAAAAACTGCTAAAATAACAGTCCCCATTTTTAACTTAACACATTATTTTCGTATAGGCTTCATCACAATTTGAACCACTGATTTACAAAACACCTTGAAAAGCACACATTACACATTACTTTGAATATCTTTCTGAATGAATAAATGTTGAGAATTATTGTCTCTTACCGCCACTTTACGAACTACTTTCAATCTAAGAAAATACATGTTTCACTCAACAATTTTAAATACGTATTTTGCTTTTTCGCTATTTTTTCGATGTATTTCGACAATTCAGTCAACAGCCCAACCATCCGTCGGCCAAGACAGCCACGCATCACTGATTGGTAACTGCCCAGTGCTTCTTTGTCGCGCCGGCGTGTCGAGCTTGCGTCATGCGAGGTTGCCGTAGTTTCAACAATTTCAAATTCAAGACACTCGAAGCCATCAAATTCCTATTAAATTTTAAAAATAAAACAGAAAAACATGAAAGGAAACAAACAAAACACAAATGAATTGATTATTGATAAGGTCACAAAAAAGAAATTTCTAAATTGTTTATCGTAATTCAGAATTCAATATATCGAAAACAGCCCGACGAATAATCAATTCATTTTCGAATCTCTTGAATTTGAAATTGTTGTAACTACGGCAACGTTGCTTAACATCGTCGTCTGACGCAAGCCTGCCACGACGGCGCGGCTCAAAGGACCAGTTCACACGTGGCACTCTTGGCCAACGCGCGACGGTCGGGCTGTCAAAATACATCGAAAAAATAGCGAAAAAACAAAATACGTATTTAAAATTGTTGAGTGAAACATGTCTTAAATTGAAAGTAGTTCGTAAAGTAGCGATAAGAGAGGTATTCAAAGTAATGTGCGCTTTTCAAGGTGTTTTGTAAATCAGTGGTTCAAATAAAACAGAGAAACATGAAAGAAAACAAATATTGAATTCTAAATTACGATAAACATTTTAGGAATTTCTTTTTTGTGACCTGGTTGTGAATAATATGATGAATCATTTTCGTAAACGTCATAAACGTAATGTTTTAGTTAATTTTCGGTGGTTTTTGTTAAGTTTTCATTGAAAGGGTAAGTACTAAAAATAATTAATGTGTTTTTTTCTATAATAATTATTAATAATGAGGCACTGATAATAATTTAACATTCTTAATTTTTGAGTAGAAATTTTTCTATGAATTTATAAATGTAGAACTATGTAGAATGTGGATAACATAGGAGGTTACAACACTGCAAGGCACTAAAAAGTTTTTTCAAATTTCCCGGAAAATGCCAAGAAAAATTTTAAATTTTCAACATTTTTTTCGCAAAAAACCTTATAGGCGTGTTTCTGGGGTTGAACTATACTACCAGTTAAAATATTTGCACTTATTTCTGGGACACCCTGTATGTGCTGGATAAAAAACACTTTCATTAAAAGGGTAAGCTCTAACTAAACATTAAAGATTATAATTGTTTATTGAAACGATTGAAAATATTTCCTAATATGGCGAAAAAAGAAGCTATAATTGTTAAGATTTATTTTTTCAATTTACTCCACTGTAAAAAGTATTTAAAATATTGCGCGTTTCTCTACAATTAGTAGAGCAATCTACACTAATATGAATAAAATTAATTTTCGTATTTTTTTCTGTAGCAACTTAAAATAATTGAATTTATAGATAAACATGCAGAATGTGGGTATGGTAGGAGGTGGCAACGTTGCATTCTCTCCGACACTCTCTATGCCCGGTAAACGAATTTCCCGGGGAGTGAACAGTGGCACTCAAAAGTTTTTCAACATTTTCCGGAAAATGTCAAGAAAAATATAAAATTTTCAACATTTTTTTTTCGCAAAAAAAACCTCATAGGCGTGTTTCTGGGGTTGAACTATACTACCAGTTAAAATATCTGCACTCATTTCTGGGACACCCTGTATAATTGTTCCCTCAAATCGTTTTTTGCACCTTTCAAATGTTTGCATGCTTTATATAACCTGTAGTTACCGAATATCAAACCTAATGACATAACCTCAAATTTTTAATATAATCAAAACAAATGATATATTAGCAAGCAAAGCAATTCGGTATTATAATGAATAAAAAAATAAACTGGACAAAACACAAAAATACATCTACGTTCAAAAGAAAGGTTCTTCAGAATTTAAAAAAAATAGGAATACTCCAAACCTAATTCAAACTACATCTATCAATATTGAAAGCCAACATGCAAATTTACCATCCACAAGCAGAGATCAGTATCGACCTGAGATATTTCCAACAGAAAGTTGCCAAAACGATCAGGAACAGGAAGATGCATGGTTAAGGCATTTTCTAACATAAGAGAATGAGTTTTGCGCTTTAACATTACACATTCTGCACTTAAAGAGTTTTTTTCTATAGTCAATTCAGTCATAACTGTTCTACCAAAGTACCAAAGGACCCTAGCACTCTTTTGCAAACTCCTACCACTTTAAATATAGATCAAATTGAACCAAAACAGTATTATTTCAATTTTATGAGGTTATGTTTTGTTTTATGCACATTTTCTGTCAAATTGCTGTAATGTCAAACTTCGTTCGCAGGGAGTCGCTACAGTCGACACCACGGGTTACATAAAGGTTTTCTGGGTGACTAAAAGTAGCCATAAACACCCCGGCATTTATAATGGTGATTTGTATCACTTTTAGTTGAATAAAACACTAAAATTGGTGTTTTAAATAACCCAAACTCATTTACGCAACCAAATAAGTAACCTAATTTATATAATGGTTGATGAGTATGTTATAGACCCTAAAGTAATATATAGCACTTTAAACATAATGGACGCCATTATTATTGATGTCTTAATTTTTGCCTACAATGAGTATTTCTAAGATAACGTTGAAAACTGGTACAAAACTATATTTTGGCCAGGTGCCAGTTATTTCTATGTATTAAAAAAGTCGTATGTTCTATTATTTATATTAATAAATTTGACTTTCATTACAAAAATTTTACCATATTTTTTTTGTTTATAAAAAAATATATTAAATAATTCTGCTTTTGGGGGCGCATGTGTTTTTTGGAGGTAAAATTGATTTTCACACAGTAAATTTAATATCGCATATGTATTTAGTACTCTGGCTAGGCACAATAGATTTTATTAAGCTTGTAATTTCTATAAAGTCATTTGCATATCGCAAACGCTTTTGTAGGCAGGGATGGCATCATTTTGTCTCTTGTGTCTGGTCTGGATTATCTGCGTAGGACAACTTGGAGCAATAAGATCATATCTGCTTTTTATGTTAAAAAAAGAGGCAAATATTAAAGTAGTTAGTCAGAAAGAAACAAGTTTATTTTCAAAAAACGCGCATGCGCGATATTTCTGTGGAGGTAATCTCTGGGAACCTTCTCGACACCACTATATAACTATTATATACCCTTTTTCAGTTTTATAGCGGTAACTCGATAGGATAGTGTTGAGAAAGTTTTCAGGACTTTGGTTGCACACCTTGAGTGTTGAGAATTACCACAGGAACAGTTATTAAAGGCACTGTTTAGGGCATATAAGTGTTATATAATGGTTACCAATAACTCACGACAACCATTCTAGATGCGTTTAGGTTGTATAATATGGTGTTGGGAAGTTTCCTAACACACTTATAAAACAAAAAATGTTTCTTGGGTTATGCACTAGTGTAATAACCCCTTGACGTTATTAATGACGACTTTACTAAAGAGAAAAAAATTGTAAATTTTTGTAAAAAATTGTTAAATCCTGTAAGCTAAATCAAGTACCAGTACTAGACACCATGCAGCAACATTCTGGAAAAGAGTTTTAAGTAAAGAACAAGAACCCAAGACTTCCACGAGCAGAAATCAAAATAAAATTCAAAAGACTATTGGAAATGAAGTTGTCATTCAATTTTACCTTAGTGAATTTTCCAAACTGCAACATTAAAATACCTATACAGGGTGGCGCACCTCATTCGCATCGGTCGATTATACGACAACGGAATGATGCAGAAACAAAATATTTTATGGGTATATGTGGGAAGAAATGTGGAATAATTTAAAAATATTTTGAAATGAAATCCATACGAAAGTTATATTTTTTCTTATGGAACACACCTGGTATTTTATTTCATTTTTGGATTCTTGGACACAAAATCAGGCATTTATTATAAGGATTTAATATGTTTAAAAGCTTTGGTTTTTGAGATATTTAAAGATATGTAAATATGAATGCTATAATAAAAAAGTTTGTCAACACCTTGTACATTACTTTTCAGAATTAATTCTTGTGCTGACTTTCAAGCCAGAGAAATAAACTTTACTAAAAAAATTGATTGCTTCCTTAAATGTATACAGGGGTGTCAAAAATTCCTGGTCTATTTTAAATATTTATTTTACATAAAAACTTCGTTATTTCATATGCAACACTATGTATTTTTTTTAAATAAGCCGAAGCAGATTTAAATGCTCTTCAAACTATATTAAGGTGTCCTATTACCGATGTATCTGGCTCAGATTTTGAATAAAAAGCGATTTTTCAATAAATTGTAATCAAGATGGCTGATGTCGCTATGGCAATTTTTTAGTGACACACAGTACCTAGCTATTTTCAAAATCGACATTAGTTTATGGACTTTATTTAAATTTATGACAGGTTATTTTTAATTAATTTACCTACAATAAGGTTAATAAGTAAGTATTTATTATTTTATCAAGAAAAATGAAGCAGTATCTGCTGGCGCATGGCGGAAAGAATGGATATATGTTACTAGGGATTTTATTTTATGAGGACAATTATTGCTTGTTGGCCTGAAGGGTTTATGCTCAAAGATATCCAAATAGATATTTTCTTGACAAGAGTTTTTTTGAAATACTACTTTTCCTATTTCGCAGAGCTGATAGTGTGGTATGTGAAAAACCTATTATGCAGAAACCTGTAGTTGGAAGTGAAGAAAATGAATTTGCCTTTATTGGTTCTTTTATAGAAAATCCAATATATCTACAAGACATTGTAATATAAATAAAAGAACTACTTCTTTATTTTTCTTGATAAAATAATAACTACTTACTTATTAAACTATTGTAGGTAGATGAAATAAAAGTTAACAGAGTTATAAATTTAAATAAAGTCCATCAAGTAATGTTGATTTTGAAAATACTACTGCTAATGCTACTAACTGTCACTAGCAAATTGTCATGGCAACACCAGCCTTAATTACCATTTTATTGAAAAATCGCTTTTTATTCAAAATCTGAGCCAGATAGGTATAGGAAACCCTAATATAGTTCGAAAGAGAATTTAAATCTGCCCCGATTTGTTTTAAAAAATACATAGTGTTGTATTTGAAATAACGAAGTTTTTATGTAAAATAGCCCACCAATTTTTGTTACCCCTGTATACATTTAAGGAAGCAATAACATTTTTTAGTAAAGTTTATTTCTCTGGCTTCAAAATCAGCACAAGAATTACCTCTGAAAAGTAATGTACAGGGTGTTGACAAACTTTTTTATTATAGCATGCATATTCAAATATCTGATAAATCAAAGCATTTAAACATATTAAACCCTTATAATATATGCCTTATTTTATGTCCGAGAATCCAAAAAGTAAATAAAATACAGGGTGTTCCATAAGAAAAAATATAACTTTGGTATGGATCTTAGTTCTGACACACCTTGTACATTTCAAAATAATTTTAATTTATTTAATATCTCTCTACATATACCCATAAAAAAGATGGTTTCTACATCTTTCCGTTTTCGTATAATCAACCGAGGCGAATGAGGTGCGCCACCCTGTATAAATGGTAATTACCTAAGCTTCATTTTTTATTCCAAGAAAAATTTTGTATATTTTGGGAGATATTTGCGAAAAAGTGATTTTTAGACCATTTGGGGCCATTTTTTCAGCCAAAGCTTGGTCCATAAGCTTGGTCAAAGAGTAGATAAGACAAGAGACGACAGTTCGCGCGGTACCTTTCATGTTTGAGTGGTGGGGAGAGTGACCTCGTCTCGCTTGTCCCTTTAAATTTTCGTAATTTTTTCGCGGGAAATTTGAAATAGACTATTATTAAAACTTGCCTGTATAGCTTATAAATAGTTACTGTATGGGTAAAGAAATAAATAGAAACGAAAAAAAAACGAGTTTTCTAAATATTATATAAAATAAATTATAATTAGAAACATATTTGTCGGGGAATAAAGATAATAAAAGCAATATTTTGTATATCGTTGGTAAACAAGATAAAGTGACCAAGTCGATTTGTAAGAAATGTTTTATTTACGTGTATTTTTTTACATATGGACTTGAACAAGCGTAATATCACAATGTGGAGTTTATGTACAAAAAAATAGAGTTGCTCAATTTTTTTTGTAAAAATATATTACAAGCTTCTAACCATGTCTTCGATCTATAGATTATATTTAGTTTAATAACATAATTATATAGTATATTTCTATAAAAATACTTTTCAGGATTCTTTGGAAAAGAGTTAAATATTATGTTTGTCGAAGAATAAGACCTATTTTTGCAGTCTTTATAAGCACACACATTGCCACCATCTCGTCTTTTCCTGCTACTCGTGTCCTGTTCAGTATTCATATTTAACAATAATTACAAATTAGTACGTAACAAAAACGATACTAAAATTAAACCTTAAAAACTCTCAAAACGATAATATATCGAAAAACTCTGAAAACACACTTCAAAAAGGCAAAAATGCAAGAAAACAACTAATCAGATTTGTTTATGTTTAAGCCTGATTAGCGTCCTAAAATCATAGGTTAGAATAAATAAAATACGCCGTTGTCAGATTTTATCTGTTTATCTTTGAAATCGATCAACTTAGTCTTTTTGTTTCTTTGATACCTATTATCAGTATATTGCGAAATAAGAACCTAAACCAACCTAAACTAAAAATTTACATTTCCGTATTAACATACGTTACTTATATTATTTATTTATTATTCTCATATATATTATTAATTTGTTTTCAGAAAATCTTGTTTATTTTTCAAAGTAATATACTCGGCAACAGACAAAATGGGACTTGATGGGACCTTTAAATTTTAATATATCTGCGTCTCTCGCGAAATTCGACTTCTTTGTTCACTGTCGTCTCTTGTCTTATCTACTCTTTGGCTTGGTGTTACAGTTTTTTTCCCTAAAACTACTCCTCAAAAGGTACACAATCCGCCTAAAGTCAAGGTCTACGAATTACGCCGAGACTTGGGTCTTTTCATGTCCTTATTTACTGGACTAAAACATGTTTAAAATAGAGTTTAAACAGTTTAAGACAAGTAATAGTGTTTTCAACATGTTTAAAACAGTTGTTTTTAAACAAAATGTTTAAAACATATCAACCATGATTACGAGATAGATCTTTTACATTTTATAAAAACATATAAAGCACTAAAAAATCTACGTAAACAGGCTAGTGCATAAAGCTTCTCTAAAAGCGCTGTTTACTATTAATGGACTTTGTTAAAAGATATATTTAAATTTATTTCACTGTGGTCATTGTATTAAATATTTTACTATACCTTGAATATTTCAAAACATTAATCCAATTTATCCTAATGGTACTTTTCACATGTTTGACTTCTCCGTGCTTCTTTATCAATTTAAATAACTTAATCTTCTGTTCTTGGCTCATTCGATTTCTAGAAGACATCCTAAAAATTAAACAAAATAAATGAATCTAGTTATATGTTATATTAAACTTCTATCTTTACCTGTTGTCAGAAACTGTCACTTTTGCAATTTTAGGTTTTGATTGAAGATGACATTTACATACTTTTACCTAAAAATAAAACTCATAACTTAAGAAGTCTGACTACATAATAAAAAAGGTACATTTTTTTGCACACCATCTAGTCGAATACACTTTGTACCTAAGCAAGTTGTACATACAAACTTAGGCAACTTGAGTGAAGGTGTGGAATTCAGGTTCAACTTCTTTCTACTGTTTTTGTCTAGAAATACATCCCTGTCCTACAAATAAAGTCAAGCTATAGAAAAAATAAACTTTTTCAATTAAAACAATTTACTTTGAAATGGTCTTCACACACAGTCAAATTTTCTCCATCCTCTCTTAAAATAATCTGTAACCAACGAGTTCTGGCCTGAGATTCTGCCGGGAGATCAAAATATTCTTTCAGGCATCCGTCTCCCATTGTTGAACAATTAAAACATTCTGGTACACAACACTTTTTGTTGAACCAATAAAACATTTTGTTTTCTTCACTTTCTTGCTGTCTAGACTAAAAGTAAATTCTGTAAATAAATCAAACTGGAAAACCACAGCTGTTATCAAGCCTAAAATAGATAAATTTCTAAAGAATGTAAGGGTAGTTTTTAACTAAGGGGTGGGTAAAAATAAAACAAACACTTGTTGAGTAGGTTATGCAGGGGTGCCTGCAGGTATGCAACAGATAATCCAGGTTGCCAAATTTTCGGGGGTGGAAAAATTTTGGGTAAATGTACCTACTCTAAATTAAAAAAAACTATTATTTCCAATTTATTTCTTTTACTTTAAATCTGCCTTGCAAACTCCCAGTAAAATATTTTTTTGTTAAAACGCTACTAAAAACCATTTTAGGCTGATTAAGGTTAAGTAGATAAGTTGTTTTTCTAAATTAAAAATAGATATTTGTACTAGCATATAATCGGTTTATTGTTTAATGTATATTTTTCAGTTACCTTCATTTTGATTTACATGAATAAATCCCTGCTGCAGTGAATTAATGTAAACAATTGTACAACTTTAGCAAACCAATTAATTCAGTTTTTCAATTGGAATACTTCTGGTTTTTGTCTCTGCTGATACTGTGATGTACAAACTTTATATATAAACTAAAAAACACTAGTCATAATAGTTATTTCAAACAAACATATAAAATAAATTACAGAGCAAAATGTAATGCACTTTCTTTTTTGTTTTTGTATTCACTGGGATTGGGGATTTTGGGACAACGCAAGGCTACGCTATTTCTTTCTTTCGTTAAGAGATAGAAAAAGATAGCCGTGCTGTCGCATGTCATGAAAAGTTTAAATACTAGAAATTGAAACGACTCCACGTTGCCAGATTTGGATAGTTTTAATAGGTGTGGGTTTTGGTTTTAAAATAAGTCATTTTAAGTAATAGTTCTTATCATATTATGTACGTTTTTGTGTGTATTATAAGTAGGTATAAGAAGAAAGGGAAATTTCATTTACAGCTATTTTAAACTTTAATAATACCCTTGAAAAAATAATAAACCAAATTAATATCAACTACCTATTTGATTTGAATTAAACATTTTTAGTTGAAGGAAAGAAATTGATAGTCATATACAAACTTGTTATGCCTAGGAAATTTATGTTTATAACATGTTACTAGGTAAATGTAAAAAATATTAAAATAAATAAATTTTACATGTTATACAAGGTAAGTACATATTATACTTTCATTTGTTTTTTGAATCCATTAATCATTCCATAATTAATGCATGAACTTCACAGATATAGGCACCTATTGCAATACATTTTGTTAATTTTTTTCGTTAATAATAATTATAATCTGTATAGTTTTAGTCATAGTATCGTATATCTTGAAAAGTTTATAAATAAAATCAGAACATCTTTAGGTTGCCATAGTCTCAGTTTAAGTTCCAAAAAGATTCTTTTTAGTCCAGAAAATCTATTTTGGGTAAAGTAAGTAGGTACCTATTATAAAAGGATCGTTTTATGTTGATGAAGAAAATTTTCAGTTGAAGAAAACAAAGTGATAATGATGTACACCTGTGTTATGCAAAAGCTCTTGCAGATGTAAAAATATGTATACTATTTTTTGCTTACCTTTATTTATATGAGTGTTAGTTATTTAGATAATTATAGTTTGATATTCTAATGGATTATTCCGCTATCTTTAGTTGAAATTTTTTCAGTTGGAACAAACTGCTAGTGAGGTACGAGCATGTTATGCACATTATAGATATGACTGTATTGTGTAGTTATATTACTTATAAAACACTGGTGGTAATAGTTAAACAGTAGCTAAACATCACATCTCTGGTCACGATAAATACCTAGATAAACTCCTAATATTACATTGTACATAAGAACTTTGCAGAGGCAGAAAGTGCATAAAATATATTTTTTTGTTTTGTAGGTATGAGCTATGCTACACTATTATGTTTATTTCTTGTTTCTATTAAAAGTTAGAAAAAGATAATCATAGAGGTGTCGTATGTTCTGAACAAAGATATTTAAACTCTACTTTAACCTATATAACCGAGTTTAAATATCTTTGGTTCTGAAAAATGATCTAGGGTTCTGACTGAAACATTTTAACAAGGATTTTATAAATAAATTGAGAGACTTCGGCGTTGCCAGATTGGAATCATTTTAATGAGTATGAATTTTAAAACATCAAAAACGTTTTTCTTAGTATAAAAAATTACGCACATACGATTTTTTACGATTAAAACAAACACACATACGATTTTATATATTATAAAACGGCAGATAAGATACTGTTGCTTTAAATTTTATCATACCTACCGTTATATGATCCAAATAAAAACGACTGTCTAATTAGTCCAACTTTAACAACTTAGTTATCATTTTGTGTCAGTTAAAACCTCTGGTTAAAACAAAAAAGATTCTCAGAAATTTGTCGAAAATCAGAGAGAACGTTGATTTTACATAAGAGAGAACAGGGAGAGAACTGATATGATTCAATTGCTTTGTGAATGCAGTGTGCATTCACCAATTAAAAGAATACTTAAATGCTCCTGATTTTATCTAATTTGCAGGGCCTACTTCACCATAAGGCCCATAAGGCGGTGGTCTGGGGCAGGGGGGTGACAGTGAAATAGGAAAATTGGAAACAGTCATTAGTGTCATTCTTGTCATTCTCCTCACGACAAGTATGGCCGCCTAGACAAGGACAGCATTGTTTTTGTCTAACTATTGTCTAACTTCACAGTTTAGAATTGACAGATTTTAGTTTCAGAGACAACTTCAGATTTGTTCTAGAACAAATTCGAAAATATTCGACGCCATTTTAATTCATTCCGTTTAGTTTCGTTTTAGAAGTTCAATTTAATATTTCGGCTGAAATTTATAAATATAAAGGTAATAAAGTATATAAAATATATATTACATGAAGAATCCTGGAGAAAATGACGTTTCTGCAGTAGTAGGTATGTCCCATGTATATGAAAAATAGGTAGTAAATAAACACTGTTTTTACATTTTTTAGATGCAAGAAAATGGTGTTATAATCTCTTTGATCGGCGATTTTTTTGAAAATGGAAACAATTTACAGCAAGGTAAGATCATTTTTAACTATAGCCAACATTAGTTATCTCCAGTATGTGCGACTTATTGTCAATAATGCAATAAATCGGACTGATAATCTGATTATGTTATCCGACTAAAAGTCTCTTTTTGCTTTGGTTTTTTAAACAGTATATTTATATTTTATACCTGTTGATATTTTTACATTGTTAATTTTAGTATAAAAAAAATTGTTTTTCTGTTTTCAGGTTTTTGTATAAGGCTCCCGTTTTCATGTTCCTGTGTCCGTTTTCTGTCCTTGAAGTCTGCGAATACGTGTGTTTATTTACAAATTAATGTAAGTCATGCTTATACCTTAACTAATTTACGTTAAAAGTACATGTAATTAACTAATTGGTATTGAAACAATACAATCCTCTATATTTTTATATTTATTTAGTCACGTTGTTCCATATTTCAAATAAATATATGTGAATAAATTATTTTTTGGTTTTATTTATGAAAAGAAAAAATACAAAATACATTTGAACTGAAAGAGGGCCCGCCATTGAATAACCGGAAACGGAAATGAAAATTAAGCCATCATGTCCTTATCATGTCAACCTGTCAATTGGAAAATTAGTTCTCCAGACGACAACGAAGGCTTTCGGTGGCGTATCGTGTTTCCACGATTTAACACAGAGTTGACACTTCTTTCTAGTTAATTATTTTATGGTCTGGGGGCCCGTTAAGGGCGGTTTACACGCTACGAGAAATGCTAGCAATTAATCGTAACGATCGAATTGTTTCGATTTATTGTTAGGTATAAACAGGACATTGTAGCGATTTATTGGAATTGGAGATGGATTGGGTGATGGAGTTGGATTGGGTGCTCTCCGGCATCAATTTCTGCGAATCGTAACGATATGTTTGAACTTATTGTTAATCTAAGGTTTTGACGTCTAAACATGTTGCACCGCATTTCTCGTTACGATTTCGTCTGATTTATGTTTTCCATTGTTGTTTCATCGGAAAGGTTTTTGTGTATAAATCGAAAATATGGTATGGCAGACAATTCAAACAACCTCCTGGAGAGTTCTTGTGCGAATTTATATAGAACTTTATCGAAGTTTTACCTGTTTTGGCTTGTTAAAAGTAAAGAAAAAGAATAAAAAGGACCTTGCGTATATTGAACTCGTTAACAAATACAAGGAGTTTGATCCCTCAGCAGACAGAAACACTGTCGAGAAAAAAATTAATGCGTTGCGTACGATTTATAAGAAAGAACTGTCGAAAGTGCAAAAATCGGAAAAATCCGGGGCAAATTCTGCAGGCAATCCAAACTACACTATACTACACTCCATGACAAAAGCTATTTTGGAGTCGATATCGAGAGCTCTCGATAACGAAATATGACAAAACACTGTTACTATTTATCGTAATGTGTAAACAGTACTCCACTTTTCCGATTAATTGAATCATAAATTTGTGAATCACATTGTTACTATTTCTCGTAGCGTGTAAACCGCCCTTTAAAGGTTGTAAAATATTCATAATTTCTTGAATTTTTGAATTTTATTGGAAAAGAGGGCCCGAATTTTTGCTTGGGCCTTAGGGCCCAACCAGATGAAAAATAGACTCTGCTAATTTGGGCTTTTTTATGGGGACACGAAAAACATTTTTTACAATACTCGACGAATGATAAATTTTGGAACTATTTTTTTTTAATTAATGATAAATTTTTCTTCGAAAAAATGATGATAAAACAGTTTCTGTTGAACTTTTGCAACAAAATCATTTCAAATTTATGATTTCAGTCTAATAACTATTTAGTCAACATCAGGTCAACATGTTTAATTTATGTCAAATGTTGACAGGTATTATTCATAATTTAGATTCCAAATATGTATCTCGAGAACCATTACTCGTAGCGATTTTTACCAAGAGACATTTTTTACGTAAAAAACGTCGTAAATGTCTATTTTTTTACTCAGTAGTTTTATACAGGTACGGACGAAATGTTGTAACTCTTCAAACCAGATAAAAAAATATGTAGGTGGCGCCATCTATAAGTAGAAGTCATATTGACATCAAAATCAAATTTCTCTTGTCAAAAAACTCCCAGACACCAATTTTCATCCAAATACCGGGTGCGTCTCAAAAGTGGCTCACCCATATAACTTTTTTATTTTATCAGATAAAAACACGAGATTTCGTATGTAAGTATATGACATAAATTAGGATTGATGGACGTATTCAATTCTTTTCGTCCACTTCCTGTTTCACCGGAAATGACTACAACTTTTGATTTTTAAATGGCACCCTCGGTATTTTTTTACTTTATTCAGAAAATTACATTCTGAATAGAATGACATATAATATGTCAACTTTTGACATTTTTGCTTAAATCAAAATTAAATTTTAAATTTCAATCTAGAGTGCCATGGATGTGTTAAAAACACTAATTTTTAATTAAGGAGCCTTGGAAAAATAGATTTGATCGTCTAATGTTTTTCGTGTCTTATCCTGGCAGGTTAAAAGAAAAGATGCCCAAATCGTATTTTTAATCGTAACTCAATTTTTTCAAGAGGGTGGCTCATTAGCATATTTGGAAAAAGCATTTTCTTACGAATAATATGGTACCACACACGTTATGAATCGCATGTTGCAATTTCAAATAAACCATATTCGAAAATGTCAAAAATTGACATATATGATATGTCATTCTATTCAGAGTGTCATTATCTATCGAATAAAGCAACAAAACACCAAGGGTACCATTTAAAAATCAAAAATTGTAGTTATTTTCGGTCAAACAGGAAGTGACAGAAAACAATTGAATACGTCAATCAATCCTAATTTATGTCATATATTAATATATCAAATCTCGATTTTTTATCTGAACTAATAAAAAAGTTATAGAGGCGAGCCACTTTTGAGACGCACCAATTGACGTTACTTCAGAAATTATTTGGAAAAAATCGAAATAAAAATGAAACTTCTGCATTCTGTATCTCCAAAGTTAAGCAAACATAAATTTATACGAACTTTCTTACTTATTTTATCTGCAGAATATGCTGCCGAAGTTTCCGGAATACAGTTCGGAGAACCATGTATATTAAATTCATATCTGTCATATTAAAACACTATGTAAAACCATATTTTTCGTACGAACTCTTTAATTTAAGAGATAAGTTTATTTCATCATTGTTAAAAAAGAAAAGAAATATGTCTAGAAAAGTTAATAAATATAAATCAGCAAACTTTATAGAAGCTGTCACAATGAGCACATTTTAGTAGATTTAGGTTCTAAAATAAAAAGACCTTTTCAGTGTAGAAAATTTATTTCTTGAGCAATATACAATATTTTAAGTAATGAATCATCAAAAAGGCACCTTTTGGTATGTATGATAAAAGAAGGAATATAAATATAAAATACTGTTGTAGTTGTTTAAGGCAATAAACGTTATTATTGTTTAAAACCCCTTCTATGATTATTACTTTATGATGGATGTTTACTCTTATTATCCAAGAATAACCGACAACCAAGCAGAGATGACTCAGACCCAGTGAATTTGTCGCGAGAATAACATTAACCAGAAACAACATTTCTGGTGAAGGTTATAATGACAAGCCAGTTTGGAGAACTTGCTAAACAAAATCTGAACGTATTCTAGAACTATTTTACGAGTAATTTAGCAGTATAGGCTACCGCCAGCGTTCTCCAACAGATGGATTTTGACAAAACTGGCAATCTTTTCGGGAACTGCCAGTCGCTTGATGTCCTTCTCGAACTGATCTTGAGTACCGACTCCCGCTATGTAGCCGTTGAGCTTAGCGGCTACTTCGGAGGTCTGCAGAAGCTCGGGGGTCAGGTTCAGCTCCTCCACTATCCAGCCGTGCTTCTGCAAGCGGTACTTCTGGTGGTAGCTGTCAAATAAAAAGTAAAAGATCAGAAAATGCTGTTTAAAAATCACTTGTGAAAGTAGGGTTTATGTCATGCGAACAAACCCGTTGCGAACATGCGAACATGCGAACATGCGAACAAACCCGAGGATGTTAAGAGAATTAAGTAAACACAGGAGACGCACTAACTATTAGTTGTAATATTACCACGGCATATAAAACAATCGGCAGGCTAAAGCTTATTGTTTCATATAGACGCGAATCGCGAATTGCGATTTTGCGAAACTGCTCTCATTGGTCCAATTTTAATGATCATGCAGCGCTGTCAGAAATTTTAAGATTTTGGCGATTCGCAAGATTTAAAATTTGGGGGCGGGAAAGTTAAAGTGTTTTCAACTTTTTGCGAATATTCGCGCGATTTTAAGGTTCGCGTTTGCGCAGAATGGTGTTGTGATCCGGTTATCGATTATTTTGACGACGCTGCCACAAAGTACCAAAGTACAAAGTAACTGAAAGCATTTCTCCAGGTGAAATGGGTTCTCCTGTATATGTTTTTGATATAATATGGTGACAATTTTTCAACCAAGTTATCAAACTCCTGTACAGACAATCTGTGAAAATTCCTAAATTTTTTCTCATCTTTTGTCCTCATTTCTTGAATTAAATTGCGATAAGCACCTTGTTGCTTACGAAATTTAAATATTTCACATGTCCCAAATGACCTATAAACCCGTTCTATCCTACGTTTTAACAATAAGTAAATGGCAATTTTGCACCTTCTTTTCCAATCCCACAATCGTAATAAATATTCATAATCATTAAACAAATTTAAACTCATATTGTATGCTATAAAATATAAAATAAAGATCGTAAACACGAATAAAAACAAATTAAGTTATCTCAGGTTATGATTTTTTTTAGTAACTTTCAGTGGAGCAAAAATGAAATGTCCCTAAAAATTCGCAACTGTATGAAATAGGTCCAAATTTTGCGAATATTTTTTGGCGAATCGCTTTTCGCAATTCGCGATTCGCGTCTATATGAAACAAGCTTAACTCTGCCTAGATCCCATTGTTTAAAATTTCTTTAAAATTTGACCTTGACGACGCCATTCGGGGTTCCAAGTCAGGGCAGGATTAAAACGTATCAAAAATAATTCCCAGAAAATAAACTATTGATAGACAGGATCGTATTAAAGAAAATAAGATATGTCCTGTTATCAGGGTTCGGAAAACTACATGTTACTTTTAAAAACTACATAAACTACATTACATGTAGTTAAAATGTAGTTTATGTAACCTATGTATGTAACTTTCAAATATCAAAGGTTTGAGGTGAGGTTATAATAAGTTGAAGCTTTAAAAACACATAATGTATTTAAGAAAACAGAAGAAATATGGCTTTAAATACATATTTATTTACATCATATTATCTCTATTACACCTCATACAAAGGAAAATTATTCATAATATCAATAGATAGTTTATTAACCTACTTTTCATGTAGTTAATGAACGGGAAAAGACGTAGTTTTTGAAGAAAAACTACACGTAGTTAATCAGGTAAATTACGTCTTAATTAACTACTTCCGAACCCTGCCTGTTATGCTCGTATTTGGATTATTCAGTAAATAATATTCTCAACTCGTTTTTATACTTCTGAAAAAAATACTTGGTTTTGGTTAAGCCTATAAAATGTAAAACTTCATTGTATTAGGTCTTAGTGTTTTAAACTGACTGTTTACGTTATTAAACCCTTTAATATGTTTAATCTACGATCCGGTAAATAAGAAATCTATTAGCCGTTTGGATCTTAGCCAGCAATCTTTTATAAATTTCCGAAAGAAACTGAAAGGTATGTTTGTCTTATTGTAATAATTAAAATATCTCTAAAATATATCTGTTAATTAAGAGCTCAATTTTTCTAAAAAAAACTATATTATACTACGATTTTAGTATGAAGAAAAGTCAATTTTCCTTAAAGTACGAAAAAAAAATAATTATGATAATGTTTAGACATATGTTTTGATTTTTTTGTGACTTTTTTGCTTTAACGCTCAATAATTGATTACTTACAATAATTTTAAATTGCTATAGAGTGTTGTGTAAAGTTAGGGTATTAACTTGTTATAGTATATTAAAATATAAAGGCCTGTCCTACATAAAAATGCTTGTCTATACAAATATATTTGTATAGACAAGCATATATTTGTAGAGAAATTCTTAAATATATGTAGTAAATCAAGTGAATGGATCTGTCCGCAAAAGTTGAAAGATCAGAGTTACCGAATATGTGGCGCTCATTTCAGTACGCGAATAAGGGCAAAAGAAAACTTTAAAGGAAGGGAATCGCGCATTAACGGGTTAACCGTGCATACTTCTCCAAAAGTGAAAATGAAGAAATCAATTAAACATTTGACTGTACAGAATAGACACTTAAAATTAAAAACACACAACTAACAAAAACATGCCAGGAGTTATAAACAAGAATTAAAGAAATACCCAATAAAATATCTATTAAACAATATAAAGAGGCTACGTACAAATTATGCCCATCAATGGACGTAGCAAATTTTATTAATATTTAAATTTCACAAATTAACAAATCAGCTAAAGGAGGAAGAGTTACCGATGAATTTAAATATAAATATCTGGCGAAGTACTTTTCCGGGCCGCAATTATACAAGACGCTTTTGATAAATCTATTTTGCCTTCCATGTCTAGAGACACTAAGAAAATTAATATATAGCATCGATATCAAACCTGGCTTAGAAAAGGCTAGTGCATTTGAGACACTAAAAAAAAGTTGAAAATAATAAATAAGTAAATTAATAAAACTACACAAACAAAATACATCCAAATCACTCAAGAAAACAACAAAATAAATTAAGCCGCACGCTACTGACTCAAAGCTGCCGTAACTGTCCGTTTTCGATGACAAAACTACGACTCACTACGACACTGGTTAATTTCTGTTGTTGGAACCCCAAATGGTGGCGTGCGCAAGGATATGCGCGTAGCGTTCCCGCCAAAACGAGTGGGACTGCCATGCCGGTTGTTTATAATATGCCGTGATATTATAATATAAAAGAATATAAGAAACTTTTAGGGTAGGTAAAAACGTTACGTCTAGAAAGTAAGGGTAAAACGGAGGATCGTATACAGAACTGATATCGCCAATTCTTAAAAAATCTGCCTTTTTCACTGACAGGAAAACCATAAGATAACACGTTATGTGTAGACGGAGCTTAAGATGTACTTACTCTTCCGCTGGATAAAATGGACCGGCAGGAGCCAGTTCCGTAAGCAACTTCTCATTCCTTTTTCCAGCTTCAATTTTAATCTCCTTTTCCGCGATTCTTTTCTGGTCCTCGTCGTGATACAGTATGAGCGACATATACTAGAACAAACAGAAAAACAAATATCAGTAAAACGGTCACAATTGACTCGGAGTTTTCTTTGACCTGACATACAGGGTGTCATTGAAGTGGTGTAAAAAATCGGGGGGTGATAGTACTCCCAAAAATTGAAAAAAAGTTCCTATAAGTATAGGGCGGAAAATGCATATTAAGGGAGTTAGGGGTACAGAAAGGGTGAATTAAAAACGGTTGTTTTGAAATTGTAGGCTTAAAAAATGAGATACGACTTCGAACAAAAATCCTCTGCCATAAATTTTGACCCTAAATCAAATGGTGATACTGAAAAATTATTTGGAAAAGCGGAAAGGGTAGTTTTTGCAATGGTAGGGGGTTGTTTCGTGAATAACTTTTTTGAGGTTATTTTTTTTGCAACGTGGATTCATTTTTTGAAAACTACATATTTTTTCCTACAAAAAAGGTACTCTTTTGTTGCACATGCCCAGAGCGATGGTTTTCGAGAAAATTGAAAGCAAACAGATTGCTCTGATGGGTTGCTAACTGGTTAATCAACATAAACTTAAGAAAGTTATGGCGGTTCAAAAGTAACCAAGTAGTCATTAAATAATTAATTGGAAAATCAAAATTTCATGATTTTTAAAAGATCTTATTGCTTTAAAAACGAAATAAACTTTTTGGGTTTTAAAAAAAATTGGTTTGCTCAGCGCCCATTAATACTGAAGAGCGACTACGGCAACGCATTATTGATTGGATATTGATGATACAATGCAACGCATTGGATATTCCACAAGGTACCTACGAAGATCGTGGAGAAGAAGATCAGATGTCTACATTGAAATGAATGGTGGTCACTTTGAACATTTACTATGAATGAATTAAGGAATGCATTATTTTAATACTATTAATATGGATTATTTCGTTTTTTAGAGCAATAAGACGTTTTAAAAATCATGAAATTTTGATTTTTCAATTAATTATTTGATAACTACTTGGTTACTTTTGAACCGCCATAACTTTCATAAGTTTATGTTGATTAACCAGTTAGCAACCCAGAGCAAACTTTTTGTCTTTAATTTTCTCGAAAACCATCGCTCTGGGCGATGTGCAACAAGAGTATCTTTTTTGTAGGAAAAAGTGTGTAGTTTTCAAAAAATGAACGCACGTTGCAAAAAAAATAACCTCAAAAAAGTTATTCACGAAAAAAACCCTACCCTTGCAAAAACTACCATTTCCGCTTTTCCAAATAATTTTTCAGTATCACCATTTGATTTAGGGTCAAAATTTATGGCAGATGATTTTTTTTCGAAATTTTATCTCGTTTTTTAAGCCTACAATTTTAAAACAACCGTTTTTTTTAATTCACCCTTTCAGTGCCCCTAACTCCCTTAATATGCATTTTCCGCCCTATACTTATAGGAACTTTTTTTACTATTTTTAGGAGTACTATTACCCCCCGATTTTTTTTAAACCATTTGAATAACACCCTGTATACTAGTACGGGCGACTTTGGAACAGATCACCAAGTTACGCAATCGGAGGCGCGATTTTTAAATTCATTGTTGCCCACCATGAACATATATTATTCGGCACCGGGCTGACTAACTGGAATTTAAATTTCCCGCTGGAAATTCAGGTGATAGCTCTGCTGTAAAAAATGTCAAATTTCCTGACATTGTCATTCGTTTTGACACTTTAGTTTTGTATTACTAGTTTTTGGTTTAGATTAAATTGTGTTGTGATACTTTAAGCTTAAAAATTGTTACTAGCAGATCTTGCAGTCGAACATTGTTCTTTTTAGAACCTCTTTTAGTGCGAAGTGGTACAAGATACCATAATAGCCAATGCAAAAACTCATCACCTTCTTAGAATATTTTGAACGGAAATGCGGTAGTAATGGCTCTTTACGTCCCTTAAGTGCTGTTAAGGAGGTGAGTTTTGTTGACGTAAATATAATAACTGTTTATATATTTATAATTAATTCATATTTATTGTTTCCTCAAATATTTTGATTAAAAGAAAATATGTAAAAGTGGGCAACGCTGTGCCGGTCAAGATTAATCACGTGACTAAAAGTTTAATTGGTATGGACTATAGGTAGATAATAGGAGATATATGACTACTAAAATCAACATACCTGTCTCTTGATTACGGTAGTCAAACCATATTCATGATTATTCCAGAATAATTGAAGAAGATCGTGATATGTGATCACTTTGGGGTCATAGTCTATTTCTATCACTTCGGTATGATCACCCCTAGAACAAAAAAAATTATATAAATTATAGAGATAAATATATAATATGATACCTAATAATAAATAGTACTAATAAGGTTTTTTTATTCAAAAAATCATGCTACATAAGTACAACCTAGTTATCTTGTGAAGCTGTGTAAATACGGTTGCATTAAAAACTATGTATATTTTTTGTTACTAGAGTTTTCGCGATATTTTGAGTAATTATATAGATAGATACTAAATAAATAATTATTCTGTGGATGCGATTTTTTCCGATGATATATTGTTACAGTATTATTTAATTTAATTAATAAAACATACAAGTACTATAATCTTAGATAATGTTTTACTTTTCAGCCTCCAAGTTCTCCTTCATATAAATTAGGTATGCTTATTATTAAAACTTATGCTAATAAAATAATGAAATTTTACCAACCAATATTTGGAGAAAAATAACTAGGGTAATACATTTTTAAATACATTAAGAAACGTACGATTTTTATCAGATAAATAAATATTGGTTTATTTTAGCTCGTGTCAAATTTGTGTGATGCAGAACATTTCTTTTTACTTCCCATGAATTTTAAATGAAAAAAACTTCTTTTATAAGCCATACTGTTATAATATGATATATCAAAAATATCTATATTTTTATTTTAAAATACCTATATCGGTTTGTATGTTGAAATATCGATACTGGCTTAAACAATCACATCCCTAACACAAGCTTATTTGGATAAGTAATACAAATTTTAAGAATATAAAACCTTTTCTTTTGATGTTCGTCGCTGTGTACTGATTGATTTTTGATAATTTTAAGAAAGCTGGATTATGATGTTCCCAAAATTTATCAGACGACGCACGCCCTCCGTCTATGACCCTACGCACCCCTACGTATTAAAATATTTAAAATACAGGGTGAGTCTTAAATAAGTGCAAATATTTTCAGGGGTGATATATTTCGACCCCAGGAACACGCCTATAAAGTTTATTTCGCAAAAAATGATGTTGAAAATCGTGAATTTTCTTTTAAATTTCCCTGTATATTTTTCGAAAACTTTTTAGAACTGCCTGTTCACCGCAAATTTTCACAGGGTATAATACCGTATGATCGAATAAAAACGGCGTCAACGATGGGTATGAAATGAAGATCGCTGTCATTTTATATGTAAAATTATATGGGAAATGTCATCGATCATCATTTCGTAACCAACTGGACGCCGTCTTTTTTCGATCATACGGTATAATTTCTTAATCTCTGATATTACCATAGTTACGGCTTTACTCTTTGGTTACGGCACTAAAAAGGACGCAATTACAGAAAAAAGCCGGCGGCTCTCAAAATTTTTTCAAAACAAAATCATTTTTTTTAATTTTCAAACTTAAATAACTCGGTTATTTTGGACTTATCTGAAAAATGGTAAAGAGAAAATATGTTTCTTTTATCGAGATCTACCTGCCCTGAAAATATTTGTACTTATTTAAGACTCACCCTGTATAAGTGAAGAGTTGGTTTGGCAAAAATTGATTTAAAGGAGCTACCTCTAAAAACATTACAGACAGACTCAAACATTACAGGTGAGGCACAAAAACTTTTTTTTACTCCGAATCGAACATGCTCTTTTTTTCAAATGTCACAATTAAAAGTAATACCTTGTAAGTAATTATATATCTATAGAGAAATTATGGTTACGGTAGTTGTATTTGACACTTTATGTCAGTTTAATAATATATTTTCGTACTTTTGTACTTAAGGTGGCTACACACACTACTGCAAGCTTGACAAGCATGCATAAACAATTTTTTTGTACAAGCATGCATAATTTACAAGCATTTTTAATTTAATTATTCCGCGAAAAAGAAGAAGGAATCCTGAAGGCATTTATCTTTTTAATAACGGCATCTTTATCGGCTTGGCTGTCAATTAATCTATACTTATTAAGTATAGATTAATTGACATTTTGTATGCTGCATCCATCTTCACACTATCATGATATTCTCGTGAATTAATTCGCCAAAGACACGGCTGATATTCGTATGCCCGAATAAAATCTTTCAATAATCCTCGATTGCTCCTTTTCAGTTCGCTAGACATGATGGCGACGCGACGTACATGTCATTTACGATCACGGACTGAACTAATTATTTGTACAAGCTGTATACATATTGGTAAACACGTAGCGTTTCGCTTCCGCAAGCATGGCTTGTCCAAGCTTGCATGATTCAAATTCAATCAATCATCAAGCGGCTTGCACAATTAAAATGCTTGCGCAAATTTTCCCTACAGACGCTACAGTCTGCTTGTACAAAAACATTGTTCATGCGTGCTTGTCAAGCTTGCAGTAGTGTGTGTAGCCACCTTTAGACGTAAAAGTGCTTCACTTTTATGCCTAGGCGTTAAATGACGTTTTTATATTGTCAATCACGTCGCAAAAATTAATATCTTTGTGACGTTTGAAAAAATAGCTTTCTCGAAAAAAGTAGTGGCGTACCATTTATTTTAATAAATAATCCAGGGGGTGTGCGTACGCACGCCACTGGTTCAAGTAGGAAAACAACAGTTAATGGAAATGAAACCCCTTTATACCCGCAAAATATATTCCAGAATTGAAAAAAATATCTAAAGTAGGTAGTTTCCGACTTATTACGAGAAAAAAAATCACCCTGTATATAATTTGTGAATATTTGCGTGAACCGTTTTTGAATCATATATTTTGGTTTAAATAAATGCGACCAATAACGCACAAAAAGCGTAGTGTGCCTTGGAGACGAAAGAAATAACACACTTACTTCCTCATGCAGGTATCGCTCTAAATACATTTGAAAACCCTGTACAACTAAATATCGAAATTAATACTAAGTTATTCTAATTTCATGCACATCTCAAGTACCCAATGCCACCAAAGACCCACTACATTACAGGTAAAATACCAGAAATACCTCGGGTTTTCAGTGGGAGGTTTAGCAGCAGCACCGTCTTCACTTGAAGCACTATCGCTAAAAGCAACAGAATAAACCACATAAAAACAAAATTATTTGTAAAAGCTTATAAAAATGTGCATAAAATTTATATACATAATGTGTTGCATGACAGGAACATAATTAAAATTAACTGGAATAACTGCTTAACTGGAATGGCAACCCAATTTTTACAGCTTTATACCTAATAATATAATAAATCAATAAAAATGCCAAACATATTTAAAATTTAAAGGAGTTAGGTATCAGTTAAATCTGACATTAAAAACATATATCACGCAAAATATTTTTTTTGTCTTTCCCGCTTCATTTAGAAAATCGAAAATCGAAATTAGTGGAATAAATTAGCGGTTTCAATTAACGTAGAAGTTGCTTCCTCTAATAGCAATGTTAGCATTCAAAATGTCAAAATTAGTGGTAATAATTTTCAATTAACTTTCACTTTTTAAAGCTTCATTCAGAACATCCAAATTAGTGGAATACATTAGCGGTTACAGCTAACGTCGAAGTTGGTTTCTCTAATATCAATATAAGCATTCAGAATGTCAAAATTAGTGGCAGTTAATTCCAATTAGTTTTAACTTTTTAAAGCTTCATTCATAACATCAAAATTAGCGGAATAAATTAGCGGTTTCAATTAACCCAGAAGATGGTTTCTTTAATATCAATGTAAGCATTTAGAATAACAAAATTAGTGGTAGTAACTCAGCTGTAACTTTTTAAAGCTTCATTCAGAACATCAAAATTAGCGGAATAAATTAGCGGTTTCAATTAACCTAGAAGTTGGTTTCTCTAATATCAATGTCAGCATTCAGAACGTCAAAATTAGTGGTAGTAACTTAGCTGTTACTTTTTAAAGCTTCATTCGGAACATCGAAATTAGTGGAATAAATTAGTGGTTTCGATTATACTTTATTTTTGAGAGTTCGCGATCAATCTATATAATATCCTAGTATTATAATTAGCTAATTAACTTTTTCTACTAATTGAAAATTACCACCACTAATTTTGACATTCTGAATGCTTATATTGAAATTAGAGGAACCAACCACTAATTTACAGGTTCTGAATGAAGCTTTAATGATCCAAAATATAATTTTTGTCTTAACCTTTAAGCCTCATTTTCAGAACCTCAAAATTGGTGAAATAAATTAGTGGTTTCAATTATACTTTATTCTTAAGAGTTTGCGATCATTCTATAGAATAACCTAGTATTAAAATTAGCTAATTAACTTTTACTACTAATTGAAAATTATCACCACTAATTTTAACATTCTGAATGCTTACATTGAAATTAGAGAAACCAACCACTAATTGCAGGTTGTGAATGAAGCTTTAATGACCCAAAATATAATTTTTGTCTTAACCTTTAAGCCTCATTTTCAGAACCCCAAAATTGGTGAAATAAATTAGTGGTTTCAATTAACGTAGATGTTTGTTCCTCTAATATCAATGTAAAATCTAAGCATTCAGAACGTGAAAATTAGTGGTAGTTATTTTCAAGTAGGGGAAAAGTTAACAAATTTGTAATTTTTTTCATTAATTATACTACTTCAAAATATGCGAGTTGTGTCATTTTGGCCTCTGATTATCATCCGTCTAGAGAAATTGTGGCAATATTGTGGATAGAAGTAAAAAGTATAAAAAGTTTATTGTTCTAAAAGTTAATTTTTCTATGGAAACTGATTGTATTTTTTAGAAATTATGAATGATCGTAAACTGATAAGTATAAAGTAGAATTAAAACCACTAATTTATGCCCCTAATTTCGAGGTTTTGAATGATTGAGCCATTTCCGTAAAAATATAGTTTTTTGCAGCAAAAATGCATTTTCTACACTAAATTATGTATTAGGGTGAGCCAAAAATTAACCTATCGAATTTATGGATTAAAATGAACCTAATAACCGGGAAAAAGATATTCCCGGAATAAGTTCACTATACACACGTGTCACAATAGACACTAAAACTGCATATTTTTTTTATTTTTTTTTCACTTTTCAAAGCTTTCAAATATACGAATTATTGAATTGAAAAAAATTACTCTCAGATAGATTTTTTACGATTTTATACTCTACAAAAATCCGTGATGTAAAATTTTTTATCGTAAACCGTTTCAAACTTATGGTACTTTTAATGGAAAAATATTTTTTACGTGTTATTTAAAAGGAAAACTGCTGGTTCACCGACACCTTTTAAAATTGAGCTAAAAATCCTGCCTTCCGGGGATATTTTTTTCTCGGTTAGGTTCATTTTAACCCATAAATTCTATAGGCTAGTTTTTTTGGCTCACCCTATTATATATACTGACTTTTTGCACGTTCATAGGAAAGTAAAAATTAGTTGTAAAAAATTGGTGAGTGATACAAAATAGTGATACAATTTTGTTTCTCATACTTTACCAGTTGAAGCCTGACGTATCCGCCACGACATCGCGCGACATCAGGAAAAAAATTCTTTTTATTTTTTTTTAATTAAATGAAAAACAAAAAATCCGGCGACGACAGTTTTTAAAAGAGCCAATTAGCTATCTTTTAGTAAAAAAGCAACTTTCTAGAGCAAGTCTTTACTTCAGTAGAGACGACATAGATAAACATTAGCATTTTATATATGTAGATTCTTTAATAATTTCTTAACATATTATTAAATATAAAGATGCTTTAAAAATAAATTCCGCCAAAAAATACTTCTTTAAATCTACTTTTATAACACAGAATTTAAAATTCCATCAAAAATCGTAAAAAATAGGACACCCAAATTTCAAAAACTACAATCAGGTCATAAATTAACTTTAAATAAATCTTTTCATTCAAAAAATATTTTATGGAAACAAAATTCTATATTCATAATCTCGCAATATCAAATTTATTTTTTAGTGTTTCTTAACTACCGTATGATCGAAAAAAAACGGCGTCCAGTTGGCTGGGAAATGAACATCGATGACATTTCTCATATAAATTTACATATAAAATGACAGCGATCTTCATTCCATAGCCATCGCTGACGCCGTTTTTTCTCGATCATACGGTATAAAACTTCACAATTCCATAGCTTGCTTAATTCATTTTTTTCGATCATAATATTCTTACACTTAAAAATTTATTAAAAAAATAAGCTGCTAAAAATTAAGTAAAAACTTACATGCTTTTGTAGACAGGGTTGGGAGTAGTTCCTCCAGAGTACCCTACCCTGGTACGTAGGACTCCAGGTTGAGATCCGAAGAGAGCATCGTTTGCCCAAAAGCACCCCATACCAAAAGTGGCTTTTTTGAAAGGTACTTCTTGTTCCAGACTTGGCATTTTGACTTTGGTATCTGTAAAAAGAAAAATTATTTCAACCTTTAAAATATTTTTAAGCATTAGCGCTGAAAAATGAACCTATATACCTTAAAAAATCGCGAAAAACAAGATTAAAACGACTGTGTTGGGTAAAGTTAACCGACTGCAGAGACAGGCAGTGGTGAGAGACGTGTTGCATAGACTGAAGCCGAGATGAGATAGAGATGGTACCGATCATTCGCTCCTTATATATAATAGTCGAACAAATTTCACCGCCACAGTATACCCAGTGTGCAAGATTAAATCTTGGTCATTTAACAATTTAATTACTATTAAGAGCGATTAAAACACACTTCTAAATAAATATTTAGAAATAATTATAATAAAATCTTATATATAGTTATATTTAAATGTATTTTAGTGCATGCTCTTATAAGCTGTTTAATAGTTTTATTAGATATAGTAAACTTTATCTTTATTATAATATTTGGGTTAACAAGGATAATCTCGAGTTTAAAACTATAACAAAGTTCTAGGATATGATCAAATAAAAATGATGGGGTTGTCTTGATCGCCAAAATTTCGTCGGTATTCCAGCTTGCGGATTTTTTTCGGAACATTGTTTAAAAAAAATTGGTAAAGATGACAGATATTTTTAGATACCTGCGTTGCTTAGTTAAATATGCTGAGAGTTCCGTATAAAGACTATATTAATTTTTTATTACTTAATTACAAGTGTATAATAGTTTTCAGATTTTTTCCTATAGGCTTGGTGCATTCTCCGCCGGTGCTGCCACCATCGGAGAATATCGTAAACAACCAGTATATACAAATACACGGGTTTAAATAGCGAATATACGAAAAATTCATTATTTAATTATTCTAAAAGTGTTAGGAAGTATAATTTGTGAAAATTCTAAAAATAAAAATAAGAAAGTAAATATTTTCTAACTTGCATTATAATTTATTATTCCAGTTAAAAAAAATAGATGAGTTCAACTACGGTAGTTTTACGCACCGGTTTTGCTAGTGGAGACTATAACTTGAGCTATTTCGGCTGCAACGAAATTTTTTGGAGGTACATAATTCAGAAGAAGTTTAAAAATCAGAATGTAGCAAACAATGATACGACCAATAATGCTGTATATGCATGACGTGGACGTTCAATGCAACGAAAAGTTCGAGGCTAGAGATTTGGGAAGAAAAATACTGAGGAAGATTTTTGGAGGAAAGAAGATAGACAACATATGGACCAGAAGAACAAATGAAGAATTAAAGCAACTATATCGGGCACTGAGTATAACGGGTGTAACAAGAGCGACTAAGATGGCTGGGACACATTGAAAGAATGGCTGAAGCAGGAATTCCTAGTATGATAATGAAACGTGAAATAGATGAAAAGGAGGGGTAGACCGAGAATCGGATGGAAAAAGAATGTAGAAGAGGACTTGAGAAGGATAAGAGTGGATGGGTGGAGAATAAAGGCGAAAGACAGAAACAAATGGAGAAAGATAATCAAGCCATGAGCATTTTAGGCTTTTAGAGCTATTATATATATATATATATATATATATATATATATATATATATATATATATATATATATATATATATATATATATATATATATATATATATATATATATATATATATATATTATATATATATATATATATATATATATATAATATATATATATAATATATATATATATATATATATATATATATATATATATATATATATATATATATATATATATATATATATATATATATATATATATATATATATATATATACATAATTCAAATTTTAGAAGGTATTCATAAAAAAATTAAGCACTAATTGATTAAAAAAAGAGCACACTATTAATATTGCAAATTATATTTTATCCTCTCATAGTATAAAGGCGCATTCTGAAGACTCGTCTACTTGACAAGTATTTTTTATTGGCATACAGGGTCTGGCGAAAATGCGGCGTAGTTCCTGTAATAAATAACTTAGAAATTCTGTATAGATGCCCCCGTCGCACCATGTGTACCCTGTATAACAATTACAAACGTTTGTCCAGTACACGAGTCGCGAGAATGCGTCATAATATGTCAATTTAATTTTTTGATTATGTAATGAGCACTTTATTTACTCACTTGTTTCGTCGAACTGCTTGAATTCATTTTTGCTTCTGATCAAATCGGTTTGATAATCTCTGAAGCTATGAAATGTTGATTAGGGGGAGTTGAATATTCGGGAAAGTTTGGTTTAGTTATTGAATGTTCGAGAATTTTTTCACTTAATTTTTACTACCCGAAACGATTTAATAGTCTCAATAACTGATGCACTAGCAAAAAACTAAAATACTTAAATATTATGACAAAACCACGATTTCAATATTATTTTAATGCGATCAACATGAACATAGCGAACATTTCTGATTTCTGCAGTAGAGAGCGCTGCGATCAGAATTTCTTGAAATCAACTAAAATGCATCAAGCCAAGTTTTCTGTACTTGTAGTTTGTAGTATAAGACGGTATTTACAGTTGTACAAATATAGGAAGAGACTTTGGGGATAGCACCGGTCGCGTGTTATTTTGTATTCTGGCATATGGTTGTGAATCTTAAAGCTCCTTTGCACAGATGTCTCTGTAGAAACTATTCTAGCCTTGCATTTGTACCTCTCCACGTTGACACATCTCCAATAAGTTTTCTCTTGTCGCCGAAAATGTATCTTATACACGTAGTTATTAAAAATCATCTTAGATGTAACCCCTTCATTGTAGAAAAAGGCAATACCTAGAATACCAGTAGAAACATAATTTCGAATCCAACCAGTAAAATGAAGTATATTTAATATAACAGCAGTATAATTTCTCCAGGCAAAAGTGCCATACGATCGAAAAAAATGACATCAGAGATTGCTTGGAAATGAAGATCGCAGTCATTTTACACCGACCGTTGACAAAGCTAACTGGATGCCGTTTTTTTCGATCATACGATATATACAGGGTGTCATTGAAATGGTGTAAAAAATCAGGGGGTGATAGTACTCCTAAAAATAGTAAAAAAAGTTCCTATAAGTATAGGGCGGAGAATGCATATTAAGGGAGTTAGGGGCACTGAAAGGGTGAATTTAAAAAACGGTTGTTTTGAAATTGCAGGCGTAAAAAACGAGATAAAATTTCGAAAAAAATCCTCTTTCATAAATTTTGACCCTAAATCAAATGGTGATACTGAAAAATTATTTGGAAAAGCGGAAAGGGTAGTTTTTGCAAGGGTAAGGGATTGTTTCGTGAATAACTTTTTTGAGGTTATTTTTTTGCAACGTGGGTTCGTTTTTTGAAAAACTACATACTTTTTTCTACAAAAAAGGTACTCTTGTTTCACATCGCCCAGAGCGATGGTTTTCGAGAAAATTGAAGGCAAAGAGTTTGCTCTGATGGGTTGCCAACTGGTTAATCAACATAAACTTATGAAAGTTATGGCGGTTCAAAAGTAACCAAGTAGTTATCAAATAATTAATTGAAAAATCAAAATTTCATGATTTTTAAAACATCTTATTGCTTTAAAAAACGAAATTAACTAAAAACGAGTACTATCACCCCCTGATTTTTTTACACCATTTCAATGACACCCTGTATATATCTAAAAAACTATAAAAATTAAAAAGAATACAATAATATTTAGATTATTATAGAAAAATGATGTTAAAATGTTCGCGCAGTGTATTAATCCATTGAAGCACTATTTTATAAATTTGTTGCATCAGAATTATCCAATAACGCATGCTGCATATTAGCCTTGTATATTATAGGTTCATTTATATTTAAATTTCAATTCAATAATTGCTTAAATTACTAATTATTCTTCTATCAAAATCAGACTATATTATGCTTGCTGGCAATATAAATAAAGATTTTTTTTCAATAATTATTATACTTTGAAAAAAAAATTTCTTTAATAAAAAAGTATTACTATAAAATTTTTATTCACCGAGTGGAATGACATTGCGTATTTTTTTCAATGAACAAATAAAATATTGTATGATTTGTCCTGATAGACTGTGTGATTACGAATTATTTTTATATTTAGGAACAATAGGGGGGCTGATTATAAGATAGCAGACGTCAAATTTAAATTGTTATAGACCTAGTCTATATTAAATTATTAATATCAGGCTTAATCTTTCTTTTTTGATAATTTATGACCCATTTAAGATATTTCTTTTTGACCTTTATTATTTTAATTCCTTTCACAGACATATTATTCAACGTGGCAACGTTGTTGTATGTATATTCCTGTGACTCCTGTCCAGTGTAGACCAGCGATGCCAACTCTGCCGATTTATCGGTAGGTTTAAAGTTTATATCGACAATCTGAATAATTTTCCGAAATATCCAGAATTACAAAATCTCCTAATGAGACAAAAAATAATTATGATATAAGAGAAAGTATTTTTGAGAGGGATTTTGTTACGATTTTACTATCAACTGCTATTATTAAAGAATTAGTTTCAACAATGATTAATTCCTGAGAAAACAGTATTTTATTTGCGCTTTATATCGTCGTTTAAAATTTATATTTCTTACAGCCTTTTAACGTTCTTTTTAACTTCCTATTTAAAATTTTGAATTTGGGTTATTTTTGGTGGCTTAGTACGTTTTTTATTTTTTTATCTAATTTATATTATTTGAAACATGATTTTTATCGTATTTGTTCTTTTTTCGTAGTTTTTCATAAAAAGTTTATGTAAATATAATCCTGGTATACAGGGTGTTAAAAAAATATTGTATCTAATGGCGCGCTCTGGTGGCATATTCTCACGACTCGTGTACTTGGCAAGTATTTTTTATTGGCATTCAGGGTCTGGCGAGAATGTGGCGGAGTTCCTATAATAAATAACTTGGACATTCTGTATAGATGCCCATCGCACCGTGTACAGCTATACAGGGTAGCGCCTCTCATACGCCGCGGAGGCTCCAAAAAGAACGACAGTTTGTATTAAAATGAAATTTTTTGAGCATATGTAGGTTAATTCAGAGCATTTTTTAAAAATATAGAGAGTTCTACAGAGTGTCACCAAAAAAAGTTACATATCAAAGTTGTGTTTTTTTTTGTAATAGAACAAACACCCTATATATTAATTGTTTTTCGGATTCTGTGAGAAAAATCAAGGTGAGTTTTATAAGGGAAGTATATGACTAAAATTTTTGACATATTTAACATTTTCAATAAATAAAGAACAATTTTTAAATTACAATAAAAGCTACCTAAATTGGAATTTACCCGGTATAGCCTAATATGTAGTTAAATTAACTATTGTACTTTAAATCAAATTAAAACTTGATTCAAAAAGTTATACAGGGTGAGACAAAATTAATATTGAACATTGGTCACCTTTAAAAGCATGTTACTCTTTTATTTTAAATGGAACACCTCGTATATTATTCCGAGATTTAATTGGAGAATTCATGTCTCTTCAAAATACTATTAAGGTTGCCTACCCCTCAAACAAAGATTTTCCTAGATATTTTCATTTACATGATTTGATCTGAGTAGATCTTTATTATTTGATAAAAATCTAGGTGGCTGTGATATGTATGTCTGACGTTACTTCAACATAACTCTCTAATTAGTCCAACTTTAACAACTAGTAATCATTTTGTGTCAGTTAAAACAAAAAAAAATGTCATAAATTTCCCGAAAATGCAAACTTATCCTACATCAGAAAGAATTGATATGATTCTATTAGTTGGTAAATGCAGTGTGCAGAATACTTAAATGCTCTTGTGATGAAAACTTTTTCTTTGATACTTTTATTATGAACTTATAACGTTATTACACAATTTTAAAAAATATATAAAAGCTTGTCGCGATATTTCTCTACATCGATAAACAAGTAAATTAACTAAAACCTGTGTCTGCCCTGTCTGATTTTATCTAGTCTCGGTTTTTTATGGGGATATTTTAGGGACAGAATCTACCAATTTTTTTCTTATTCTACCGACTTTTCAATATCGAAACTACCGACATTTAATTTTTGAAGTTGGCAACACTGTTGGAGACATAGGTAGTATATCCTCAATGGAAATAGCATAACAAATTATTGTTGTATTAATTTATTAATTAATACAACATTGATTTATAGTTGCTATTTTAGTAATAAGATAAATGTACGTGTTGAATAATATCAATAGATCAATAAATAATGTAATAAATTATCTTGTTTCACACGAAATACAATAGAATAAATCAGGATGTATCGGCAACATTGGACGAATAAAGCTCAATAACCTATATTAGCAAAAATAGCAAATGACAACACCAAAGTCAATCAAAAATTTTATAAACAAACTAAACCAGAAAATTATTTACCATTTTTAGTAAACCATAGATTCCAGGGAAGTTTAATCAAATAACTATCACTGAGGGCTTCAGGGCCATTATATCTCACATACACACCCAAAAACAGGCTTATAACTAACACTAATGCACTGAGAATTTTCCTACAAGTTATTGTCATGTTTTAAATTTGATAAACACTGTATTTTTTAAAACCGAAAACACTCTTTCATGATTTAAAAATCCGTAATAAAATTACAGCCTGTACCAAAGACTGCGGTGTAAACTATTCATCACATCACTGTTTGTTTGAGCTTTAGCTTTCTTTCTTAAAGAACCGACTACCTGTCATCGGAGTCCACGTATATCTTCCGTTTGAAAAGACTAAGTTTGGAAATTTGTCACTAAACACATGATTTTTTGCACGTAGATGTTCGAAGATTATATTCCTATTTTTACTGTTATTGCAATACCACAAAACTACATCTATTTTGAGTGAAAACATAAAAAAAATACCTATTATCAAATTATGATTTAATGGCTTTATATATTAATTTGGTGGGCGTTTTAATAGTTATTTTATTTCAGCCTTCAAAAATATATTAGATTAGAGTTTTTCACATAATATTTAAGTAACTGAATTCTGAACCTGAACTTCAAACTTACCAAACAAGTTTTTGAATTCAATAGACGGACAGGTTTTTGTACCTTCTCTGATGGATGCACTTTCAAAACGGACCACATTTTATTTTGGCCCAAGCACTAATTAAGGAATTTTGGGTAGGTTAAACAAGGTTGATACCGTACAAGTTTGAAGGCTGCTCTATCATAATTATCCAAATAATGTTAATTGATTTGAGAATTAGTTGGGGAACATTCCATAAAATAAAAGAATTATCAATGTTAACAGGAAATAATTTTTTTTATTTATTAGATTTTTTGTTACAGAGGGTGGAATTAATAGGTGCGAAAAAAATATTTGGGAATTGTTTTTAAAAATAAAGTAAATAGTATAAGTTAACAACAATACAAATATACAATATGATAAAAAAAACAGCGTCAGCGATGGCTACAAAATGAAGATCGCTGTCATTTTATATGTAAAATTATATGGGGAATATCATCAAGCGTCATTTCTAAGCCAACTGGACGCCGTTTTTTTTTTCGATCATACTTGATCAAGTGTGCCTTTGTTTGATGAGAGATTTACATTATACTTTTTTTCATATTCATTATCTACTAATACAGACACGAAATTTCAATTTTCTGATTTTTCTGATGAGATATGTTTTGGAAATAAAGCGATAATATTAATATTTTGAGCAGTGGCGGACACAGAGGGGGGCCCATGGGGCCCGTCCCCCCTAAAATGTATAAATTGTGTTAAATATTTGGCTTTTGGGTTAAAATTGGCGCCCTAAATAGCATATTCTACATTACTTTTTATTTGGGCCTCCCCTAAAATAAATTTCTCTATCCGCCCCTGATTTTGAGACACTCAATACAGGTGAGCCTTAAATATAAGTGCAAATATTTTTAGGGGTAATACATTTCGACCCCAGGAACACGCCCCTGAGGTTTTTTCGCGAAAAAAAAAAAAAAATTTCAGTTTTTGGAAATTTATAAAATTTTTAGTTAAAAACATAATTTCTTGAGAATATGTAATTACAACATATCTACCTGGTGCGTATCAAAAATGGCTCACCCTTATAACTTTTAATAATAATAACTTTTTTTATTTTTACAGATAAAAAATCGAGATTTGTTTTGTTAGTATATGACATAAATTATTAAGATTGATTGACGTATTCAGTTGTTTTCGGTCACTTCCTGTTTCACCGGAAATTACTACAACTTTTAATTTTTAAATGGCACCCTGGGTATTTTGTTAATTTAGTTGATTTATTGATTATTTGATAGAAAAAGACACATGAAGAATGACATATCATGTGTCAACTTTTAACATTTTCGAATATGGTTTAAAAATTGCAATATGCGATTCATAATGACAATTTGACTCGAAATACCAAGTCTGTGGTACCAAATATTATTCGTAAAAAATACTTTTTCCAAATATGCTAATGAGTCCCCTCGTTCCATTTGAAAAAATTGAGATATGATTAAAAATACAATTTGGGCATCTTTTAACCGACCAGGACATTAAACATTAGACGATCAAATCTATTTTTCCAGGGTTCCTTGATTAAAAATTAGTGATTTTAACACATGCAGTTATGGCACTCTACATGGTGGGTCTTGAATAAGTGCAAATATTTTCAGGGGTGGTATATTTCGACCCCAGGAACACGTCTATGAGGTTTTTTTCGCTAAAAAAAGATGTTGAAAATCGTGCATTTTCTTTTAAATTTCCCTGTATATTTTTCGAAAACTTTTTAGAAACACCGCAAATTTTCCCACGGTATAATTTCTTAATCTCTGATATTACCATAGTTGTTACGGCTTTTGTTACTCTATGGTTACGACAATAAAAGGAATGCAAATACAGAAAAAATCCGGCGGCTCTCAAAATTTTTTCAAAAAAAAAATCATTTTTTTTTTAATTTTCAAACTTAAATAACTCGGTTATTTTGGACTTATCTGAAAAATGGCAAAGAGAAAATATTTTTCTTTTATCGAGATCTACCAGCCCTGAAAATATTTGCACTTATTTAAGACTCACACTGTATAGATTGAAATTTAAAATACAATTTTGTTGACAAGTTGACATATTATCATATGTTATTCTATTTAGAGTGTTATTTTCTTAGTAACAAAATACAGTGTGTGCTATTTAAAAAATATCTTAAAATTTCTAGTCATTTCCGGTGAAACAGGAAGTAACAGAACAGAATTGAATACGTCAATCAATCTTAATTTGTGTCATATACCAAGATACGATTTTTTTTTTATTTGAAAAAATAAAAAAGTTATAGGGATGAGCCTCTTTTGGGACGTACCCGGTATAGGTAGTACATTAAACATATACAAGAAAGAAAACCCCAAAAAGATCCAGTAGTTCTCAAAATTTAATCTTTTCAAAAAATATTTTCTTTTCAAAGTTTCAAAGTAAAATAACTCGGTTATTTTAAACTTAGTTGAAAAACGATAAAGGGAAAATATGTTTCTTTTCTCGAGATCTACTAGTCCTGAAAATATTTGCACTTATTTAAGATTCACCCTGTAAACAGAAGTTACTTTGTAAGGGAAACGTTGCATTACAAAAATTTATATAACCCCCCACCTTTATTTTTTAATAAGCAGTCACCAAATTTACTGTTATAGAAAAAACTCTTATCAAAAAAAAAATTTTTAAAAAACATCTTAAAAGTTTTTTCACTTATAATTTACACCCTATATAAAACGACAAAAGAAACTTGATTTTATTGTGGTTTACAATACCCTGACTCTTTTATTTTATGTTGCATCAGTTTTTTCTGCAATTGATCCGTTTGTTGCAGTAGAATTGGATACTGCATGCTATATATAGATTACCAAATAAATAAATGTATGAGATTGATAAAGCAATAAAACGTTAGAAAAGCTGTGCTATATTCTATATTATACTTTTACGTGATGTATTTACTGTAAATTACGGGATTCTTGGGAATAAATTTAAGGAGTATTTAAACTTACATAAAATTTGTTATTTTCCGAACAATACTAACTGTTTAATATTTTCTTCTTGCACACTTTGAGTGCTTCTAGATGCTAAAGAACAACTCTAAATTTAAAAGCTTTCTTAAGTCTGCGTTTCTCTATAATGACACACAAGCTGGTTGAACTTGACCTCAATAATGTGATCTAGTTACCTAAATTAATTACAGTATTTTAAATAGACTATTATTTTTTTTTCTTTTGGTTTAAAGTTCTACTGCTTTATATTAATCTGCGTACTGCTTAATAAAAAAAACGTTTAAAAAAGTTTTGCGTAATATGTATGTTAATCTGAGATTAAGTTTGAATTAATTAATACAACAATGTTACAAAATGTTGTAAAATTCAGTCTGTAAAAATAGTTTATGTTAGTATAAACAAATAAAACATTATTGCTTTATATATAACTGCAAAAGATTTTTGCGCTGTATTATTGTTTTAATAATAAACGACATAAAAGATTATTTAAGTAACAAAAATATACAGGGAGTCAAAAAAACAATGTATCTAACTTCGGTGGGTGATACAACAGATAAAAATAAAACAAAAAGTTCTTATGAACATATGAGGAGCAGACTTCCAAAACGCATTTTGTCCAAAATTTCAAATATTGACTTTTAGATGGCGTCATATTCTATACTCCTATACGCATAATTTACCCGTTCTTGGCCTTTCTAAACGCGTTTTGTCTTGTCAAAACTTAATAGCAAAAAGTGCTTGGACATTCAAAACCTGTTTGTCCGTGCATTTCGAAGTAACATAACTTATTATGAATGTCCAGCGTTCTAGTCTAAAATCTACATATATGTATATATAAAATGCTAATGTTTATCTGTGTCGTCTCTACTGAAGTAACGATTTGCTCTAGAAAGTTGCTTTTTTTACTAAAAATTAGCTAATTGACTCTTCTAAAAACTGTCGTCACCGGATTTTTTGTTTTTCATTTAATTAAAAAAAAAATAAAAAGTATTTTGATGTCGTGGCGGATGCGCCAGGCTTCAACTAGTATTGTAATAAATTATTTTGTCGTTAGCATTTTTCAACTGAAAAGTATTGATTTAAAGTAGTTTTTGTTTAAGTACAAACCTAAAGTGTGTACCAGGATGTATTTCCGGAAAATATTTTAACTTCTATAGAGTGGCTCAAAAAAGTGTTAGTGGATCTGGATGATTTTTTTTAATTGAACACCCTGTATATTATTGCATTTTTGGCTTCCTTTCAGATCATCTATGCATAATCCTGAGAGACGAGTAAATTTATTTCGATAGTTTCAGAGATATTAAAAAATGAATCAAAAATATATATTTTTCAACGCTTCTTTAAAAAAAATTAAAAATACAGGAATAACTGTTCTGAAATCAAAACTATATTAGATATTTACTTCAGATGGTGTGTTTTTACTTTGCTATAAATATGGTAATCGTAAATCATACAGGATGCTGAATATTTTACGCCAAACTTTCAAAAACATAAAATAATTTTTCTTCGTTTTTTTTTTAAATGGAACACCTTGTATATTATTTTTTTATTAGATGGAGAATTAAAAAATGAACATTTTTTGTATTTAAAGTATTTCAAAATTTTTAATAGTTTTCCGGATACCACGCAGTATTATTTCATATGGCGCTTCCAATGGTAAAATACGAGAGAAAAATCATTAGGTGGCTTTGATGAAAATTTACTGTAGAAAATGCCATATGAAATACAAAACCGGGAATATCTGCGAAACCGTTAAAAAAAATTAAATACTCTAAATACAAAAAAATTTCATTTTTTAATTCTCCATCTATTGAAAAAATAATATACAGAGTGTTCCATTTAAAAAAAAACGGAGAAAAATTATTTTATATTTTAGAAACTTTGGCGTAGAATTTTGAACATCCTGTATGATTTACGATTTCCATATTTATCGCAAAGTAAGAACAGACCATCTAAAGTAAATATCTAATATAGTTTTGATTTCAGAGCAGTTCTTGTATTATTAATAATTTTTTTAAAAAAGGCTGAAAAATATATAATTTTTATTTATTTATTAATATCTCTGAAATTATCGAAATATATTTACTCATGTCTTAGGATTATGTAAAGTGATCTGAAAGGAAGCCAAAATGCAATAATATACAGGGTGTTCCATTTAAAAAAAATCATCCCGATCCACTCACACTTTTTTGACCCACCCCATAGAAGCTAAACTATTTTCCTGAAATACATCCTAGTACATAATTTAGGTTTGCACTTACACAAAATTTCCAAGTTTTTTTATTCTAGGAGCTAATACAGATGCCCGTCACACTAATACCCGACCCTGTATAAGGATGAAAGAAGTACCACAAGTAGTACGCTCTACCGGAAAGCACCCTTTCAGGTCTGTTAATTAATTTTTAACAATCGCCATTCGCTTTTGAATTAAAATGTTTGTCAGAGTACCAAATTTCAGGAAAAACGGTTTACCAATGTTCTTAAAAATACACAAAATAATATATTATTTTTATTTAACCTTTCCAGAGCTGTAATTTCTTCGGGAAGCATTTTAGGACTTATGTTCATAGGAACTTTTTGTTTTATTTTTATCTGTAGAATCACCCACCAAAGTTCGATACATAATTTTTTTGACACCCTGTATACAGGGTAGTCCGAACTGTATTCCGGGAACTTCGGCAGCATATTTTGCAGATAAAAATAAGTAAAAAAGTTCGTATAAATGTATGTCCTAAAATGCTTAGTTTCGGAGATACAGGGTGTAGAAGTTTAATTTTTATTTCGATTTGTTCCAAATAATTTCTGAAGCAACGTCAATATTTGGATGAAAATTGGTGTCTGGAATTTTATTGACATGAGAAATTTGATTTTGATGTCAATATGACTACTCTTTGTACGGGGCGCCACCTACATGTATTTAACTGTTTTGAACAGTCAATACATGTCATTATTAAAAATAAACATATGTTGAGTAGATAGTTATTTTACTAAAATGATAAATTTGGGAATTTTTAATTTGTAAATTAATAATAAATTTTTCTTCGCAAAAATGATGATAAAACAGTTTCTGTTGAACTTTTGATACAAAAACATTTAAAATTTATGATTTCAGTCTAATAACTATTTAGTCAACATGTTTAATTTCAATGATGACAGGTATATATTGATAATTTCGATTCCTAATATCTCGAAAACCATTATTCGTAGCGATTTTTACCAAGAGACTTTTTTACGTAAAAAACGTAGTAAATGAATATTTTTTTACTCTGTATGTAGTTTTATACAGGTACGGACGAAAAGTTATTGCTCTTCAAACCAGTTAAAAAATATGTAGGTGGCGCTCCCTACAAATAGGAGTCATATTGACATCAAAATCAAATTTCTCATGTCAAAAAACTTCCAGACACCAATTTTCATCCAATTAATACCGTTACTTCAAAAATTATTTGGAAAAAATCGAAATAAAAATGAAACTTCTACACCCTGTATCTCCGAAACTAAGCATTTTAGGACATTCATTTATACGAACTTTTTCACTTATTTTTATCTGTAGAATATGCTGCCGAAATTTCCGTAATACAGTTCGAACCACCCTGTATAACTGCAAAAGATTTTTGTGCTGAATTATTGTCAAATTATTGTTTTAATAATAAATGACATAAAACACACTATTTAAGTCATAAAAATGTATAACTGATACCTCAGGAATATTTCTCACCTGTTAATAAGATTAACACTTTACTATTCAGGCGGGTATAATAAACTTTAAACTATTGTGTTTCAACAGCGACTAAAAAAATTAGAGCGCGAAAGTTTTTGGCAAGACTTATGATATTGTTTGCCAAGCACATTACTCAGAATACCACACGTGTTACTTACCTAGACTAAAATTGCATATGTCTCGTATTACGTTAAGTTTCATTCATGCAGCCGTGTTTATTGTTGTTTAAAATAAGCTAAAAATTTAATTCAAGGAGAGATTTAAATAAATTAAATACGTATGTCCTGATTGTACAACCAGTGAAACAACAAACCGTTTTGAAGAATTGAAATATTATGCAACCAAACTATCACCACATCTATATAAAAGAGGTTATGCAACCAGATATAGAGATTTATAACTGGGAATTTTGAAATAAATCATTTTAATTAATGTTATTTTCTAATCGTGCTGCTGTAATCGCAGAAGAAGTATTGTAAATAACAAACGATTCAATATATGTTGATTTTAAATGATCAAAGATGCAAATTATACCGAGAATTGATAATATAATTATACAAAAACATTAGTACAGGGCTTCATGATTTTTGATCAATATTTTCTCGCAAATAAATCGGTTACAATAGAGAATTCTAAGCAATTTTAGTACAGAATTATTATTTACTGTAATTTTATGATATTTTTATACGTCTGCATCAAACTGTTTATATAAAGTGAATAAATATTAGAAGAAATATAACGGACATTAAACTCTATACTAAAAGTTGTTTCTCCGGTATATCAGCCTGGGGATTCCTCAGAACGCTAATGATATTAGCAACGACCTCGACTTCTTAGTTTTATTTTTAACTTATAATCGCTAGTATCATGGTACTGTTAGAGATTTCGACCATTATTTTACTATTAGGACTGAGTACCACTGTGATAGCTCAATATGAAGTACCTGAGGCCACTGTTGAAGTCTACACACCAAGAGGTTTTAGGGTATCTATCCCAGGTCAGTATGTATACCTTTTTTTGTTGTTTAGAAAATATTACAAACAAAGGGATAATGGATTTATAATTCTCTTATTATTTGATAGGTAATATTTACCTAATTATCAATAATTAAAAATTAATGAGTATTTAGTTTGATGATTTCATTTTTCATTCAAGTTTCAGAGAGTTTAGTTGATTTTTGAAATAAAATATCAAATATATATTTAAAAATACTTTAAATTAGAATTACTGTAGAAACTACAATGTTTAAAATATATATTATAATAACTGGTGATAAGGTCACGTATTTTGGACAAATAAACATGCTAATTGTTGCTTTTCGATTTTTATGAAAATAGATGAGGAAGGAATCAAGTTGTTTGCTTTTCATGCCAAAATCAATGAGGAGATGAACGGTAGGGAGGCAGGTACATTTTCTAGAGACATTACCAAAGCTAAAGATGGCAGATGGACATTCTATGATACACAGGTTAAATAAATATCATTATCATTTAAAAAATTGTACAGGATCCGGAAAAAGTACGTCGGACATCTGTAGCTCCTACTATAAAAAACTTCGGAATTTTGTTTAAGTGCAAACCATAGAAAAAGTACTACTATTACTTTTTACTGTCTTTCTCTATGGTGCAAACTTAAAGTATGTACTAGGATGTAATTTCAGGAAAATACTTTAACTTCTATAGGATATGGCTTAAAAAAGTGTAAGTGGATCGGAATGATTTTTTAAATGGAACGCCCTGTATATTATTGCATTTTGGGCTTCCTTTTAGATCATTTTATATAATCCTAAGATCTGAGAAAATATATTTCGATAGTTTCAGAGATATTAATAAATAAATAAAAAAATATATATGTTTCAGCCTTTCTTAAAGAATTATAAAAAATACAAGAACTGTCCTGACATCAAAACTATATTAGGAATTTACTTAAGATGGTCTGTACTTACTTTGCTATAAATATCGTAATCTTAAATAATGCAGGATGTTCAAAATTCTACCCCAAACTTTCTAAAATATAAAATAATTTTTCTTAGTTTTTTTTTAAATCGAACACCCTGTATATTATTTTTTAAATAGATGGAGAATTAAAAAATGAACATTTTTTGTATTTAGGGCATTTCAAAATTTCTAACGGCTTTGCAGATATTCGCGGTTTTATATTTCATTTGGCATTTTCCACAGTAAATTTCTATCAAAGCCACCCAATTTTATAGTATTTTACCGTTGAAAGAGCTATATGAAATAATGCTGACTGTATCTGCAAAACCATTAAAAATTTTGAAATATGTACTTTAAATACAAAATATGTTTATTTTTTAACTCTCCATCTAATAAAAAATAATATACAGGGTGTTCCATTTAAAAAAAGAAAGAAAACTTATTTTATATTTTAGAAAGTTTGGCGTAGAATTTTGAACACCCTGTATGATTTAATATTACGATATTTATAGCAAAGTAAGTATAGACCATCTAAAGTAAATACTTAATATAGTATTGATTTCAGGACAGTTCTTATTTGTAATTTTTTTTGAGGAAGTTTGGAAAATATACCGGGTGCGTCTCAAAAGTGGCTCACCCCTATAACTTTTTTATTTCTTTAGATAAAAAAACGAGATTTAGTATATGACATAAATTAGTATTGATTGAAGTATTCAATTGTTTTTTGCCATTTCCTGTTTCACCGGAAATGACTACAGCTTTTGATTTTTAAATGGCACCCTCGTTATTTCTTTACCTTATTCGATAGAAAATGACATTCTGAATAGAATGACATATCATATGTGAACTTTTGAAATTATCGCTTAATAAAAAATCCTATTTTAAAATTTAATTTAGAGTGCTATGGCTATGTAAAAAATACACATTTTTAATAAAGGAGCCTTGGAAAAACAGATTTGGTCGATTAATGTTTTTAGTGTCTCGTCCTGGCCTGTTAAAAGAAGGCCAAATCGTATTTTTAATCATATCTCAATTTTTTCAAATGGAACAAGGGTGGCTCATTAGCATATTTGGAAAAAGCATTTTTTGCGAATAATTTGACACTACAAACTTGGTATTTCGAGTTAAATTTTCGTTATGTACCACATGATATAGTTTCAAATAAATCATATGCGAAAATGTCAAAAGTTGACATATGACATGTCATTCTATTCAGAGTGTCATTTTCTATCGAATAAAGTAAAAAAATATCGAGGGTGCCATTTAAAAATCAAAAGTTGTAGTCATTTCCGGTGAAACAGGAAGTGGCCGAAAACAGTTGAATACGGCAATCAATCCTAATTTATGTCATATACTAACATACCAAATCTCGTTTTTTAACTGAGAAAATAAAACATTTATAGAGGTGAGCCGCTTTTGAGACGCACCCGGTATAGCGTACCTACATATTATGTTTTATTTATTAATATCTCTGAAATTATCGAAATATATTTACTCACATTTTAGGATTATGTTAAGTGACCTGAAAGGAAGACAAAATGCAATAATGTACAGGGTGTTCCATTTAAATAAAATTCATCCTGATCCACTCACACTTTTTTGAGTCGCCGCCGCGCCGTTCAGAAGTTAAAATATTTTCCTGAAATACCTAAAATATTTTCCTCGTACATACTTTAGGTTTGCAATTTAACAAAAATTCTCGAGTTTTTTATTCTAGGAGCTATAGATGCCCGACGCACTATTGCCGGACCCTGGGTGCAACTTTGTTCATGTTTCAAAGCGATAGCAAAGTAATTTGTAGATTGATGCACTATGTTCAGTAGCAACATCGATTCGTCGCGATATTCTGATTTCTCGCTTTGTGGCGAGGCGACAGTCTAGACACGTGTGCAAGAGTGTGATAGTGATACCATATTTCGCAGCATTTGAGCGACAATAGTATTGCAATGAACATAGTACCGATCTGGTTTCGACATCACTTCTAAACGATCGGTTGCTAACTTGAACAAAGTTGCACCCCCTGTATGTAACTAGATACATAAACAAGGTAAACAGGAAATTCAGACACATGAATACCAGGCTTATTATACCTTTAATGCAAATGATGTATGTCGTAGTCTCTTAGTGTATTCCGTCTCTTCACGAAAAGTCTAGTCACTTAATGAAAAAAACTAACCTAATAACATAACTATAGCTTTCTAACGTAACCGACGCTTCGTGTGACTAGGATCTTCACTACTTAAGTGACTAGGATCTTCACGAAAAGACGGAATACATACTATGATGATACTATGTGACTACGACATATATCATAAAAAGAATAAAATGTGAACATGTGTGGTGTGACTTTAATTATTGTATTTTTGTGTGATGGTGCTCGTATGAGCGAAACACGTGTCACAATCTAGCTTTTTAATAATAAATGTTGAGACCGAGACTTTGAGTCTTTTGTCTTCTTTTGAATGTGTGTGAGAGCTGGTATTGTCAGCAAATTAAGTTGCTTATTTTAAAAATTTCATAAAATAGACATTTTGGTTTTTCCTCTTACCCTTCATTTGACCCATAGATAAGGGAAATAAATTTAGATTGGAAAGCCCTTGAAAATATATAATTGTTTTGGGTCGCGACCGTTGTACGCAATCTGGCGCTGCTATAGCGGTTGCTAAGAACAACCGCCCCGCCCCCCCAATCAATAACAGAAATAATTTTCTCTTTTCAAAGTCAGAAGCTTCAAAAATTATAAATTCTTTCAAAATTTAAACCGCCCTCACTGAAAAAAAACCCGAAAAGTGTTTAAAGCGTTGATTCTCAAAGTAATTATTGCTATCTTGTGAGTTTAATTTAAATTTTACTTACTCAAACCCATGATAATTGTGAAACAGTGGCATTAAAAACTGAAAAACTGTGTTGTGAACTGTGAACTGCAAAAACTATAGTGGATCGTGGCATAACGTCGGTTTCCAATGTTTCATATAGTTTCATAATCATTTCACATTCATGTCCTTATATAAAATAAAGTTTCTTGTATGCAACAGACTGTATTTTATTTATAAAATTAAAAGAAAATAAGTAAAAGCCGAACCGATCGGAAATTATCAAAAGCTTTGGGTCGCGACCGTTTTAAGAATAAAATAGTGTTTACATTGTTCTTATGGGCACTTTCCAATCTAAACTTGTTTCATTTATCTATGATTTGACTTAAACAGGGTTATTGAAACATCCAGTGTAAATACAATGTTGTTTATTATTAGGCTAAGCTAAATGTTGGAGATATATTATATTACTGGACATTCGTTGACTATTTTGACGGCACGAGGAAGCTAGGATATGTCAGGGATGACCAGACTTTTACAGTAACAGGTAAACTTTTTTTCTAAATATGGTGGATAACAAACTCAACCATCTTAATCTATAAGACCTTTATCATTAGAACTGTTGCCCAAGCCGGGTGCAAACAAACCTGTTACTACAAAACCGGTAGATCCAAATGTATGCGTACCATCGGCCACTACTGTGAAAGGACAGGCTGCTTGTAAAGGACGAGTTATTTTTGAGAGTCAATTCAATAACTTTCAAGAAGAGAAAAGCAAGTATTGGACTGTTACCACGAAATTTGCCACAGGTCCGGTAAGTGTAGCAGAGCAGACTTGGAACAATTAAATATATTTCTTTTCATAATTTAACAAAAAAATTTTCAAACTATCTCCAACTGGAAAGAATCTCAAATAATCAACAAATGCGGCTAGTTTCCGAAAGGGTTTAGATTAACTTTATATTGAGAAAATGTGCTAGTTCTGACTTAAGAGTCTATTACATACATACATACTGCTATTACTCGCTGACGAGTAGTTGACACGCATCAGAAGATGGTCACGCATTGCATTTTCTTTCATGAGCTTTTCTGTGACTGAAAAGCCCGATACGTGATGTTAGCTGTCTACCGCACTCCAGACATTCAAAAATCTCATTGCTTTGTTGCCTCTTTACTTTTTGGTTGTCGCTGTTAACTGACTTTACAATTTCTCTCCATTCCGTTCTATTGTGAGCTGCTTCTTCCCACTCATTCTGCTTGTTAATAAATAATAATAATAAAATAATACCCTTTAAGTTTTCGTGGAAAATATCCTTGTACCTTTTGAGTTGTCCACCCGGCCTCCTTTTACCGTCTACAAGCTCACCGTAAAGCAGAGATTTTGGCATGCGGTTTTCTTGCATTCTGTATACGTGACCAGCCCATCTTAAGTGGGAGTTTGTAATCATGACTTCCATACTCTTGCAGTTAGCTTTTTCAAGGACCGATACGTTTGAGACATGATGGAACCATTTTATTCTTAAAAGTTGTCTAAGATGTCTCTGTTGTAACTTGTTTAATGCGTTCATGTGTCGTCGGTACGGCACCCAGGTTTCGCTTCCATATAACATGGTGGGAATTATTACTGCTCGGTACACTGCAAGTTTCGTTTTTGTGCTCAAGTCATGATTATAGAAAAGCCTGTCTTTTAATTTCCAGAATGCTCTTGAGGCGCTGCTAATCCTGTTTTGAATTTCAGAGTCGATATTGGCCTTTGCCGAAATCAAACTGCCGAGGTAATTGAATTCCGCCACATATTCCAATAGTTCTTCCCCGATTTTTATAGCATTGTTGTGATCTTCCGGGGGAGTGCACATGATTTTAGTTTTATCGATGTTCAGCTTAAGTCCCAAAGCCTCGTATGCTCATGTATATGTGTTCAACATTTCTTGCAATTGCTGTAACGTATTTGCAACTAGAGCATAGTCATCAGCGTATTGAAGCTCTGTGATGAATTTTATACGTGTTTTTGCCCTGAGTCTTTTTATATTGAACAAACCGTCGTCGTATCTGTATCTAATGCCCAAACCTCTCTCCCGCAATTTGCTGTCCACTATAATGGAGAGCGCTTCCATGAATATATTGAATAGGAGAGGCGCTAAGACACATCCCTGCCTAACGCCTGTGTTTGTTAGGAAGGGATCGCTCAGTGATCCATAATAACACGCCCTTGATTTGTTGTTGTTATGGAGGCTTTTACACACTGTAAGAAATTTGATGGGTAGGTACTCCGAACTTTTTCATAATTGCCCAAAGTGCATCTCTGTTCACAGAATCGAAGGCTTTTGTTAGATCGATGAATGCAACGTAAAGTTTAGACTGCTGCTCTTTTATTTTTTCCTGTAGTTGGTGGATGGAGAATATGGAATCGACGGTACCGCGGTTGGTGCGAAAACCCTTTTGCGATTCTGGGAGGATTTTTTCTATATATAGGTGCAGGCGGTTTGACATAATTTTTGCAAGAACTTTTCCTCCGATAGCCAGTAGTGAAATTGCTAGGTAGTTTCCGCAGTCTGATGCACTTCCTTTGTTTTTAAATATATTCACTATATTCGCGTTGTAAAAGTCCTGAGGTACCTCTTCGCTTTCCCATATGACATCGCGTCACAGCCAGCTGATTTGTTGTTTTCAAGCTGTTTTATGGAGTCCTTTATTTCCTGTTTTGTTATTGAAATATCTAATACATCGAGGCTGTTATACGTTATACTAAGGTATTATGTTGAGTGCTTCTATATTGGGGTTGTTTTCTTGGTTAAGGATATGGCTGTAATGCTCTTTCAGCGGTTTCTGATTCGCTCTTCTTCTTTTAGAAGTTCGCTATTTTGTGCCATGATTGGGCATCTTGCGTCCTTAGTTGGGCCGTATACTTCTTTTACAGCCTCGAAGAATTTACGATAATCGTGATGCGTGGCGTACTCTTGAATCTGATTCGCTTTTTGTGACCACCAGTTATCCTTTACTTGGCGCAATTCTCTTCGAAGCGTGTTGTTGGCTGCTTTAAAGTTGTCACAAGTCTTGGATTGTGTGGATTTGCAGTGACTGCTTTATGTGCTCTATGCTTTTGTTACAACAAAGCCTGTATATGCGGTTGATTTTCGTTAAACCAGTCTGGGTGTTTCTTTTAGTTGGAATTTCCCAGTACTGCTTCGCTGGTTTTATGTATCGTATCTCTTAGTTGTGTTCAGCCTTGTTCAGCATCCACGATTGAGATTGAAGTTATCGGTAGAAAGAAAGTGTGGAAAGAGTTTATTACGCTGTATGTATTGTTCGGGTAGCTCACGGGGGTCGGGTAAAGTGGGTTTGTGGCCGAAGGAAATATATATTATATCTCAGGAATCTGCTTAAGGCTTAGCCCGATCCTGTCGTCTTAAGCCATACCCAAAATTCCAAACACACGTGCTTTGATTAAGGTTTGCAGAGCTTCAGCATTTGCCATTAAAAAGCAAGCAGTTTGTTACAAAACCATATAAATTATATATCACTGTAATCACACAACTTCAATCTATTTCCCTATTGTAACGAAATTTTAAATTATGTCTTTATTTTCGAGAAAATTTAGACCAAACATAATGAATATTTTGTTGATGTTTGACCATCAAAATCTTAAAAATAAAGAAGTTGTCTAAAAATGTGCTACAATACGGATATAGTATAATCCTTTATCTTTAATTTCCTTCTTCTTCTCATTTGTGTAAAAATACCTAGCCAGTTTTACATAAAACGTTAAATGCCGAACGCTTATTTTGCTACTTTTTCGGACTAGTGAAATGGACTCTTAAAATCTTGATATTGCACATGTTTAACAAGCAGTAGTAAAGCGTTGTTTTAATCACGAGTAGAAAAATAAGAAGTATTTCTTGAATTAATTCGACTCTCATTTCAAAGTTCACTCTGATGATATATTTTCTTTTCTATTAGACTGTATTTCTTTTAATTATATTCGAATGCTTGAAAAAAAACAACAGCTAAATATAAAAATGTTATTTTAAGAAGTTGACTAATTGAAGTCTATAATCATAACACAACTATAGATTAAATTATTTTGTTAAAATTGTTTACACTAATTAACTGATTTCCAGACTTTTAAATCTTAAAATAAAAATTAATAACAAATTTTATTTATAATAAATTTATAATTATGATAAAAATAAGGCATGAGTCAGTGATTAAACTGCTCTAAAAGTGGCTCACCTCCTTTAACTTTTTTATTTTTTCAGACAAAAAACGAAATTTGGTATGTTAGTATATGACATAAATCGGGGTTGATTGACGTATTCAACTAGATTTGGTCACTTCCTGTTTCACCGAAATTTACTACAGCTTTTGATGATGAGATGTTCTTCATGTCTTTTCCTGACCGGTTAAAATATACTAAATCTACACAATCCTAGGCTGGTAGACAATTTTAAAGCAGCCAACAACACGGTTCGAAGAGAACTGCGCCAACTAAAGGATAACTGGTGGTCACAAAAAGCGAATCAGATTCAAGAGTACGCCACGCATCACGATTATTGTAAGTTCTTCTAGGCTGTAAAAGAAGTATACGGCCCAACCAAGAAGGTAAGCTGCCCTATCATGGCACAAAATGGCGCGAACTTCTAAAAGAGGAAGAACAAATCAGAAACCGCTGGAAAGACCATTACAGCCATATCCTTAACCAAGAAAACAACCCCAATGTAGAAGCACTAAATATACCTCAGTATAACAGCCTCGACATATTAGACATCCGAATAACAGAAAAGAAAATAAAGGCCTCCATAAAACAGCTTAAAAACAACAAATTAGCTGGCTGTGACGCGATTCCGGCGGAAATCTATAAGTGTGCAAGTAAAGAACATATTGGTCATCTTAAGGCTCTCTTTGATGTCATATGGGAAAGCGGAGAGGTACCTCAGGACGTTTGCAACGCGAATATAGTGAATATATTTAAGAAAAAAGGAAGTGCATCAGACTGCGGAAATTACCGGGGAATTTCACTATTGGCTATCGGAGGAAAAATTCTTGCAAAAATTATGTCAAACCGCCTGCACCCACATATAGAAAAAACCCTTCCCGAATCACAAACGGGTTTTCGTACCTACCGCGGCACCGTCGATTCCATATTTTCCATCTGCCAACTACAGGAAAAAGTAAAAGAGCAGCAGTCTAAACTTCATGTTGTATTCATCGACCTAACAAAAGCCTTCGACTCTGTGAACAGAGATGCACTTCGGGCAATTATGAAAAAGTTCGGAGTACCCAACAAATTCCTTACAGTGTGTCTCCATAAAACAACGAGTCAAGAGTGTCACCATCATGGATCACTGAGCGATCCCTTCCTAACAAATACAGGAGTTAGGCATGGATGACTTAGCACCTCTCCTATTCAACATATTCATGGCAGCGTTCTCCATTATAGTGGATAACAAACTGAAAATTAGATATAGATACGACGACGGTCTGTTCAACATATAAAGACTCAGGGCAAAAACACGTACAAAATTCATCACAGAACTTCAATACGCTGATGACTGCGCTCTAGTTGCAAAGACGTTACAACAATTACAAGAAAGGTTGAACGCATATACCTGGGCATACGAGGCTTTGGACCTTAAGCTAAACATCGACAAAACCAAAATCATGTGCACTCATTAGCCAATCTCTTTTTTTTAATCTGAAAAAAAAATAGAAAAGTTATAGGTGTGAGTCACTTTCGAAAAACAGCCGGTATAAAGGTTGATTCTCACTATACCTTCCGTTTCCATTCCATATCCATTCCATATCCGTTCCGTATTTTTTATTGTATTGACGCTATACGTAAGCCTCCGTTCAGGGGCACATATACGAGAGGAGTAATGGGGGTAATTACCCCTCCCAGAAACAAATTAATTAATAAGATAAAATTTGGTATAAAATAAAAGTTAATAATACAAATTAAAACAGAATATCCAAACCAATCCAAGTAGATTTTTTTCCACAGTTAACAATACCTTCCAGCAAAAATTTAATTCAAATTTAGTACTTTTTTTAATATTCACACTACCCCTCCCAGACTCAATCTCTAGATGCGCCACTGCCTCCGTTCCGTATCAGTTCCATACATTTTATTGTACAATTTATATCATTACGAAAGTTTTATTTTAAAAATTTGAATCTTTTGAAAAAGGCATTAGATTTAATTAAGAGGTGAAAGAATAAATAAATACCAGCAAAATTTAGCTGGTACAAATGTAAGAACTTAACAACGCTGTTTCCGATACGCTTCAGTCCGTCTGTTAAGAAATGTATGGAAGGAAAGGATATGGAACGCGGAAGGGAAACGGAACGGATAGTGTGCATTGTCCTATTCATTTACATGATATAATATTTTATGTAAACAGAAGGGAGCTCTAATGGAAGGTATAGTGAGAATCAACCTTAAAAAATGCTTAATTTGCAGGACTACGAATTTGTTGTGTACCAGGACCATCCAAAAACACTCTCGGTGATGAACGGCCATCTTGTCATCACTCCTCGTTTAACAGAAGACATTTATGGTAAAGGTTTTATCAATCAAAGTACACCTTTTGATTTAGGAGAACAGTGAGTGTGTTAATTTTTCTTTTGACTTTTTTTCTATTTTTCTTTAATTATTTTCATTCATTTTTAATAAGTAAGTGTTTCTTTAATGTGTTGTATTTCTTTTTAGCGAATCTTTCTATCTTTTTCTATATTAATTTTATTTCTAGGTGCACTGGTATTAGATCATCTCCAGAATGTACGCAAACATCTCAAGGCTGGTATATTATTGCACCAGTTGTTTCCTCACAAATTACTACTAAAGGAAAGTTCTCATTCAAATATGGCAAGATAGAAATCAGAGCTAAACTACCCAAGGGCGATTGGCTCTACCCTGGTAAGATTTTTATTCGATGTTTATTTACATTTATCGATGTTCAAGTTAAGACCCAAAGCCTACGGCTTGCCACGGTATATGTGGTCAACATTTCTTGTAATTGTTGTAACGTGTTTGCAATTAGAGCGCAGTTATCAGCGTATTGAAGTTCTGTGATGAATTTTGTACGTATTTTTGCCCTGAGTCTTTTTATGTTGAACAGACCGCCGTCGTATCTGTATCTAATGCCCAATCCTCTCTCCTGCAGTTTGCTGTCCACTATAATAGAGAGCGCTGCCATGAATATGTTGAATAGGAGAGGCGCTAAGACACATCCATGGCTATCTCCTGTATTTGTTAGGAAGGGTTCGCTCAGTGATCCATGATGTGACACTCTTGACTTGTTGTTATGGAGGCTTTTACCATTTTACACACTGTAAGAAATTTATTGGGTACTCCGAACTTTTTCATAACTGCCCAAAGTACATCTCTGTTTACAGAGTCGAAGGCTTTTGTTAGGTCGATGAATGCAACGTAAAGTTTAGACTATTGCTCTTTTACTATTTCCTGTAGTTGGCGGAGGAGAATATGGAATCGACGGTGCCGCGGTTGGTGCGAAAATCCGTTTGCGATTCTGGGAAGATTTTTTCTATATGTATGTTTGCTGTTTGACATAATTTTTGCAAGAATGTTTCCTCCGATAGCCACTAGTGAAATTTCCCGGTAGTTGTAGCAGTAAAAATTATACTTTTCTGTTGAGGATGTATACGTTTAACATTACAGAGGAGGCACTAAAAGTAATTTTTACTCCAAATAAAATATGTTATTTTTTCCAAACCTCAAAAATAATTTTTAAAGAATTTAAAACGTTGTAAATAACATAAAAATATTTAAATGTAATACCTTCAGGGTTAAAAGTAAACGAGCAAATAGAGAGTAAAAACGAGTGAAATCATTCGGATTCATTGTTATGTCAGTTTCATATCTTAGGACTTACTTACTAATCTATTGCATTATTGAATATAAAAGTAGCTGTTTTTATTCTTTATTATTTTTTAGAGCTTTTTCTCAATCCCGAAGTAGAAGAATACGGCAAAGGTTACGAGTCTGGTCAAATAAGAGTTGCCTATTCTGCAGGAAATGCCGATTCCAACAAGAAACTGGAAGGTGGTGCCATCTTAGGAGGAAATACGGCAGCTAGGAACTACGCCATTAAAGTAACTGAGCGTGTCTCTCCCTGGGGAGATGATTTTCATACCTATACAGTTCTATGGACGCCAGGTATTATAGTAATGCGTATTACCATAGTATTTCAGTTTCTCGTAATACGCAGTCTCTACAGGGTGGCCCATCGAAAACGTTCCTCAAGGCATAACCACCAGGGTATTTATTTTTTGAAAAAATCCAAAAACGAATTTTCAAAAACGAAGCGGAAAAGTATAAAGAATAGAAAGCTCTTTTCATTGCGGTACAACTTGACCCCCCTCCCATTTGAAAAAAATTGGGTGATGACACCCCCGCTTAGAGGGTTGAAGATTTTGCATTTTTTATGTTTTTTGATGGGATAGTTATTACAGAAATTAAGGTGTCTAATATTGATACTAACAATTTATAACAAAATTGTTGAATAAGTACTTTCATACAAATAAAATAAAATAAACTGGCTCGGTTTTACATGAGATCTCATAACTTTTTGTAGTGGAAGAATTGCCTTGCGAGACATGGCATTTATGGCATTTTTTACATTCTATGTTTTTGATGCGATATTTTTTGCTTTTCAGACCAAATTACTTTGAGTGTTGATGATACAACTTATGGAAGAATCTTTCCTCCAGAGAGTGGATTCTCCAGTTTGAGTTCTAATTTACGTATCACTAACGCGAATAGATGGAAAAGTGGTACCAAAATGGCTCCGTTTGATAAAGAGGTAAAAACCATTACTCAGTATCTTAGATGTTTGACTATATTTTATAAATATTACATTTGATTGCCGGCTACTTTGCGTCCTATAAAAGTTCATTTTTTGTCCGGATTTTTGAGTTCGCATTTCCGGAATTTCCAAAAGCCTTTATGGAAACTCTAGGAATAGTGGAGTGCTTTAAGCCCTTATGGGATACAAACCTCGGAATTCATTTACTTTGAACGAATTTCTATAAAAAAATTTTTGCATTGTATTGTTAATAAGATATATTACAAAGTTTACCCATTCAAATTCGTTGTTTACACACAAGATGGCTCCGAAAAAGCTCTGTATCAGGATTCCTATTTGAGCTTTTCACTCCAATCCCCAAAAATATGTGTTTAATGGTAGTTCACATTTCAGAAATATTTTTATATACAGGGTGTCTCAGAAATAAGTGCAAGTATTTTAACTGGTAGTATAGTTCAACTCCAGAAACACGCCTATGAGGTTTTTTTCGCGAAAAAAAAATTGAAAATTCGAAATTTAAAAAAAAAATGTTGGATTTTTTTAGTTTTTAGTTAAAAAACATAATTTCTTGATAATATGGCAACATAGGTATTAGATTAAATTTATAAGAAAGAAAATCCAGAAAAGATCCAGTGGTTCTCAACGGAAACTTCTTACGTAAACAATGTCCAGTGTATTGTTGTGGATTTGGAAGACTTAGGAACAATGCTATTTTATACGGCATTTTCCCTAAAGTATTAATGCCAACGGGTTGCTTAATACATTTTCCATTTCTGTACCTCACAAAAAATCGAGTAGCAACACAGTGCATATGTTGCTTGGCCGCATAACTATATATCTTCGAACCATTTCCACCATTTTTATTCCTTCAACATTCCCTTTCGTTATAAAAAATCTCGTGATATTTTTGTTTCCGTAAATGGAATAATGACATGAATTTTGTCCTTCATCTTTAACATTGTCCTTCATCTTTAACATTTTGCAGCTGCAGATTTGTCAACTCGATACGCCGGCGCCGGCAGGCTCCCGTCAGTCCCATTATCAATAAAACTTTTGTCAGGAAATAAGTTTTATCATCGGCTTCCAACAAAAAACGAGTTATGTCTTCTTTTCTTAAAATTCTCGATTTTTTTGACCGAAATCCTCCCGATTTTCTTTTTAGAAATGCAATTAAATGGACGTACTTACTAATATCTGTATTTTTCTTCACTGATATAACTGAACGTAGCATGGAATAATATACCCAAAGTGATGAAGCCTTCCTATGTTTTGAAAGATGTTCAAAATATGCCAGGAGAACCTTTTCGTTACTACTATTCTTGATTCCTTTCCCTTTACACCAATCTTCAAGTTTTACATAGGCTTGCTCGTTCGTTTGTCTTGATTTTTCGGGAAGTAAGGAATCGACAACATTTTGCACAATGCCTTCAATATCCGAAGAGACACTATCATTATTTTTTGCTTTTTGCTAAAACTGAACGTTTAATACAAAATTGAACATCAATAATTGAGTTGTCAAAGTCAAAATGGAAACAATCAACAAGCACGGTTACCACGGCGTCGACTAATATGGGCAACTGATAATTTTGAATTTTAATTTTTATGAGGATATCTCTGATATTTTAAGTTAAATCAAATCTCTTTGGATCGTCCCTCGTGTCGCGTCGTAGATTAAATTTTGAATGATACACGTTCGATACGAACTTCTTAATGAAACTTGTGTAGCTTAAAAAACGTTACACGCGTTTCATTATGATGTTCGTATCGAGCTTGTATCATTAATTAGAATAATTTAGAATAAGTGGGAGGGGGGTTAATCTCTGCGACCTTAGAGATCTATTGTGTCCCCCTTTCTTGAGTTATAACTCATCATACAGTCCCAGGACTTCCTACGGAGACCCGTGTCCCTCACAGTCGAGGAGCTACGACCCAGGCCGGGTAGACGAAACGGTAGCTTGTGTCGCCTGTCGGGTTTAGAGGTAGGAGGTAGGCTCCCGACCCTTGGAGGAGGTGGTAGCTTGTATGCCACTTGAGGAGGATGGTCTCACGCAAGTGTCAGCCACCTCTCCTGTAGTTCTCTTTGGGTTTGGCCCCTTGGAACTTTCATTGTTACTGTACCCAGTGTCGCTAGGGGGTTTCCCCACAGCTTCACCGGTGATGTTTTTATTACTATTATTATCAGATCTCATAGTGTTCCTATGAGTCGCTAGGGACAGTCGGTCCACTTCTACAGAGCCCCGCATGTAGAAGTAAGGGGTAAAATACAATGGGGTGCCCCCCGGTGCCCCAAGATTGAGGCTGTCCGTAGCCCCGCCCGGTATCGTTATATGTCTTGGTGCAATTCCCTGGCCACGACACTACAGTCAGGGACAAGACGATGAGTGAGATGCTTCTTAGACCAAGGCAACTGCTAGAGGGGATTCCCCCACAGTACCTGACCAGGAGCTTCCCCACCAACGACAAGGTCTTGCATCTCCTAGGGGAAGCCTTGCATCTCCTAGGGGAAGATGTAATGTGTGTATCATTAATAACTATAATAGAATCGGATACGTTTTGAATTGTCACAAAACATACGAAATGCACATTGCATTGATAAGAGAATATTTCTTAGAGAATTTTTTTGAGGGTAATTCTCCGAGAATGTCCCCAAATATATTTAAGAAAATTTCTTTTTATTTTAGATGTACATTATGATTGGTGTGGGTGCCGGCGGTCACAACTTTGAAGACCGTTCTGATGGCTCTAAACCCTGGAAGAACCCCGCCAAAGAAAGCCAGAGGGACTTTTACAATGCCCACGGGACTTGGTTTTCCACCTGGGGCAATGATGCCAAGCTGGAAGTAGACTACGTGAAAATATGGGCATTGTAGACCTATCAACAAACAACAAATCAACAAACAATCCATCAAAACTTAATAATATAGAAAACAGTACAGAAAAATAAGTTCTTTAATAATTCTGTAATTTTGATATTAGTAACAATTTCAAATATTCATATTTTTTATAATATAACGGGTGCGTCTCAAAAGTGGCTCACCCCTATAATTTTTTTATTTTTTCAGATAAAAAAACGAGATTTGGTATGTTAGTATATGACGTAAATTGGGATTGATTGACGTATTCAATTGTTTTTAGTCACTTCCTGTCTCACCGGAACTGACTACAACTTTGGATTTTTAAATGGCACCCTCGGTATTTTTTTACTTTAATTGATAGAAAATGACACTCTGAATAGAATGACTTTTGACATTTTCGCTTTAAAAAAATCGTATTTTAAATTTCAATCTAGAGTGCCATGCTTATGTTAAAAACACCAATTCTCAATCAAGGAGCCTTGGAAAAATATATTTGATCGTCTAATGTTTTTAGTGTCTTGTCCTGGCCGGTTAAAAAATGCTGAAATCGTATTTTTAATCATATCTCAATTTTTTCAAATGGAACGAATGTGGCTCATTAGCATATTTGGAAAAAGCATTTTTTTACGAATAATTTGGTAACACACGCTTGGTATTTCGAGTCAAATTATCGTTATGAACCGCATGTTACAATTTGAAATAAACCATATGCGAAAATGTCAAAAGTTGACATATGATATGTCATTTTATTCAGAGTGCCATTTTCTATTGAATAAAGTAAAAAAATACCGAGGGTGCCATTTAAAAATCAAAAGTTGTAGTCATTTCCGGTGAAACAGGAAGTGACTAAAAACAATTGAATACGTCAATCAATCCCAATTTATGTCACATACTAACATACTAAATCTCGTTTTTTTTATCTGAAAAATTAAAAAAGTTATAGGGGTGAGCCACTTTTGAGACGCACTCGGTATATTTGTATAAATTTGAAACGTCATACATCTTCTTCTACTTCTTCCTTCTTCATACTAGGCGAATCGCCTGTTTGGTTTCGTCGTCTCTACCGGTTAGACTGACCAGTTGTCGCTCCATCGTTTCCGTGGGCGTCCTAAGCTTCTGCGACCTAGCGGTGATTTGTCGCGTGCAACTCTCACTATTCTTCTGTTGTCCATTCTGCTGATATGGCCGTTCCATTCTTCCTTTCTGCTGAGTACCCACTCATTTACATTTTCCACCTTGCACGCTCTTCTTATGCTGTCATTTTTCTCCCTGTTCAGAAGCGTCTTTCCAGCTATTCTGCGTAGTACTCTCATTTCGGTTGTTTCTAGTAGTTGTTTAGTTTTCGCTGTATCAGGTCGAGTTTCTGCAGTGTATGTCATTATTGGTCGTACCGTTGCCTTGTAAATTCTCGCTTTAGTCTCCACCTCAATGTTTTTATTTCGCCATATTGTATCATTCAGGCATCCTGCTATTCTGGTTGCCTTCGTTGTCCGTTCTCGCACCTCCTCTTCTACATCACCATATCCTGAGATTTCTATGCCTAGATACTTAAACTTCATCTCTCGCTGAATAACATTGCCCTCGACTTCCAGTTTGCATCTTAGTGGTGCTTTTGATGTCGTCATGCATTTAGTTTTCAAGTTATTTGGCAGTGCAATTAAATCGATGTAATAAGCGCTGTAGATCGTTCTTATTTTCAGCTACCAATACGGCGTCGTCGGCATAGCATAGAATAGTAATTTCCTGGTCGCCCATACTGTATCCCTTCAGTAAACGTACATTTCCTATTATTTCGTCCATAATGATGTTGAAAAGAAGAGGGCTAAGGGAGTCACATTGTCGGATACCACAGCCTACATTTATTGGTTCGGTCAGGACCCCGTTAATTTTAGCTTGAATTTGGTTCGCTTCATATATGTTTTGTATGGTTTTAACGAGGTTGTGTGGGATTTGCCTATTGTAAAGAACGTCTCTTAGCTGCACACGGTCGAACGCTTTTTCTAAATCAATGAAACACATATACGCTGGTTTGTTATTACCGTACGTCATACATATAATATAAAATTTCACGTAATATAAAATGCCATCGATCGTCATTTTTAAAGTAACTTGATGCTATTTTTCTCACAAAGTATGTGGGCTTTTTCCAATTTATACAAATATATAGAAAATATGAATATTTGTTATATTGAAATTGAATATTTTTTTTGTTACTAAAATTACTAAGTTGCTAATTGAATTAATTTACTTTACTGTAACAGTAATTTGAACTGCAACAATGTAAAACGTCAATATATAAAAATAATATAAACTGCCATCGATCTTCATTTCTAAGCTAATTTGACGCCATTTTTTTCGATCAAACTGTAGAAGATACGTTTTCTCTTTGATACTCTCCAATATTTAGCCATGTAACTTCAATTTCTGATATGATTAAAGATTATTTTTGTAATTTGACACCAAAACAGCTGTCACATGATATATGTCAAAATATATGTTGTTACACGTCATATGTTTTTTCCATAAAGCTTGATTTTCATGCATCAGTTGTCCGACGATACGATGATACGATATTAATTTTATTTGTTGAATTTAAAGGCTTCGATCGGTTAGAAACGGTTAACCAATCATCCAATAAAATTAATATCGTATGGTCGGATACCGGATGCATGAAAATCAAGCTTAACTCGATAATATGAATATCCCCTTTGTTGCGAACTTTTTGATAGACACTGTAATATTATTAAATAAATTAGTGACATTGTTTTGAACGTGTTTTTTTTAGTCATACGAATCATTTATTTTAGTCAAAATTGAAATTAGTAAAATTTTAAAAAATGTATTTTTAATTCAACATTTTTCATATTAATGGACAAAATGTTGATATTTTAATGAATGTTTGATACACCTTGCGGACTATATTAACAAAACACTGAATTTAAAAATCATTTTACCATCTAGGTAAGTCTTTTTTCCATAGTTTGGTTTTCGATTCATCGCAATACTTTTATTCTTTTGGAGATATTCGCTTTTGAAAAAGACACTAATAACATTTTTTAGTTAAAACCACGATACACGTAAACACGGTATGTCCGATAGTAGGACGCATTTTAGTCAACTCCGCGCACGTACGTCATCTGCGCTGCAAGCCGATACAGATGGCCGATACGACACATAATCTTTTTAAACGCTGCGTCTGGTTGCTTGTTCAAACGATATTTGCATTTAGCATCGAATTATTTTGTGTTATCTTCAAGAGACGCGTGTTTGTAAAATATTAGGGATTTATTGTGCTGTTGTTATTAATAACAAGTATACCCCAGACTTTAAAAATGGTAAACTGTGCTGTGACCGGATGTAAAAACTATGACAGAAAAGGATCCGATATTAAATATTTTCGGAATGAAATTCAAGACAGAGTTAACAAGGACGCTTTAATATACATTGCGGGATATGTAGCTCATAAATTTAGAGGCAAATACGACGATTTGGGAGTGGCAACTAAAAATATAGAAGTTAATAGAGCATCACATTGTTGGCTGAATTTTATTTCTCGCGGAAATCTACTGTACCCAAACGAAAATTTGTTACGTGTGACTACTGTACTTGAGTGTGAGTTTAAAGAAATGCATGGTACTTCCTTGGCAGATGACAAACATTTGTTTACAAATTTATGCAACAGAACGATTGCAAAACTAACCAATGATTTAAAAGCAATACCACAAGAAGTAATTTTATGCTTAGCAAGGACACGAACTTACATTAGACTACGTGACTTGAACCGAAGAATTAGTTTTGAAAATTGTCGTAAACGATTGGATAAGAAAATGCCTAAATTTTTAAACTCTAAAAAATAAACTGTATCATTTTCACAATATATTATATTAAAAAAGAATCATGTATCGTTCATACTCTATTTATGTGTTAAGTATGTCACTTCAAAAAAAATAATTGAAATAATTTTTTTATAATTTCCTGTTGTTTATTTTAAATTTTAATTAGTAAAAACACCTAATACACCTAATAAAGGCAATCGGTGTCAAAAAAAATTTTATGATAATATAATAATTCACTTGTAAACATTTTGTTATTTTATCTGTAATCAGTAGAAAGAAAATTGATTACCTTTATTATAATTATATTCACCTGAATAATTATATTGTAATTATTATTGTACAGACATGCTTGTAGTAGCTAAGTTATTTGAATCATGTTTTACTTGTCACTTAAATAATGTTCTCAATAAGTCATAACAAATTTTAGAAATCTTCAAAATTGCATATGTAAAACGGTATTTTCTAAAGAAGCGCGCGTTATTAATGCGGATTCTTCATAAGCGCGACTCGTTTTGCAGCGCAGGTGACGTCACGAATTCGATGTCGAGCCAGCCTGCCTGCGCGCGGACATACCGTGTTTATGTGTATCGTGGTTAAAACAATACCTTTGCTTTTGGTCCTAGTCAACAGACCTATAAAATAGTCTCTGTGATTTATGTAATGTCACTGTATTTGAAAAATCATATTATTATTGTCTCTCTATTGTTACTCTAGCAGATGTGGTTTTAAGTCCAAAAGTTTATCTCTACCATAATCAATTAAAGCAGCAATAGCCTATACTTCACGCATAATTTAAAACCATCTCTACTAGAGTAAAGGTCAATAAACAATAATAATATGACTTTTCAATGACAGTAACATGACATAAACAATAAATACTTATAAAGCTGTACGCACACTGGTGCGATCACGGCCGCGATCACGATCTCCACGCAGCCGCGGCCAAAAGTTGCTGAAGAATATATATGAGCCGTTTCACATTGGCGCGATCGAGTTTTGGAGACGAAGCGACCTGGCGGCGTTCTATTCTGCGGTGGCGATCAGATTGCGGTGGCGACACAACGAGGTATTTTCAGACCCAATTCAGACCTTATTCAGACCCAAGGTATTTTTAGTTATTTTGTGTGCTTTTTCTTGTTGCAATTTAGAAATGGAGTTAACAGAGCAGCTAATTAGGGCTGTAAAAATACACAAAATTCTATATGATTTATCCGATCCAAGTTACAAAAATAATAGAATTAAAAATAAAAGTTTGAGAGAAAATTGGAGTTGAAATAATTGGATTGGAAAGTACATATGTATACATTTTTATTGTTTAAGTTTAAATATTGTAGGTAAATATTTAAGAATGTTTTTTTTCGGTATACATAATTCACATTTTTAATTTGTACCTATGTATACTACCTGTGAGGATAGCTCACTACATATAGGTAAGGCGGTGAACGTGAACGCGTTGGTGTGTGCTAGAATGATCGCTCATGTTATCGCTGCCCTAATCGTGATCGCACCAGTCAGTGTGCGTGTAGCTTAAGTGTGTTGATGAGGATCCAAAAGCAAAGGTATGCTATCAATGCTAAAATTGCTGTAAATCGTTAGGGCTCGAACACACTGACGCACACTGGTTCGCTCTTATGGACGTACGTGGCCAAAACCTGTATTTTATTATATCAGTGAAAATGAATGTATCAGTTAATATTTTTTAGTAAATCTATAAATATTTAGGCGTTTGGAGTTGCCTAACATATAAAAAAAGTTCTTTATCATTAGGCGTTTTCAATGATGATGGTTCATTAGAATTTAAAAGTGTTATTTATTACCAATAATTACAAGGGTATTACTTTATAAAGGTATTTAACAAAAATTGAAAAAAAAAACAGATTGAAGAATGGTTAGAACATAACCGGTATATAGTTCATAAGCTAATAAATAGATAGATACAGAGTGGCCTATTAGTGTGAGAAAGTCCAATATCATCGTTGTAGACGAAAATATGAAAAAAAGTATTATATAGATATTTGCATGGTTTATAACAGTGCATATCCTAAAAATATTTTGTTATATACAGGGTATCAAAAAAAGTAATGATAAAGCGTTGTCTTTTTTAAATCACAGCTCCCATTTTTCTGTACATAATTCGATTCAGCATAAAATTGTGCATATAGGACACTATTTTTATTTGGAAAACTATGCGGTGTTGCCATGCTATTTCTTCTTTATTAAAATTTTGGTTAATAATAGTAGGTACCTACATATATCCGAAAATTGGTTAAAACCTGAAGTTAATTTATATTTGTTAATATCTAGTACTATACTATGTTAATACCCTGAACTTTACCAATATTTTCTTAACACCAAAGAAACGAGAATAAATTTGTGAAGAAAAACTCACATTAATGTGTGCCGGTTATTTTTTTATGGCGTGGCTAACAATGTAATATTTAAAATACTCTATTTCAATTTTTTAAATGCACATTTCTTAGCCATGCAACATTTATATAAAACTTTTGTTTACGAAGACAATTTATGCTGAATAGCAGATATTAGCAGCTAATTTGACATGGTTCTTAAAAAAGACATTATGAAGTTTCATTTAAGTTAAAAACAATCACTTAGTTCAGCTTCGATATCCTTGATTTAGTTATGTATAAAAATATATTTCAAAGGTACAATATATTTTGATATTTTGAAATGGGTAGTATTATTTTTTTTTTTTCATTTTATTTATCAAAAACTGATATTATATGAGGAAAGTATACGTGCAGTATAGTCTAATTATAATATGCACTATTTTATATTATTTTGAAAACACTAAGCGAGTAATTTATTCATTGTCGATACAAAAATAGTTAAATGCTTTTTTAGACTATTGTATATAAAATGTTATTACATAGGTGCTCTAAAGTGCATTTTTCCAAAATATATTTTTATAACAAACCTTTCATGTTTTTAAATATAGATAATAAAATATTTGATCATATATGATCAAAATAATTTTTTTCGATATATTGAGTTTTGGCCAAATTTTTATAAGGGAGGGAACTACTGTGTGACGACCAGGTCGCACCGGCCAGGCCGCTGCTACCTCTAAAACCATTAAATCAAATGATACAACGCACACTAACGTCCTGGCTGTCCGTTGGTCGTTACGACCAGTAGACTGCATTAAAATATTATTATTCTCTGCCGCTTGTTGCCGGTTTTCTTCCAAATTAATAATTTTTCAGATGAAATCCCTCAAATTCAACGCACAATATTTTATTTTCTATAAGATATAGTGTTTTAGTGTAGTTAATGCACACGTGCAGAAAATGCAAAGAAATAGTACACAGACTGGATCAAAGGGAAACTTAAATCTAGTCCCTTTTTTTTTATCAAGGGTCGATTCTAAAATAAAAACATTTTTATATGACATACTCTATTTATGGTTGGTATGATACCTGTTATTATACCTTCGAGTTTCGATGTTAAAAAATCATATTTAAAGTTTTTCTACAACCACTTGTTTTTTTATTGAATTAGTTTTTTTAGTTGTATTATTGTAGTCATGTACAAGGAGGACAACTGTATTTTAAATATTATAGTTAATTTAACGTTTTTCAAACAGGGTCCATGAAACTATATTTCTACTAGGTACATTATTTTTTAAAAGAAATTAAGAGTAAAAGTAACTTAAACATTCATAAAAATAGAAGTATTTACTGTTGTAGATTCTCAGTAACAATAAAAAAGAGGAATTTATATTGTAAACATTGAAATAACTGGAAGCTAAATTTTCTACCTGTTTATATTTAGAGCCAGTGTCTGACGAACTTTTTTACGATGGCCCTAATATGTTTACTTCTAAAGTCGATAAGAGCCATCAGTAGAAGTCCATATCAGTAGAAAAAAGAAACAGAATATCTCCCTTTTTGTCGGTCGCGCGTACACAATGCTTTTTGTTCGGCCTATTTGTTCTGCTTGTTCGTGCGTGCTCTGTTCGTTCGGGCTAAAATGCTCAAGTCTGGACGCACCTTTAGCAACAATACTGTTTTTGTCCTTTATTGATATAATGCTGAAAATGTCACGAGTTACATGTCTCACTCTACACATATTAAATTACATAGACGTATAAGGATGTAGAATATTCTGTTATGAAACGACTGATAGAATAGCAGGCATCGCGGATTTGAAAAACATGGAAATAACGATGTTATCGTGTAGTCGGGGTTGGAGATTTTACTTACTCCATTTACCACACTAGTATTTATTAACGAAAAATCCAAGAATATTTTAAATGCATTATTTAATATTAGAACATTTAATAAGCTCATGAATAGCAACTTCGCTTTTTAGGTAACTCGGATATTTTAACATTTCTGAAACTTAATTCTTTCTGAAACAATATTTTCTAATTGGTAAAACGTAAAAAATCGTTAGATCTGACAACTCTGTTGAAACTAGTCGTTCATCTGGCCGCAGTTATAAACACAATGCATACGGCCAGCCGACGCGACGGCCAGGTCGTTGCGACCTGATCGTCAGTGAGTTAGAGTTAGAGTCCTTTATTGTCTTATTCAAAATCGAATATCTCCAATAAAAATAAAGCTATTGAGATAAATCAAAAAACAAACTATCGAGGAAATATAAGAATATATTAAGAAACCAAGGAATTTAACATTTTTATTATCTAGGTACATATTTCCTCGATAGTTTGTTTTTTGATTTATCTCAATAGCTTTATTTTTTATATATATATATATATATATATATATATATATATATATATATATATATATATATATATATATATATATATATTATATATTTATTATATTCCACATGGTGTTTCAAACCTTCACCAAAATATCAACATTTTGTTTTCCCTCGTATAATTGAGAGATGGCAACTTTGATTTTTAATTAAGAAAGATACACTACAAAGTCAAATAATTTAGCTACAAATTGCTTAAAAAATCATCAAAATCGGCCCACTGGAACACAATATATAAAACTTCATAAATACATCAAAATTTTAAGGTGTCGCATGTCGGTGAGAGTGTAGATGGTATAAAATAACTTTTATTCCGTATTTAAATGTCTTGAATCTAAAACAAAATTCAATCACAGTGAGAATAAAAAAGGGTTCAGAACAGATTTATTTTATTAATGGCGAGATTATCTTTAATTTATAACACTTCGTTTACATTAGTTTTGTTAATTTTAGTATAAAATCAAATTGAAACATCCGTTTACATAAGATAGTATCTTTGATTAATCGAAATCACATTTTTAGCGCCAATGACACCCAAAATTCTTAAGATTCATTCAAAACAACTGATCTAGAAACAAACTTGTTATGTTTATATCTATCTGTCTATCCTACGCATTTTGACATTGTATTACATAGATTCTAATCAATATTGTATTGCCTTTTGAGTGTTTTTTCCTATAAATGGTATTTTTTGTAAATTTTGAAAATTTGTTTAAAAGTATAGTTGACTGATTAGATTAAAATGTAGTCTATAAATATTCTAATTTTCTCGATCTATTATTCATGTGTAACATTTTGAAACTGGGTTATTTAGAGTGCCAAATTTTCAACATAATATAAATACGTTTATAGATAATATATAACAATACAGGGTGTCATTGAAATGGTGTAAAAAAAAATCAGGGGGTGATAGTACTCCTAAAAATAGTATAAAAAGTTCCTATAAATATACGGCGGAAAATGCATATTAAGGGAGTTAGGGGCACTACTGAAAGGGTGAATTTAAAAAACGGTTGTTTTGAAATTGCAAGCTTAAAAAATGAAATAAAATTTCGAAAAAAAATCTTCTGCCATAAATTTTGACCCTAAATCAAATGGTGATACTGAAAAATTATTTGGAAAAGCGAAAAGGGTAGTTTTTGCAAGGGTAGGGGGTTATTTCGTGAATAACTTTTTTGAGGTTATTTTTTTTGCAACGTGGGTTCATTTTTTGAAAACTACATACTTTTTCCTACAAAAAAGGTACTCTTGTTGTACATCGCCCAGAGCGATGGTTTTCGAGAAAATTGATGGCAAAGAGTTTGCTCTGATGGGTTGCTAACTGGTTAATCAACATAAACTTATGAAAGTTATGGCGGTTCAAAAGTAACCAAGTAGTTATTAAATAATTAATTGGAAAATCAAAATTTCATGATTTTTAAAACGTCTTATTGCTTTAAAAACGAAATAAACCAATTACCAAAATTCCTTATTAAAATAAAGCCGTCCTTAATTCATTCTTAGTAAATGTTTAAAGTGACCACCATTCATTTCAATGCAGACATCTGCTCCAAGATCTGCGTACCCTGTGGAATATCCTTGGTGTTGTCCAAATTTGATTGGAACACTCAATAATGCGTTGCCGTAGTTGCTCTTCAGTATTAATCGGCACTGAGTAAACCAAAGCTTTCAAGTGGCCCCAGAAGTAGAAATCTAGTGGATTATTTCGTTTTTTAAAGCAATAAGATGTTTTAAAATTCATAACATTTTGATTTTTCAATTAATTATTTCATAACTACTTGGTTACTTTTGAACCGCCATAACTTTCATAAGTTTATGTTAGCAACCCATCAGAGCAAACTCTTTGCCTTCAATTTTCTCGAAAACCATCGCTCTGGGCGATGTGCAACAAGAGTACTTTTTTTATAGGAAAAAGTATGTAGTTTTCAAAAAATGAACCCACATTGTAAAAAAAATAACCTCAAACAAGTTATTCACGAAACAACCCCCTACCCTTGCAAAAACTACCCTTTCCGCTTTTCCAAATAATTTTTCAGTATCACCATTTAATTTAGGGTCAAAATTCATGGCAGAGCATTTTTTTTTGAAATTTTATCTTGTTTTTTAAGCCTGCAATTTCAAAACAACCGTTTTTTAAATTCACCCTTTCAGTAGTGCCCCTAACTCCCTTAATATGCATTTTCCGCCCTATACTTATAGGAACTTTTTTTACTTTTTTACACCATTTCAATGACACCCTGTATACATAATAAAATCTTGTTTTTTGATATTGTTTTATTTTAATGAAAGAGTGGCCCGGTTGATTCTAAATAATTTTTAAGGGGTTAACGTTGAAATTAAGCGTAGAAGTTACTTCGAAAATTTTGGCGTTTTGTCGCTACATTAAATTAAAGCAGTAAAAAAAATATAAAGTTGTAAATAAAATAAGATTTCTCCAAAAAATCCTATATGGGTATTTCGTCACTGCAAGAAAATCTACAAGATAAAATAGTTATTTTTTGTAACACTTCTGCGTTAATTCAAACGGAAACTACTTGTCAGAAGTTAGGTTTACAGATATACAAATTTGCTTAACGAACAAAAAAATGCTTGACGTTTCGGAAAGTTTATCTCTTTCCTTCGTCGGAAGCAAAAAAAATACAAAAAATAAAGAAAAAAACTATTTAAAATATTTAAAATTCAACTATTCGAGAACACTTTAGTTTTTTAAAACAGATACGCCTACAAAAACCGTTGACGTTCTGTTAAAATGACATTATATCAAGTTAAACTTCAAAATTAACAATTACTACCTGATAATAATTACTTAATAAGGTAAAACCAAAAAGCCCCAAACTTTCTGTATGATTACATTTAATTTTTACTTATTTTATATTTATTTATGTTATGTTCTTTAAAATCAAAGAAGCGATTGCCATACATTACTAATATCTACAGATGCAAGAGAAATACATTTATTTTTATTAAATTGTATTAAAAAAGCCTTTTATTTTTCTTTTAGAGGCAATCGCTTCTTTCATTATAATTTTGGCATTATTAAAATTTATTATTAATTTAATAATAATATAATTAATTATTTATTTTTCTGTGACCTGTGTCCCATGAATATTGACAAATCTTAGATTTGTGAAAATCTCCCTTTCTTAAATAATCTTTATGTTCTTTAATTCAAACATTTAAGGGTCTAGATGTTTCACCAATGTAAAATTTATCGCATTCACATGGTATTTTAACATGCATATTTAGTGAATAAAAAAAAATAATTCTTGTTGAGAATAAATTCTCATAAAATATAGCAAACACGGAAATATAACTTTTAGATATTGATGTTTTGCTTAGTATATCTAAATAAAATATGATCTTTGAAAGAGTAAAGTGGGCATAAAGTCGAATCGTTTATGATTGGGCATTTAACTTTTTAGAAATGTTCAGAATCCCGGGATTTAATATCAGTATTTCGGGATTAAACATAAACCGGGATCCCGGGATTTGAGGATCCCGGTTTGGAAATCCTAGTCATAATACAGGGTGATCTTAAATAAGTACAAATATTCTCAGGGGTGGTACATTTCGACCCCAGGAACACCCAGGTTTTTTTTCGCAAAAAAAGATGTTGAAAATCGTGCATTTTCTTTTAAATTTCCCTGCATATTTTTCGAAAACTTTTTAGAACTGCATGTTCACCGCAAATTTTCCCACGGTATAATTTCTTAATCTCTGATATTACCATAGTTACGGCTTTACTCCATGGTTACGGCTGTTTATTTTTAACTCTATGGTTACGGTACTAAAATGGATGCAAATACAGAAAAAATCCGGTGGCGCTCAAAATTTTTTCAAATAAAATCAATTTTTTAAAAAATTTTTCAAACTTAAATAACTCTATTATTTTGGACTTATCTGAAAAATGGTAAAGAGAAAATATGTTTCTTTTATCGAGATCTACCAGCCCTGAAAATATTTCCACTTATTTAAGACTCACCCTGTATAGTCATAAAATTGTCAAAAATGTCTCACGTAATTTATGGACATCCCTTTAAGTAAACCCTAAAAATATATTATATCGCCGCCACTGCCTAAACAATTAATTTTCGTGAGAAATACGCACGATTTCTTGCATAAAATTAATTATTGTAATTACCTCATTTATTACATAATAAGGAAATGCACATACATATAATAAACGTGTTTTTTTTTAACTATTATTTACTTCTTGGGAAAATGTTAATAAGATTCATTCCCTCCCTGAATTTTTCAGAATTTTTATCTCGTTTTACACCGGATACATACTTTTTTGATGCCACCCTGTCTAATCTTTCGTTTAATGTAAATACGATAGATATTATGCATATAAAGGACTGACAAGTTTAAGAGTACTAATCGTGAGTTTATCAGAACAAAAAATGCGTTTAAACAGTGTGGAGATCTGTATTATTGCTGTGGCAATATTGGTACTGCCCCATTGTAGCAATTGCAAGCGCAAGAAACAACACAAGTTAAGAAATAAAAAAGAAATAGTGTTCTTCGAGAATTTTAACAGTTTAGACTTGAATGTATGGAATTATGATCCTAATACCCAAGAAGTAAGTATAATACTTTAATTATATTTATATTTACTTAAAGACGGCTGAATTCATCCACAAATAATCATTCATCGGATTCAATATACCTGGGTTTTAATTAATTAACTTAACCAATTTACCTCATTTTGTTTCCTAGCCTACTACTATAATTTTTAGACCTTATAATCCTAGATTACAGTTGAGGGTTAGAACCTTTGGTGTTACACAGCAAAATATAAACACTAAATCACCACAATACACCAAAACACTTTTACTTTTACACTGGACGCGCGTTTCGCTTCAGCATATGATTATAAACTGTTTATAATAATCTGCTGATGATGCTAACATGGTTAGCGAAATGCGCGTCGAGTGTAAAAATAAAAGTGTTTTGGTGTATTGTGGTGATTTAGTGTTTTTATTTTGCCTTATAATCCTAGGCGACAGCCTAATATGATTTATTTTCTAAATATCTCTAATATCTAATTTTGTGCTCTATTTAACTGTGAAAAGAAAAATATAGCCTCTTATTTAATTTTTTTATGCAAAAGCGCAATATCTGTTATAATGTTACATTACAATGTTGTAAACAGCGCCCTCTACCTACCACGAAAAAAATTCGGGAAACAAAATTTATAGTGGAGATCATTAAGGAAGAAAAGCTCTTTTAAACGAGCCCTAGTTTGTTTAAATCGGCTAACCCAAACCAGCGTTGTCATTATTTTAATAAAAGCAAATTTAACCTTCCCCCACCACTTTATTTTATGAGAGAGCAAAATACTCTATATCAAAAAAATTACAAATTTCTCGATGATTACAACAGTAATATTTAAAATAGCTGTTCACCTGCATATTTTTGAGAAAAATCCTGTTTTCTGATTGGCTATCAGAGAAACGCCCCCTAGCGGACATTTTTCGAACTTAATAATATCGAATTATACTTAATAATATCGAAAATAATTTTCAGCGATTCTCTTGGTCGATTTACTTATTAGAATTTTTTTCCCAAAGTTATACGATAAGTAGTTTCTGAGATACAGCTGGCGCGCGGCGTCCATTCTTAGTTGGCCACCCGTATATAAATGCATCTTTTAAAACTGAATTACTACAGAATGACCGGTCGACTTAATTAAATGTCTCCCTTACCGTCTCTTGTTAAAACCTCTTGTAAACTATATCGCATAAAAAAAATAAAATAGATAGGTCAGGTAATCGAGGAGGCCCATGCAATTGGTTAACCTCTTCCTATCCCTGAGTTTGCATAATTGTGATATAAATAATTTATAACATTTTTTTATTATGGGGGGAGGTCCCTCCCAATAATTGTAATTAGAATTGGCTATAACCTGTGCTATAACTCAGTAATTTTTCGGAAAAAAAAACATATTATAGCTTATATCGTTGAAAAGTTTAAAAAATGGCGCTTTTTATGAAGTCAGGTTTCCGTTTAAAAAACATATGTTTGTGTTATAGAAAAAATCGGAGAACACAAACTCATTAGGGATGTGATTATCTACAACTTTTATCTGAAAACTTTTTGTCTAAAATATATTATAATGGAATTAAGGAAAATTTTTAAAACAGACAAAATTTGTTTTTATAAATATCTGGTAAGCCAAAGACTTTTTCAAAAATCTGAAAAACGCATATATTTATGATCCCACAAAATGCAATCTTTTCCCCATTTAACCGACTCTCTATCTCCAGTAGTTTCCGAGATACCCATAGAGAACATCGTAGGAAAATCACCCTGTATAATAATGTAAATATCGATCACTGATTTCATTTTTATAGCATGCAGATGAATTTCAACTTTATACAAATAGTAGTAACAATAGTTATGTAGAAGACGGATTCTTACACATTAGACCTACGATTGAGATTGACGAAAATGCCCTAAACGACACATCGTAAGTACGTCCAACTTATATCTTCAACTATAGTATATACACGTCAAAACCAAAGGTCAAAACACATTCTAATGGTAATATCATTTCGTTGTCATTCTTTGATAGATGGTTATTATTAATTTTGCTTAACGTCATATTACCATAGCAGTGAATTAAATGATCACTGACATTTTAACATTGAGTTTTTATAAGTTTGAAACGTTTAAAAACATTTTAAGCTTGATTTTAACGTTGATACGTTGATCCGATGGCGCTCTGGTTGGTCATAGGATTTTCGCGCCACATTTCATCCGTAGTTTTTTTGCTCCAGCCTATCAACGGAGAAAGATCGTGCGATAACGGACGTTTTGACACTTTTTGACAAATTTAATCTAACCTTAATAAAAATATGATAGTAAAAGAGCTAACACCGTCGGGTAAAGCGAGAATTTTAAGAAATCTGGTTTTTTAATATATCTTTTACTATGCTCTCCTGACCAAAGTGTGGGCCGCCTGGCTGCCGGTAGACTACTGCGCATCACATCTGTACAGGCTATCCCATTTTCGTTTATTTTATGAGATTTCTCGTTTATGAGTAGAGATACAATGATGCAATTTTCACAATACTTAGCTATTTTTTATGAAACTAAATATGCTACATATAGGTTTGTCCTAGCCTCCTTAGTTCCTGAAATACAGGGTGAGTTTGTGATGCGCAGTAGTAAACCGATGTTGAATACAGATATGATGCGCAGTAGTGAACGCAACCAAAACGCAACGTCTACCGGCAGGCAGACGGTCGGCACTCAGGATTTAGTTCTCTTATAGTCATGTTCAGGAGAGCATAGCAAAAGATATATTAAAGAACAAGCTTTCTTAAAATTCTCTCCCGAAAACGTTGCTAGCTCTTAGACTATAAGCAAAACAGCGAAATCTTTATGGAAATGAAAACATAAAATGACACTAAATACAAAAAAATCGTATATCCAGTGAACGGAGGCATGAAAATGCAATAAATTTAAACACTGCGTAATTTTCTAACCCATCAAAATCTTTAAATTCAACCAATAAAATTAATATCGTATCATCGCATCGTCGGACAACGGATGCATGAAAATTAAGCTTTAAGCCTAGTTCATGCACTTGCGAATTGCGATTTACGAATTGCATTCTTTTTGCCTTACAATTGGTCGCTTTCAAGATCTCCCTTGAATGCGGCCAATCAGAACGCAAACAGAACTTATTTCGCAATTCGTAATTCGTAAGTGCATAAACTAGGCTTTAGGCATTCGAGGAAACGCCAAACCAAAGACAAATGGAACTATTCTTTTATAATTGTATATTCATTATTCATTTATACACTCTATACAGGGTGGTCCGAACTGTATTGGGAAACCTTCTTATAAAAACTTCATAAAAATGGCGGAAATGTATAATTTTTCATCTCAGTAAATGTAACACAGGTACGTTCGAAAAGTTATTACTCTTCAAAACAGTTAGAAACATATGTAGATGGCGCCCCTACAGGTAGGAGTCATACTAACATCGAAATCGAATTTCTCATGTAAAAAATCACCCAGACACCAATTTTTATCCAAATATTGACGTTAATTTAGAAATTATTTGAAAAAACCTAAATAAAAATGAAATTTCTACACGTTGTATCTCCAAAAGGAAACATTTTAATATACAGAGTGGTCCGAACTGTATTCCGGAAACTTCGGCAGCATATTCTGCAGATAAAAATAAGTAAAAAAGTTCGTATAAATGTATGTCCTAAAATGCTTAGTTTCGGAGATACAGGGTAGAAGTTTCATTTTTATTTCGATTTTTTCCAAATAATTTATGAAGTAAAGTCAATATTTGAATGAAAATTGGTATCTAGTTTTTTGACATGAGAAATTTGATTTTGATGTCAATATGGCTCCTACTAGTAGAGGGCGCCATCTACATATTTTTAACCGGTTTGAAGGGTAATAACTTTTCGTCCGTACCTGTATATAACTACTGAGTAAAAAAATATACATTTACGATGTTTTTTACGTAAAAAGGGTCTCTTGGTAAAAATCGCTACGAGTAATGGTTTTCGAGATATTTGGAATCGAAATTATCAATACCTGTCATCATTGACGTTAATTAAACATGTTGACTAAATAGTTATTAGACTGAAATCATAAATTTGAAATGTTTTTGTGCCAAAAGTTCAACAGAAACTGTTTTATCATCATTTTTTGCAGAAAAATTTATAATTAATCTTAAAAAAATAAAAATTTTCCAAATTTATTATTTCAGTAAAATAACTATCTACTCAACGTGTTTATTTTTCGTCAATAATGACATGTATTGACTATTTCAATTCTAAATATCTTAGGAACGGTTGCTCGTAGCGATTTTTACAAAGAGATATTTTTTACGTAAAAAGTCACAAAGATGTATATTTTTTTACTTTGTAGTTTTATACAGGTACGGACAAAAAGTTATTTCGCTTCAAAACAGTTAAAACACATGTAGGTGGCACCCTCTACTAGTAGGAGTCATATTGACATCAAAATCAAATTTCTCATGTCAAAAAACTCCCAGACACCAATTTTCATCCAAATATTGACGTTACTTCAGCAATTATTTGAAAAAAAATTGAAATAAAAATGAAACTTCTACACCCTGTATCTCTGAAATTAAGCATTTTAGGACCTACATTTATAAGAACTTTTTTACTTATTTTTATCTGTAGAATATATTGTCAAAATTTTCCGAGTACAATTTGGATCACCCTGTTCAATACGATAAAAAAACGGCGTCAGCGGTGGCTATGAAATGAAGATCGCTGTTATTTTATATGTAAAATTAATATAATATCTAGTATAGTCACTTTCCTCTTCTACACTTCATAACAGTTGGAGACATAATATTGCATTTTTATACCATAGAGCGGCCCATACATTATCAAACAAATTGCGCAACACAGGCTGTTGCGCAGCGAGTTGCCAATGTATGGTAATGTTTGATGCGTTGCGCAATTGTTTGATAAGTTTCAAGAATGTTTTAATTCTTTTGTGCAACAAGATTGTTTGCGCAACGCGTTGTGTAGTATATGTGTGTGTTACGCTTCGTTGTGCAATATTTTAGTTCTTTAATCCAAATTCTTTGTTTTCTTTTTCATTTTTTGGTATCATCGACATCATCTAGGGTATATACGATAATAATTGACGCAATGACAATTAAGGACATGATTGTTTCTCGAACAAATCACAACTTTTAACAAAAAGTTTGATCAAAATTTTACCAAGTGCGGGGGTGATGCAGTTGTGCAACGTAACGTTGCGCATCGCTTTGTTGCGCAACTTGTTTGATAATGTATGGGCCGCTGAATCAGTTGTGCAACGCAACGTTGCGCATCGCTTTGTTGCGCAATTTGTTTGATAATGTATGGGCCGCTTGAAATAACGCTTTATTCCTTCCAAAATAAGCAAAGTGAAAAATAAAATAGTTTGTATTATGTCTGTCTAGTACATTGTTCGCAATATTTTAATGGTTAAAATAATTTATAAAAAAAATTATTTATTTTGGTCTGTAGTGAAAATTTCCACGCAATACGTAGCGCCAGAATCAGTACCAAAAACTCTTTCTACTTCACTTACGGTATTGTAGAAATCCGAGCGAGACTGCCTATAGGAGATTGGCTATTTCCAGCTCTATGGTTGATGCCTAAAGACAACGTTTATGACACGTGGCCTTTGTCCGGAGAAATAGACGTCATCGAAGCCAAAGGCAACAGAAACCTAAACGATAGTGCGGGAGAACCAATAGGTATAGGGCAAGTGGGTTCAACCTTGCATTTTGGGCCTAGCAAATCATTGGATGGCTGGAGATATGCTCATTTTATAAAGAACAACGATTCGTACTATAGGTAAAAACTTACACCATTTTTATTATACAGGGTGTCTCAGAAATAAGTGCAGATATTTTAACTGGTAGTGTATTTCGGCCCAGAAATATGCCTATGAGTTTTTTTTGCGACAAAAAATTGTTGAAAATTTTATATTTTTCTTGAAATTTTAAAAAACTTTTTAGTGCACTTGTGTTTAATCACCTGATATTTCTCTACGGTGCGCGGTGTATCTAAATGTTGCAGTGTTAGTATACCTCCTACATTATCCATATTCAGCAAATTATTTGTATTTACTGTAAGTCTAAATTTGTATAGAAAAAATTACTAGAGTATTAATTCTAATTTCTAATCGTATCAGTGTCTGTAGTTACTAACAATTCTAGAAACAAACCCCATTAATTATTTTTACGCATACCACATTTTATATCTATTTTTAATATTTTTAACTACGTATACTTAAAAAATAACTCTTAACATTGTCATATTACGAAGTAGTTTCATTAAAAAAAACATTCGCTTAAATATTTCGTTTGTATTACTTACCCTTTCAATGAGAAACAAACTGTGTAAAATTATTCTTATGAGGTTTACGAAAAGCACGGTTATACTGCAAAATAACTTTATTTAAAACTAAATTTAATAAAATAATTCACATATTATTCATACTGAGATCACATAAAAGAAAATACCAACATGTTTATCGGAATGCACTATTTGGAACATCGACAAAATCGGAGAAATAAACCGTATACGAACGACACACAACAACCCATTCCAGAGATTTCAGATTTTACTCGTTATAGCATATACTTCTTGTGACTATCTTGCAATACGGGGGCGTCGAATAAGTTGAAAAAAACCCCTAAAAAAACTTTAATAGCCACCCTTAAAAAAGTAAAGTAAAGTAAAGATTTCAGTTAGCGTCTCCTTTTTGCTGCCAGGGCTAATCTGGACGGGGTCTACTTTGTTTACGCGGAATCCGAACCGCGGTCCTCGGCCATATCATGGTCAATGGCCTACCGACTTGGCAAGTGTCTAAATCGACTCTTACTCACGAGATATCCTATCTCATCCGGCCTCGAACCGGTGTGAATGAGCGGTGTGTGTCAAAAGATTTTACACTTTTGCCTTTTTTTGGACAAAATCATCTACAGGTTAAACCACTGCACGATAGTCAGCATGCATATAGAGCGGGCAGATCCATAGAAACTGCTCTGTACCAGTTGACTGAGCTAATACATGCAAGCCTGGATAGCAAAGAAACAGCACTTTGTGCCTTCTTGGACATTCCAGGGGTGTTTGACAATATACCTCACAAGGTGGTCAAGCGATCTCTTGAAACAAGAGGGGTGAACAGTACGATAATTCGCTGGTTTAGGGAAATGCTCTCAACACGAACAGCAGAGGCTGAGATAGGTACCAAAACTGTAGTTGTTAAAACAACGCCAGGAACTCCACAAGGTGGAGTGACCTCCCCCCTACTGTGGGGCTTGGTAGTGGATGAACTACTGGAAGAATTAACTCTAGCGGGAATACACTGCATAGGGTACGCAGATGACATAGTCATCATTGCACGGGGGAAACATGAAGGCACCCTGTGTGATATTATCCAAAGAGGATTCCGTATCGCTGAGAGATGGTGCAGGACTGTCGGGCTGAGTATTAACTCAGATAAAACCGCAGTAGTGCCATTCACCAGAAAGCGAAGTTTGAAAAACTTGAAAAGAATCCATCTAGATGGAAAGGAAATACTGCCATCACAGGAAGTGAAATATCTGGGAATAACCCTGGATAGTAAACTTCTCTGGAACGGCATATTAAGAACATTACCAGCAAAGCCACAAAGGCTCTCATGATTATGCAGAAGACTGGCGGGAAATAGGTGGGGCTGCGTCCCTAACATTTTGCGCTGGATGTATACCATGACAGTAAGACCCATGATTACTTATGGAGCAGTTGCTTGGTATACAAAACTAGAGCAACGTACAGCAAGGCAAAACCTGTGCAAAGTACAGAAACTGGCATGTATCTGCATCACAGGTGCCATGAGAACATGTCCAACAGCAGCAATGGAGGTCATTCTAGACCTAACACCACTGCACATTGTCGTCGGTAGTTATGCCAATGCGACAATGATTAGAATGGTTACTGACGGAAACAGTACTGGGAGAATATTCAGGTCAGGGGCTTGGAACACCCTCAAAAAGAAAATTCCACTTCTCCAACTCCCAGTGGATGACATACCAATAATTTACAACTTTGAGAAACACCTCACTGTAGTATTGAGTAATAAAAAGGATTGGAAGAAAGAAACGCTTACTCAGCATATAAAAGACCATACCATTACGTGGTATACTGATGCCTCCAAAACCAAAGCAGGGACAGGGATAGGAGTATTTGGGCCGAAAACTGAATACTCCGAACCAATGGGCACCTACCCCAGTATCCTTCAGGCTGAAATTTGCGCTATCGAAAGATGCGTACAATTTATCTTAGATAGGAACTATCGAAAACAGGAAATTGCCATCCTATCCGATAGTCAAGCAGCACTTAACGCGATCAACTCAGTAACCATCAATTCGATGTTGGTCAAAGAATGCCTAGAGAAGCTCAACAAATTAGGTAAAGAAAATAAAGTCCTCTTACTCTGGGTGCCTGCTCACCAAGGGATAGAAGGCAATGAAAAAGCAAATGATCTAGCTAGAAAAGGAGCGAACACTCCACTAACTGGACCAGAACCGTTCTGTTTTCCAAACGGGAACCAACTGAAAGCGGAACTGAAGAATTTGGAAGACTCCATCCGTAACTTGGAATGGGTGTCCTCCAACGGTCTAAGGACACTCGAAAAGTTCCTTAGAACTTATGACCGAGAAAAAATCAAAAGTTTTCCTTGATTTAAGTAAAAACAATCTTTGGATTGTCACGGGGTTTCTAACAGGACACTGTCTCCTCAACGAACACCTCAGTAAGATGAAACTGAGAAACAACGGCGAATGCAGATTTTGTGGGGAAAATGGGGAAACACCAGAACACCTTATCACTGAGTGTGCCGAGACGACGACCATTCGTGCCTGAACCTTGGTACGTCTGATGTCGAGGATGGAGAGCTGGCCTCTGTGGAGCCGTCTCAGATACTGGTTTTTCTTAAAGCCCTGAGACTGTATGATGAGTTATAACTCGTTATAACTCAAGAAAGGGGAACACACAATAGATCTATAAGGTCGCGGTGATTAACTCCCCTCCTAAACATTCTACATTCTACATTTTTTGGACAACAGCACGATACAGAGTTTCGAACCGGTCACCCGTCCAACCACTAGTATCGCCTTACGTCGCTTAACTTCGGTGTTCTAATGGGAACTGGTGTTTCGACGTAGCTGGGCCGTTGCCCCCACCCTTAAAAACCCTTGACACCCATAATAATAATTATTTTTTAAAATTTTCAAAACTAAATAACTCGGTTATTTTCAATTTATTTAAAAAATGGTAAAAAACAGAAAAGATGTTTCTTTTAACCAGATCTACCATCTTTTAAAATATCTGCACTTATTTCTGGGACACCATCTGGACTTATTTCTGTATAATTCATTATTAAAATTTATTAAATTTTATATTATTGATGTCCAGAGCTACCTATAGTAAATTAAAAAGAAATGGTATTTAAGTAAATTACAAAAGACCTATCATTTTAAATGTTTTAAAACAATGCATTTCCGCACTCATGTTTATAAAAACATTTTTCATTTTTTTGCCGACGGATTAATGAGTACCAGTGGCGAATCCACGGGGGGAGGCCTTCGGTGTTCCAAAGCTCCACCTCCCCCCCCCCCCATTGGGTTCAGCCAAGTAACAAGTAATACGATTTAAAGGTTGCTATTATACCGTATGATCGAAAAAAAATGGCGTCCAGTTGGCTTGGAAATGACGATCGATGACATTTCCAATATAATTTTACATATAAAATGACAGCGATCTTCATTTCATAGCCATCGCTGACGCCGTTTTTATTCGATCATACGGTACTTGGATTAAGGCAGAATAATAAAATTGCGTTTATTTCATCAACGAGATTGAAATCGACAAAATGTCAAGAGAAAACTTTTAATCGGCATTAAACGGCCTACATACATACAGGGTGGCCCATCGAAAACGTTCCGCGAGGCATAACGGCCAGGGTGGCGAGGCATAACGGCCATTTTTTTTCAGAAAATCTAAAAACACGTCAATTTTGTTTGTGAGGGGGACAACTTTTGCCCCAGAAATGATTGCAAAATCTTCAGCCCTCTAAGCGAGGGTGTCATCCCCCAACTTTTTTCAAATGGGAACGGGGGTCAAATGGCACCGCAATGAAAAGAGCTTTCTATTCTCTATATTACCTCGCTTCGTTTTTGAAAATCGGTCGAGTCATTGAGAAAATCTGAAGGATTGAAATTGGAAAAGTTTATTTAAACATTTATCAGACTAAATGATAAGGATAAATTCCTTCGACCAATTTGCTGTTTTTTCTCATTATTTCTAGATGTTTACCCATTTTTTCACTTGCCACAAGGTTGAACGATCAGGTGCGGTAGTTGCAAGATAGCTGTTCTGTGACTTGTGCGTTGAAGTTCTTCTCAATATCGTTAAACTTTTTAACAATTATGGTGTACTCACTTGCAGAAAAAGTGGATATAATCGAACTTTATTTTGAAAAATAATGAATGTGGCAATCGGTTTGCGCAGATATTCAATGAACGCCATCCTGACAAACACCTTTATGGCAAAATTGTTCGCGATTTAGTAGCAAAATTTCACGAAACTGGTTCCGTTATGAATAAAAAGAGGCAGAGGGAAAATCCTGTAGTAAAGGAAGCTATGGAGGTATTCGTATTGGGCCAAGTTGCCATGGATAGTACGCTGAGTACAAGAAAATTAGCCAGTGAGACCGCGACCGGCGTGAATCGTACAAGTGTCCAAACGATATTAAAAAAACACCAAAGTTCCACCCGTACAAAATTCAGTTGGTACAAGAACTCAAAGAAGACGATTTTGATCGTCGCGGGCTGGTATTTTTGGAAATTCTATTGTATGTCAGTTTAACGATATTGAGACCGCACCTGATCGTTCAACCTTGTGGCAAGTGAAAAAATGCGTAAACATCTAGAAATAATAAGAAAAAACAGCAAATTGGTCGAAGGAGTTTATCCTTATCATTTACTAATCCTTCACATTTTCTCAATGACTCGACCGATTTTCAAAAATGAAGCGGGGAAATATAGAGAATAGAAAGCTCTTTTCATTGCGGCGCCACTTGACCCCCCTTCCCATTTGAAAAAAGTTGGGAGATGACACCCCCGCTTAGAAGGTTGAAGATTTTGCAATCATTTCTGGGGCAAAAGTTGTTCCCCTCACAAACAAAATTGACGTGTTTTTGGATTTTTTGAAAAAAAAATATCCTGGCCGTTATGTATTGCGGAACGTTTTTGATGGGCCATCCTGTATACATAGTGCCATTACTGCCATTACTCGCTGACGAGTATTTGAAACGCATCAGAAGATGGTCACTCAAGGCGTTTTCTTTCATGAGCTTTTCTGTGACTGAAAAGCCCGATACGTGATGTTATCTGTCTACCGCACTCTCAAAAAATCCTAATTTAAAAATGTCATTGCTTTGTTGCCTCTTTACTTTTTGGTTGTCGCTGTTAACTGAGTTTACAATTCTTCTCCATTCCGTTTATTGCGAGCTGATTCTTCCCACTCATTCTGCTTCTTAATCCGCTTTAAGTTTTCGTGGAAAATATCCTTGTACCTTTTGAGTTGTCTGCCCGGCCTCCTCTTACCGTCTGCAAGCTCACCGTAAAGCAGAGATTTTGGTATGCGGTTTTCTTGCATTCTGCATACGTGACCAGCCCATCTTAAGCGGGACTTTAAAATCATGACTTCAATACTCTCGCAGTTAGCTTTTTCAAGGACCGATACGCTTGAGACATGATGGAAACATTTGATTTTTAAGAGTTGCCTAAGATGTCTCTGTTGCAACTTGTTTAATGCATTCATGTGTCGGCAGTACGGCATCCAAGTTTCGCTTCCGTATAACATGGTGGGAATTATTATTGCTCGGTACACTGCAAGTTTCATTTTTGTGCTCAAATCATGATTGTAGAAAACCCTGTTTTTGAATTTCCAGAATGCTCTTGAGGCGCTGCTAATCCTGTGCTGAATTTCAGAGTCGGTATTGGCCTTTTCCGAAATCAAACTGCCAAGGTAATTGAATTCCGCTACATATTCCAATAGTTCTTCTCCGATTTTTATAGCATTGTTATGTGATCTTCCGGGGGAGTGCACATGATTTTAGTTTTATCAATGTTCAGCTTAAGCCCCGAAGCTGTAACGTATTTGCAACTATAGAACACAGTCATCAGCGTATTGAAGTTCTGTGATGAATTTTATACGTATTTTTTCACTGAGTCTCTTTATGTTGAACAGACCACCGTCGTAGCTGTATCTTATGCCCATACCTCCCTCCTGCAGTTTTCTGTCCACTATAATGAAGAGCGCTGCCATGAATATATTGAATAGGAGAGGCTCTAAGACACATCCCTGTCTAACGCCTGTGTTTGTTAGGAAGGGATCGCTCAGTGATCCATGATGACACTCTTGATTTGTTGTTGTTATGGAATGGAAGCTTTTACACACTGTAAGAAATTTGTTGGGTACTCCGAACTTTTTCATAATTTCCCAAAGTGCATCTCTGTGCACTCAACGCCCTACACAATTTTCTTAACAAGAGAAAAAAAGTCAGTGGCGCACAGTTTTTTTAGAAACTATTCCAATCATAACCCATATGCACGTCCCTGGTGAATCTGTCGACACTTTTTAGTATTAAAATTTGTAGCACTTATAGTAACTTTTACCCTCAAAAATTTATTGGAATCACTAAATAGGCACTTGGATGAAAATTATAATAAATGAAAAAAAAAATCTTTCTAATACTAAAATTAAGATTTCAATTACTTTCTGTTTCTCAAGTGGTACTAGTTGCTAGAAAGATATAGTGCCTCGTGAAACCCTGAAATCTTATAAAATTATTATAAATTAGAATCATTTTCATAAATCGATTAAAATTTCAGCTCTGATTTCCATACGTACAAGTTGGTTTGGACTCCTGAGAATATTACATTTCTTGTGGACGAGAATAGCTTGGGAACTGTTAGTCCACCGAGCGGTGGATTTTTTGAACTAGGAAAATTCTCCAGTAGTAAGTATGCAGATTAAAGCACAGGTTCTATTGACAATAATAGACCCATCGACAATCGATCTGTTATTGAAGAGTACAGAAAATCTAACGGGCTTGAATAAAACTATTTAAAAATGAATAATTTTATTATTAAAGTTTTATTTCAAGAATTGCGTTACCATGACAATTTTAGAAATTTAGTAAGTAAATTCTTAAGTCTTATTTAGAAATAGACTAAATCACTGCCTTAAAAATATACACTTCAATTACCATGTCCAACTTTAGTACAATATGATATTCAGGCTAGGATACATACTAAACAATACGTAAATAAAATATTCAAATCTAGAAAGATATTGAAATACCGGGTGCGTCTCAAAAGTGGCTCACCCAAAAAAATTAGATTTGGTATGTTAGTATATGACATAAATTAGGATTGCTTGATGTATTCAATTGTTTTTTGTCACTTCCTGTTTCACCGGAAATGACCACAACTTTTGATTTTTAAGAGGCACACTCGGTATATTTTAACTTTATTCGATAGAAAATGACACTCTGAATAGAATCACATATCATATGTCAACTTTTGACATTTTCGCTTAAAAGAAAATCGTATCTCAAATTTCAATCTAGAGTTCCATGGCTGTATTAAAAACACTGATTTTTAAGAAATTTTAGAATTTTAATTTTAGAAAATGCTCAAATCGTATTTTTAATCATATCTGAATTTTTTCAAATGGAACGAGGGGGACCCATTAGCATATTTGGAAAAAGCATTTAACTATCTAGCGGATAATTTGATACCACATACTTTTTTGGTATTTCGAGTCAAATTTTTGTTACGAACCGTAAGTTATAATTTCAAATAAACCATATACGAAAACGTCAAAAGTTGACGTATATATGTCATTCTATTCAGAGTGTTATTTTCTATCGAATAAAGTAAAAAATACCGAGGGTGTCATTTAAAAATCGAAAGTTTTAGTCATTTCCGGTTAGGAAGTTAACAGGAAGTGACCGTAAACAATTGAATACGTCAATCAGTCCTAATTTATGTCATATACTAACGTACCAAATCCCGTTTTTTTCAGTAAAAAGTTGCAGGGGTGAGCCACTGTTGAGACGCACCCGGTATATCGAAAATACTTGAATCAAAATGTAAAAAATATAGGAAACTGTAAAAAATATTGAGACTGTCAAATCGATTGGTTCCAATCATTCCAGAGCATTCGGCCAATCAATCATCCGTACCCCAAAAATGATCAAATGAAAAAAAAGGTATTACTTCACATCATTTCAATGTTAGGCGGTACGAAGTTATAGCAGGGTCTGTTAGTTAATGATAAATTTATATCTTGTCTCATTCTAGATGCAACCAATCCATGGGTTAATGGTACAATAATGGCACCATTCGATCAAGATTTCTACCTAATCATTAATTTGGCTGTGGGTGGAACTCACTTTTTCTCGGACAATAACATAAACCAAGGTGGAAAACCGTGGTCTAATAATGACACGGATCCAGGATTGGAATTCTGGAACGGCAAAGATCAATGGTTACCCACCTGGGATTTGCAAGGAAACACTACCCATTTTATTGTAGACTATGTCAAAGTATGGTCGTTGTAAATATAAAACTATTGATAACTAAAAAATCTTTAGTGTATTATTCTTTATGTAGAGGTTACAGCAAAGATATAGACTTGGTTACAATAAGTACAAGAAAAATCAATGACTAAAGAATACAAGGACATGTAACGTCCATATACGGGCTTCAGCAGAATTTGTTACGTTAGACGCCATCATATTGGACATTGGAGCCTACGGATGAGTCACCACCTCGTCAACAGCGACAATTTTAGCGATTTTTAATAATTTGGTGTGTGTAGTAAATTTTGTTTAAACTTTATTACAATGGTGACGTGTTCAGCTTTCAAGTGTAAAAGCCGCAATTATAAGAAAGAGCTAGGAGTTGCGTTTCCATAAGTAAATAAACAGTCCACTCCACCTTTTTAGCGTTCTCTTATTGAATTTGGTAATTATTTTTCTGATACTATATGTACTTAATATGTGCTAATCGTCGATACTAGTTTTGTATCTTTTGTTAACACTTTAATACGTTTTTTTCGTAATTAATTAGTATGATACCACCGCCTACACCATAGGCGTAGTCAAAACATTTATCAAAAATATAAATATCCCTTCAAGCAGCTAAGTTAAGAAAAATATATGGCCACGGCACGTTTGGTGCCATGGTAACAATTTGGTCTCGGGTGTTATATGTCCTTGGATTCTTTAGTCATTGAGAAAAATAAATTATGAAAATGTATCAAGTCGGTACCTATACGCTTTTGTCCTTAATAGCAGTACTAAGATTTGTACTACATACTTTAAAAATGACCTATAGGTAGAAGAAATAAGGGTAATTAATAATGAAGGTAAATACTGTTGGTAATTTGGAATACTCACGTATTAAAGCTATGCGTGGTGCTATATGTATAAATATGGTATAAACTTAGTAGTTTAAATTTATAGTACAGGCTCAGATAAGTACAGACAAAAATATGTGAACAAATAACCATACAAATAACTGCCAACTGCCCAACCAGTCAGGGAAGATTTCGACAGATTGAGAGAACTATAAAATGACGGAAATGGCAAATTAAAATAACAGGCATAACTGTCATTGTCATGGATATCGTTGGACAGACATATTCGTAAATTCACATCTACGATCTATGATTCACATCCAGGAGCTCACTGAACGAAACAAAAATTACCAGATAGATGTACTTTTGAACAAATACCAATTCTGGATGAGCCGTAGTCCCCAAAGACAAACAAAATTCAATAAATTTTTGTATTTTAGAGTAGAAAATATCTCGCCGAAAAAAATCTATTTTATGTGCTTATATTGTATCATTTTGCATCCACTCTACAACTAGATATAGTATGACTTTTTTGAAACTTTAGTTTCGGAGATATAAATTTAATCGGACCTTATAAAAAAAACAATTTCATTTCAGAAACTATTTGAGACAGAGTTTACCAAAAATGTTTTTTATATCTACTACTGGGAAATGAATTTGTAGATATAGTATGACTTTTTTTGAAACTTAAGTCTTGGAAATATAAATTTAATCGGACCTTTTAAAAAAATGTTTTTTTTTTAGAAACTATTTGAGACAGAGTTTACCATAAAGTTTTTTTGTATCTACTACTGGATAAATGAATTTGTAGATATAGTATGACTTTTTTTGAAACTTTAGTTTCGGAAATATAAATTTAATCGGACCTTTAAAAAAACATTTTTTTTTCAGAAACTATTTGAGACAGAGTTTACCAAAAAGGTTTTTTGTGTCTACTACTGGGTAAATGAATTTGTAGATTAGTATGACTTTTTTGAAACTTTAGTTTCGGAGATATATTTTTAATCGGACCTTTTAAAAAAAATATTTGTTTTTCAGAAACTAAGTATATATTTGAGACAGAGTTTACCAAAAATGTTTTTTATACCTACTACTGAGTAAATGAATTTGTAGATATAGTATGACTTTTTTTGAAACTATATTTGTGAGTTTAGTTTATTTAGGTACGTAACATAAATTTTCTATATAGACATTGACTGAATTCAATTGATGAGTTTTCGGACATTACATCTGAATTGTAATTGTCTGCAATTGTTTGTCATAGACGTCATAAAAGAATTTTCTGTGTTTTTTTGGATGTAATCTGTCCTCTGTGTTCGACTTTATTTTGGGATGATGGACCACCCTGTAACTGATTCAAGACGTCCTAACTAAATCTCTACAAAGGGATTTGTTTGTCCTTTTCAGAGATATGGAAGTTATAGTCTTTTTATAAACTTATGAAGGGCTGTACAAATATTGCAAAATGAAAATAAAGGAACAAACGATCATGTGATGCTTGTCAACAACAAATAAAGTCTTTAGGCCTAATTATCATTTAATTTGTTTTAGAAGCAATTAAAGAGCACTATCCGTATCAATATATTTTTGAAAATTATACTTACAATCATATTTTAGAAAATTGTACATTTATGAATCTATTGTCTAGGCAACTAGAAAAACACGTCTCCATATTTACATTTACCATGGGAATCTTCCTACTAATTTTTCTGTATTTAGGATTAGGTTTAAAAAAAAGTAGTTTAATGATAAAAAATGTATTGCTCTTATAACCTGACACCATAAAAATACATATATATATAAACCTAATTAAATAAAATGACTTCTATTAAATCTAATGAGTATATTATGTAAAAATAATTGATAAAATTTGTCTTATAATAAACTTCTTAAAGAGTATTAACATATATAGGTTTCCTAAATCTCTGAAAATTTCTATCTTTGTCACTTTTATTAGTCCATAAAGACTCAACAGCTATCTACTTGGTTCTTGGAACATAATTATCTAGTTCTCCTGTCCTCATCAGGTGTTTTTTGCTCTGCAAATGTCGCTTCAAACACGATCCAAGTCGGCTTTTAAAATTACAAATTTTACATTGATACACTTCTAGCAGTTCTCTAGGTCTGTGCGTTTCCAAATGCTTGATCAGGTTCTTACGATATTTTGATTCGAAACCACATTCGTTACATCTAAATAGATCCATCTCTTTTCTGTGCTTGTCCATATGGGAATACAATAAGCCCTTCTTATGTGTCTTATAGGAACACTCATTACATCCATACTTCTTGTCACTGCTCAAGTTATTTGTTTTCCTGACTAGAACCTGATGGACATCTGTGATGTGACGTTTTAAGGCATCTTTACCCATATACCTCGCTCCGCATGACTCACAAGCATATTTGATTATAACATCTCTAGAAATCCTATGTGTCAAATCGTGTCGCGTTAGGTGACCCCTTTGCCTTGTTTTGTACGAACATTTTGTGCAATAAAATCGTTCGTCGTCAGTTTTATGATGCATCTCCCTTACATGATGGTCTAATTGGAATTTTTGCTTGAATTGCACGTCACAAGAATAACAGTTGTGTGTGGTAATGAGGTGTTGTAATATGTGTGCCTTATATTTCTTTTTGCTTTTGGTTTTATAATAACATCTTTTACAGAAATATTTGGAGGTATTATGCTCTTGTTTAACAAGGCACTTGACTTCACTTCTCTCTAAACTATACACATAAGCATAAATTATTATTATATTTATTATAATATTTATTATTAACAAAAAGTAATTCATTTCTTACCTCAAATCGGCATGATATTCAGTATCAGGACTATGTAGAGTATCATAACAATTCTCTAATTTTACTTCTTCTATTTTTATATCGGTAATTTCATCGTGAGTTTCAAATGACCTTAAAAAGTACAGAAAATACTAAAATATTCAAAAAAAGACTATAACTTACTTCTCACATTTATCATAAGCTTCCTCATCAGTGACTTCCTCTTTAATTTTAGTTAAATTATAAATAATATCATCTTGAGGGTCATCGTACTCAACATCAAATTTTTCAATTTTTAGCATTGTACATTAACTATATATCTTAAGGTAAATTCGATATAAGTTCATAAAAGTTAGAATTACGTATATTTAATATTGACTTTAGAATTGTACCCCTTACACACAAATAAATTAATATTTAAAATGACTAGAAATAATTTCAAACGATAAAAACAATCTCAACATAGGTAAAATAATATCAATATCATAGGGTAAAACTTGCAAAGCTTCACATTAAATCGAAGACCGATATTTCACAATAACGGAAATATAAAATCATGTTACAACAAAATAAATAATAAATATATTATGAATTATCTTTTATCAACATAATTTTCTGTTCAAGGTAAACAAACATAACCAATTTTTGTGGTTACTAAAGGTCGGTTTACATTAAGAAGAATGTTAGATATTGGCATATCGGTTTTGTGGAACTAAACTTATGTTTTTTTATTCTGTATAGTTTCTAAAATACAAATTATCTTAAAAAATGTTTAAAGAAAAAAGTAAAAGTAGGTAGGTAATTGAAGAAAACCAATATTTTATTTTGGTTAATGTGACCCTTGTACGTGACATTAGTCTATGATGTGAACTCGGCTTTAATGATATCAGCTGATTGTCAAACTCTAAAATGTATGTTGCCAGACTGTGTTTTTTTACGTTAGTCTATGACGTTAGTTATGATACAAAATAAAATACCGTATGGCGTATCATCGAAAAAAAAAAACAAATTACACAAAAACTAAAACGATTTTGAGTTCCACATATTTAGAATAGCAGAAAAGACAAGGTTTTCTTATTACTTCTTATTTGATTTGTAATTTGTAAAATTGTTGCTTTATATTAATATCTGTATAGCTGCAGTGGGATTCTGTAAGCTCCGTTGCAAGAAATTTCCTGTCTAGCTTATGTTATTTGTATACGATTGATGAGTCACTAGACAGGAAATATGTTTACAGAATCAGGCCCCGGTATACTACGTACTATCGAAAAAAAAAAACGGCTCAAAGATGGCTGGGCCATGGTACCTAATGGATAACTATTTTTGCGAGGTCAAGCCCTAGACGTCATTCAGTTGGCCCAGACTCTTCTTTATTTTTTAATGGCGCTTCTTGCCATTAAGAAATAAAACCTGAAGAAATAGACGGTCTGAAGAAGGTTGAAATTTACTTTTATATTGAATAAAAATTATTTTTAAATAGTGTAGTTTAAATTTAGAGAAAAAATAATTTTTTGCGAATAGATTTGTGAGTCTTGAAACCACCCAGTATACATACACACTGCAGCTTGGACAAGCTCAATATGTTATCAACAGATAAGTTAATATAGCTATATTATAGTTTTGATTGTAAATTTTTACATTTTCTTTGAAACTGTAATTAAAGATATAATATATATTGTATGAATAATGCAGATGTAAAGTCAGGAAAAATAACTGTATGATAGGAAGTACCAAAAATATTAGTATTCTTTATAAAAAAAAATATATTGAAAATCAGTGTTCTAACTGAAAAATATTATAAAATTAATTAAAACGTCTTCAACTAATGATCAATAATTTTAGTTGCGGATAGGTGTATCTATTAATTTTTAACTCTATGGATGTATCCATGGGTGTATCCGTGATGTGTCACAATTGTCAGTTAACTGACAAATGCCTAAAAAACTGGAAACAAAAATTAAAAAACTGGAAACAAATTGTGTTTCATTTTCCAAAAAAAAATCAATATAAAGGATGACTCTTAAATAAGTGCAAATATTTTCAGGGCTAGTTTATTTCGACCCCAGAAACACGTCTATGAGGTTTTTTTCGCAAAAAAAATCGGAAAATTTGATTTTTTTTTGAAACTTTTTTTGAAAATTCTTTCAATTTTTAGTTAAAAAACACAATATCTTCTAATATGGCACCACAGATAGTAACAAGAAAGAAAACCCAGAAAAGATCCAGCGGTTCTCGAAATTTAAGCGAATAATCAATTTTATTGAAATTTGAAAAACGGTAAAGCGAAAATATGTTTCTTTTATCGAGATCCACCAGTCCTGAAAACACTTGCACTTATTAAAACTCGCCCTGTATACAGGGCGGTCCGAACTGTACTCCGGAAACTTCGGCAGCATATTCTGCAGGTAAAAATAAGTAAGAAAGTTCGTATAAATATATATGTCCTAAAATGCTTTGTTTCAGAGATACAGGGTGTACAAATTTCAGTTTTATTTCGATTTTTTTTTAAATAATTTATAAAGTAACTTATATTTGGATGAAAATTTTTGTCTGGGAGGTTTTTGACATGAGAAATTTGATTTTGAAGTCAATATGATCCTACTTGTAGAGAATGCCACCTACATATTTTTAACTTTTTTGATAAGTAATAACTTTTTGTCCGTACTTGTATAAAAATACTGAGTAAAAAAATTTACATTTTTTTTTACGTAAAAAAAGTCTCTTGGTAAAAATCGCTATGAGTATGGTTCTCGAGATATTTGAAATCAATATCTGTCAATATTATCAATATCTGTCATCATTGACATAAATTAAACTTGTTGACACTAAATAGTTATTAGACACCAATTTTCATCCAAATATTGACGATAGGTACTTAATTTAGTATTATACTTACTATAAATTATTTGGAAAAAAATCGAAATAAAAATGAAACTTCTACACCCTGTATCTCTGAAACTAAGCATTTTAGGACATACAATTTACAAACTTTTTTACTTATTTATTTTATCTGCAGAATATGCTGTCGAAGTTTCCGGAATACAATTCGGACCGCCCTGTATATTTTGTGTATAGTACATGTACCAGTGCGACAAAAAAAGTAGTGCAACAAAATATTATTAATCTGCTGGTCTATATTCTTGTGTCAGTGCCACGTAATTTTTAAAAAAATGCCTTTAACTTCAGAGCAAAAATCGATTATATTTATTATTTAATAGTTTTAATTTCACTAATTTGTAGTAGGCAAAAAATTTATAAGCCAGATGCAAGAATCACTAACTTTTTATACTACAGTTATATAATTATTTTTTGGCCCCTCTTTCTGCTACTCGTATTTTTGTTTATTTATATAATTATTTGTTTGCTTTGACGCTTTGACAGATAGATATAGCTATTTTGACAGATAAATTAGTGATAAGTATTATGGTTGAATTAAAATCTATAGTTTTGAGCGGCAATATAGTGAAATTATAACATATTAAAATAAATCTTACATGAATGACGGTCGTCTCGAGTACTGTACGTAAACTGTAATTCACCAATTAAATTCAACAATAATTCCTTATCTCGTATTTCTTTCTTTATATTTTTCTTCTCAGAATTATCTCTTTTACGGTTAATTTTATACACATTAATTCAACAAATACATTTTAGTCACACTGCATGAAAAAATCCCTAAATTAATATCAACGAACATTGACTGAATCATTGGTGGTACTTTACAGTGTCCAGTCTTCGTCTTATCTGAATGCATGGTAAAGTACCATACTCTCACACTATAAAACCTCGTACAGCTTCTGCACCAACATGCAGTTTGAGTTGTGCGTTATCCAAGACAAAATGAAGGTCTTTGTAGTGTTCTCTTTGATCCTAGCTGTAGCTTTTGCATATCCATATGATGTACCTCAGCCTGATGAAGAAATACATGAAGAATATCAACCCTCCACTGTTGTAGAAGATGAAAATGGCGAGCATTACTATTTGGTTCCATTGGGAAGAACTAAGAGGTATTATTAGTTCGTATTTTAAACATACATAATATACAGGGTGGTCGATGTTTATGTAGCAGGACGGTCGATAAATAAATAAAAATAATGTTATGGTCATTTCGTATCATTAGCGATTTGTTTTAAAGTTAACGATTATAACAAACTGTTTGTGATATTTATTGCCATCTTTTTTACAAGATATGTATACTCCATATTTTAAAGTTATTTTCCTCAGATATACAGGGTTATTTTGACAAAAAAAATGTTGTGTATATTTTCGGATTTGTCAAGTGGATTTATTATGAGATTTCATTTCTAAAATATTCTTCATTATTTTCAGCTAATTCAACCATTTCCAATTATTAAGGTGTAGCCTCCCTCACATATTTAGATGTTGAATGTAGAATGTAGAATGAGTAAGAGGGGGTTAATCACTGCGACCTTAAAGATCTATTGTGTCCCCCTTCCTTGAGTCATCACACAATCTATAACCCATCATACCCCTGTTGTGGAGGGGACAGGGTATTTCCCATCCTCCTTTGATAACAGTTCTTCCTCCGAGGATACACACGACCCTTCCACGGTTGGAGTTTGGCCCTCTGTGCCGCTCTTCACAGTCGAGGAGCTTGCCTCCGGCTGAGGAACCCATGAGGTGGAGGCTGGAGGATCTGTCTCCATTTTTTCCACCTCTTTAACTTGGTCTCTCCTCAGACTTGATACCGGTGTTGTCCCGTATCTATAATAGAAAATATGCCCCTCTTTCTCTATTGCCTCCTTGGATTTGAGGTCAATTCCTATTGTGAGGACCTATTTAGATACTCTCTTTGTAGTTGGGCCCATTGTTGTCTATTTTTGGCTATGCACGCCCAAGTTATCCCTGCTAATTTCCTAATATCATGGTCCAATCTCAGGTTCGGTCTTCTTCTAGGTCTCTTAATTCCTCGTGGGTACCATGCTGTAATTTGTGTGGTGCATCTGTGGTCGATTCTTCTTGCCAGGTGTCCTGCCCTTTGTCATTTGAGGGATTGGACTCTGTGGATGACAATTATTACCTGGATCTTTTGTCGTATCCACTCTATTCTTTTACGGTCTCTCTTGGTTCTTTCCCGTATATTTCGTTCCATTAAGCATTGTGCGACCTGCAGTTTCCTTATGATATCCGTTTTAAGTGTCCAGGTTTTAAGTGACTGGTAGTACACATTGGTTGAAATGTTCTTTTTCTTTAGATAGAGTGGCATTCTAGATTTTGTTTTTCACAATAAGGGGCCGTCCTCTGCCGGAAACACTGCGACCTGTGAGGCATATTGTGTTTGTCCTCTTTCTATATCTGCACCCATTCTCCTATCCCTGTGCCCTGCACTAACTTATGCAGGTCCTTGATAGGATGGGAGCATAGTTCCTCCGGTTCTAGCCTAGCTTTCCCAAATAAAAAGTGTCGCTTGCGATCCAGAGCCTCGCAGTGACATATTATGTGCTCCGCTGTTTCAGGATCTTTATCGCAGAGTCTGCAGCAAAAACTTCTTTGATACAGATTGAGCTTGTTCAGGTAACACTTGGCAGCCATATGTCCTGTCAAGAGGCCTGTTGTAATCCGCAATTTATTCCTGCTAAGCATTAGCAGTTCTTTTGCGGTTTTAGAGCTAGGTCCTTGGATAAAAGCCTTGCTGTGCCTGTGCCCCTGTCTGTTTCTTCAGTGGACATTCTGCTTTTCCCTGATCCAGAGTTTTAGTGCACTACGGTCCATACATTTGGGTATTCCCAGTACTGGCTCTGGACCAAGATAAGATGCCGATGATCCTTGCCTAGCTAGCTCATCGGCTTTTTCGTTGCCTTGGATGCCGCTGTGGCCCGGCACCCAGAATAATTTAATTCTGTTCCCTCGAGCCAGAGCTTCCAGTTCACCTAGGCATTCCCAGACGAGTCTTGACGATACCTTTCATAAGCGCCCCAAGTGCCGCCTGACTGTCTGAGCATATATTGATGAGCTTATCTGAATAAGCTCTTCTATTGTTTTCTCTCGCAGATTGTAGAATGGCGAAGATTTCTGTCTGGAATACGGTTGAGCGTTCCCCCAAGGAAAAGGATAAACTTACCCTTGGTCTTTCCTCAAATACTCCAGCTCCTGTTCTTTCAGCGGTCTTTGACGCGTCTGTATACCAGGTTAGTCCATCCTGAAGGAATGTTATATCTGTTCACATTCCTCGATCCATTTTGTTTACCTCGAATGGTTTGTGGTAGTGATAAAGAGGGGTCATTTGGTCCGATCTTCTCTTTCGGCATTCTAGATTTGAATAGGATTGAGTTTCTTCCATAAGTACTTTATGCTAACTTAATTCTTCTGTTGATTTCTGGTCGTAGAGATCCCGAGCTGTGCATTGGCTGTCCCAAATATATATATTCTTCTACTATTTCCAGTTATTTATTAGAATGTCTTTTCTATCTACTAGTTCGTTGTATGTACATTACTTTAGTTTTTACTAAATTCATTTTGAGACCTTGTGTTTGTAGTTCTTCAGAACTATTGAAAATTAGGACTATGTCATCAGCGAATCTTAGATGGTTTTTTTAGCAAATTAAACACTAATTCCACAATATTCCGTTTTGATCGCTTTTCTAATTTTAGCTTAGTTTAGAGTTTAAACTTCTTTACAATCTTTTGGTTGATATTATACCTCTGATTTTAAAGCTAAGGTATGGTATATCTTTTTTTTTCTTGTAGGCAAACTACCAACTGGCAGATACAAAGCCCTGGCATAGCTAGCCTAAGTCACAAAGGAACTATTTTGGATAATCCAAACCACCACCTCGACGGTTCTGGCTACGTGACCAAAGACTTACGTGGTCATGGATTAGCTCCAGATGCATATGGAGGTCGTGTGGATTACACCCACAAACCTACCGGTTCCAATTTGGGCGTTGGTGCTGATCATGCCAGAGGATTTGGTACTATTTTTAAAAATAATCAACAAATTAGTATTTCTAATGATTTTATCTATGTGTTTAGGAACGGACGTTACGGCTTCTGGTACTTACAATTTTCTGCACTCGAAGAGTGGCGATCTTGGAGTGACAGGTCAATATGGTAGACATTTCGGTGGGCCTGGTGGGACAGGTCGTCCAAATTGGGGCGTTTTTGTTGGCGGGAAGTACCGATTCTAAAAAATACAGTTTTTTATTGTAACTTAATTAATTTAATTTGCGAATTGTGATCTTTTCTATACAATAATATTAGTAAATATATTTATTTTGTTTTATAAACTTATTTTTTTTTCTAATACATTTGATTTCATAACACACTATAGCCAATCAATTTGGCACCTTAATCACTCAATATTTGTTATACTTTAATGACAATATTTTGGGAATATTACAACCGAGAGTAAAAAAAACCGACTCAAAAATTTACTCAAAGAAAATGTCTTCAACCCATCAGAAAAAAACCTACGAAGAAAGAAAGATATTTGACTAGAAAGCTAGGTTTTTTTAAAGAAGAGAAAAATAGGGTCATAAAAAATATATGCCATAATATTAAACACAGACTTTACCTACGTATGCAAAAATGTATAGACCTTAAGGGCGAATATTTGGAAAAGCAAAATAACACTTTGTTTCGAACTTGTTCGTTTCTGTTTCATTTTTGTATACGTATAATTGAGGAGTTGAAAATCAAAGCTCGTCGTATTCATTTTTGGTAATGTTGAGTAAAAATATACAGGGTGGCGCACCTCATTCGCCTCGGTTGATTATATGAAAACGGAAAGATGTAGAAACAAACTATTTTATGGGTATATGTGGGAAGGCAATGTGCATAATTGAAAATTATTTTGAAATGTACAGGGTGTGTCAGAACTAAGATCCATACCAAAGTTATATTTTTTCTTATGGAACACCCGGTATTTTATTTCATTTTTGGATTCTTGGACATAGAATAAGGCATTTATTGTAAGGGTTTGATATGTCTAAATGCTTTGGTTTTTGAGATATTTAAAGATATTTAAATATGCATGCTATAATAAAAGGTTTGTCAACACCTTGTACATTACTTTTCAGAATTAATTCTGGTGCTGACTTTCAAGCCAGAGAAATAAACTTAACTAAAAAATTTGATTGCTTCCTTAAATGTACACAGGGGTATCAAAAATTGGTGGTCTATTTTAACTATTTATTTTACATAAAAACTTCGTTATTTCAAATGCAACCCCATATAACACACAATATCCGCAGGATATTCATAGAATGTCGGAATGTCCCATTATAAGATCATCTTATAAAGACATCTATAGGATATCCTCCAGACATCCTAAAATCCTATAGATGTCTCAGAATAGAATATCCTATGGATATCTCTGTCGTATATCTAATGTACATCCAGCTGAGATATCCAAACATGCTCATGATAATAAAATATCCTAACAATATCGTCTAGATATTTAGGAAAAATAAATAATGTACTACTTTTTATATTACATAAAATGCAATAAACCATACAGATAGATATATATTACGTCAAGGCAACAAAATATCCTGTTGGTATCTTCTGGATAATCTGGATATTTATGAGCTTGGCCACTCCCAGTAATACAGAGAATTTAAAACGCCCGCGCCAAAAATTTACCACAATCCATCTCAACGGTTGTTTATTTTTGATGGTTTTTGCATCCTGTTGTAGCATTTTATTTAAAATTTACACAATTTAAATAAATGTACAGAATTATTTTATTTAAACAATTCAAGTTTAAGTCCTCGCACCGCGATGGCATTATAAGTATTGTTATTATCTTTTATTTTTTCTACAAGTTTATTTCTGGCTAGTTATTTCAGTCCGGTCGAAGTTGTTCGTCACTTTATTTCTGACGGTATAGGTATATACCTCGTGCCTACCTTTATCGCTATATTGGTGGTTGAAGCTGAACCCGATAGAATTATCGGCGTTTTTTTTGGCATTTTTGAAATTTGTGTGGGAAAACCCTCTGAGCGGAGGTAAGACTTTTATTTTTTTTACATAACGTTTCCTAATACCCTTTTTCTATTTGTACAGGGTTTTATTTTATGGTACGCATTTCTGGTACCATTTTGTTTATTGTATCTGACATTTGGGCCACGTTTGTCCCTACAATATACACGTTGAATAACGGAAGAATCTCCTGAATATACAGCATTTTCCGATCCTGTCTGTGTGGAGACGTTATAATAACGATCCAGTTCCAGCAGTTCACCACAACCAGCTTGTGACCAGAACGGATATAAAAGGCCAGATCATTTCTTATTATATAATTTAAGTTCACTTTAATGCTTTAAGCCCTTCAGGCATATTAGATATTTTATTACTTTAGAGTCACTTTGAAATATTTTATTCATGTTATGCATATTTCTGATATCTACATAGTACGGTTTTTTTTAATATAAAGAGTCCTTATATTTTGGTACCAAGATCGCCAGACTTTTTGCGGAATAATTAATAAAATATTAATATTCAGAAGCGTGCAGATTTAACTACCATCTTGAGTGATCTATTTTAATACATACTATTTACCAACCAACATTTTCAAACATCAAATTATTCACAGTCTTATTTTATTCTAATTAACATTTAATTATTAATTATACTTAGTTGTTAGTTTATCTCAGCGTTTCATTTGTGTAATTCCTAAATTAAGTAATACCTATATTCTGAGTTGATTTCTCAGTTCTCAACTTAGAAGTTTTTGAAAGTAAATGGAAAACTGAGTGGCGCCCAGTATATTATAAAGACGTAATTATCACAATTTAATTTTCACTAGCTTACGACCCATTGCTCACCGGCGAACAGCTCCGTCGCATAGTATTAGTTGTTTTAGTATTTTTTCTAAAAGAAAATTCTTATAAAAAAACATTCCATCATTTTTTTATAACTTCTAATGCTACACTGTATTATTCAGTTCTTTGAGTTAGTGAAATTCGAGGTGAATTCGGTCATTTGTCGATATTGGATGGGCTTAAAAATGACTCAAACTAACAAAACTGGTTGAGTTTGACTTAGTTTTTTCTTATACTCATAGTTCTAGCTAAAAATAGCTTGTTCTAGCAGAAATTATATCCTAACCTCAACTAATGTCGAAAAACGACGAACAACTCAGGGTCTCACGATAAAGAATTTGTGACAAAATTATAGGTGAAAATTTGTTGAAAATCGCTTGTTCTTTATCCCTAAACCCATTTTCGTGTTTGATCTATTCAAACAGAAATCCTATTTTTGGGTTTAAATTGTGAATTTCTGGAATGTGTGGTGTTAGAAATTATACCTGTATCCTGTGTGCTCACTTTGATGTAAACTGTTGCTGCTAGACATAAACTGCTAGACTCCATAAAGGGTAGTATAATCTGGTATAATACCATACGATCGAAAAAAACGGCATCAGAGGTGGCTTGAAAATGAAGATTGCTGTTATTTTGTACGTAAAATTATATGGGGAATGTCATCGATCGTAATTTTCAAGCCAATTGAACGCCATTTTTTTTCGATGGTACAGTATAAATTGAAAGCTTTTAACTCATACAAATAAACTTCTAAATTTTGACGCAAAATTCATTGACATAATATGTAGGTATATTTTAGAGCTGTTAATAAAAATATCCAATAAATAACGTCAAAATATGGCTAAATAAAACTAAATCGCGAACGTTTTTACTATAAACTAAGGATGAAGTAAGTGTTTGGTTTGGTCAAATAACAGTCCTCATATAATGTCCTAAAAATATTCTATAATGCTCTCAACATCATCCTTGTATTATCCTAGAAATATCCCAAATAATCGTAAAAGGCTTGCCTAGGGATGTCTTGAAGATGACTTTTTTTGTCCCACTTGGATATCCCATAAATATCCTCCTCTGGTGTTTGGATATCCCTAAGATATTTACTATATCCTTGGTGGATATCCTCAAGATATCTATAGGATTGTGTTGTGTTATATGGCACACTATGTATTTTTTTTAAATAAGTTGAAGCAGATTTAAATGCTCTTTCAAACTATATTAGGGTTTCTTATACCTATCTGGCTCAGATTTTGAATAAAAAGAGATTTTTCAATAAAATTGTAGTCAAGATGGCTGGTGTCGCCATGACAATTTTCTAGTGACACTTACTTAATAGTTATTTTAAAATCGACATTAGTTTATGGACTTTATTTAAATTTGTAACAGGTTATTTTTATTTAATTTACCTACAATAGTATTAATAAGTAAGTATTTATTATTTTATCAAGAAAAATGAAGCAGTATCTGCTGGCGATGGCGGAAGGAATGCATATGTTACTAGAGATTTTATTTTGTGAGAACAATTGCTTGTTGGCCTGAAGCGTTTATGCTCAAAGAATCCTCCTGATAAGCGTTCCTTTGAAAAACTACTTTTCCCATTTCGCAGAGCTGATGAAAAACCTAGGAAACTTGTCGTTGGAAGTGAAGAAAATTAATTTGCCTTAATTGGTTCTTTTATAGAAAATCCAATACATCTATACAAGTCATCGTAATATAACAATAACATGGAATAGAACTACTTCTTTATTTTTTTCTTTCTTAGCAAAATAATAAATGCTTCCTTATTAAACTGTTGTAGGTAAATTAAATAAAAAGTAAACTGTTATAAATTTAAATAAAGTCCATAAACTAATGTCGATTTTGAAAATATATGGCTACTAAGTTTTACTAAAAAATTGCCATGGCGACACCAGCCATCTTGATTACAGTTTTATTGAAAAATCGTTTTTTATTTAAAATCTGAGCCAGCTAGGTATAGGAAACCCTAATATAGTTTGAGAGTATTTAAATCTGCTTCGACTTATTTAAAAAATACATAGTGTTGCCTTTATAAAATATAACTTTGATATGGATCTTAGTTCTGACACACCCTGTACATTTCAAAATAATTTTAAATTATGCACATTGTCTCTCTACATAAATAAATATACCCATATAAAAAAAATATAAAAATATACCCATAAAATATTTTGTTTCTACATCTTTCCGTTTTCGTATAATCAACCGAGGCGAATGAGGTGCGCCACCCTGTATATACTTTAGTATTATAACTCATCCATTATACGACTATACGACTCATTCTGTCCTGTATAATCTTGTTAAAGTCGCGTATTTGTCCAAAACTAATTTCATCCACTATATTGGTAGCAAAACTTGTCATATCGAAATTACCAAAAACGGATAAGGCGCGTTTTGATCAATTAGTTTATTTCAGAAAATTTTGGGTTGCCTAATATTGAAGTTAATAAAAATATAAATAATTATTTGATATTTCAATTTAAATATTTCCAACCTAAACATATAGCAAATAAACCGATTTTACAGTGGAAAGAATTCCTTTATCTATTTCGGCCAAAATAAATATTGGATTTTTATTAAATCCAACTAGTTTTGTGCTACAAAAATAATGTTATTATTAAGTGTAATATTTAATCTAAAATAAAAGAGTGGAATCATTACTTACTTTTGTTAACATGTAAGTACTATTTATTTATTCTTGGTTTACCGAACTGAACCGAGAATCAGGGGTGGATGGGCCATATGGGAAAACGGGAAAATTCCCGGTGGGCCGGAGGGCCGGTCCCGATCAGAGCTCAAAAAAAGATTGGATTAGCAAAAATTAAATGGTTAATCTTCTAACTAAAGTGACGTAAGATCCTTAGTGACTCCATACCTAACTAATCAATTTGCATCAGTATAATCGTCAGTTGCTTTTAAACATAAACACCAATTTGTAAAATAACTATTGTAAAACGTCTTTCTCTGGGACACTTATAATTTTAATAATCATCTGTTGTTTGTTCGGTTTGAAAATTTTTATCATACAAGGTGAGTCTATAAGTGCAAATATTTTCAGGGCTGGTAGATCTCAATAAAATAAACATAATATATTCTCTTTACCGAGTTTCAAATAAGTCCCCAATCGAGTTATTAAAGTTTGGAAATTAAAAAAAAATAGATTTATTTTTAAAAAAAATTGAGCCACCTCAATTTTTCGGTATTTGCATCTCTTTTAGTGCCGTAATATCAGAGATTAAGAAACTATACCGTGAGAGAAAATTTGCGGTGAACAGGAAGTTCTAAAAAGTTTTCTAAAAAAAATGCTCGATTTTTAACATCTTTTTGTGCAAAAAACCTCATAGACGTGTTCCTGGGGTCGAAATATACCACCCCTGAAAATATTCGCTCTTATTTAAGACTCACCCTGTATAGTTTTACCCACTATTCTTTTATTAATAACTAATAAGTATGATTGACCGGCAGCAGAAAAAAACTGAATAGCATTAGGTAAATTTAAATAGTCTCGATCTAAATGTATACTAAGAATACAGTAGTGTAGATTGACAACTGGGGGTCTCGGTTTGGTTTGGTTTGGTTTGGTTGCGATTTTTTCGAGCTCCCCTTTGTAAAAAGGTAGATGAATTTAACGCGAACTCTACGGTTGAGGGAGAAAACACATCTATGCTTGGTTTGAATTGGGGAGGGACTAAAAGCCAAGTCTGGGAACTAAAAGCCAAGTCTAATTTGTTGTTTAAAATGTTGCTAAAATAAATTTGCTAAAAATTACTGAGACAGCAGAGAAGAGTTAAATAAGGTTTAAACTAGATTAGATAATAAAATATTAATATGTCTCGAAAATCCAAATATTCTTATATCCTAACATAGCATTATATCTAGGGTTCCCAACTTGAGCATCGGCGATTCCGGGACAATTATTATTTTAATAAGCTTTTAAATAATTGAAACAAAACATTAAATATTAGAAATTAAAATATATTATGTGTGTAGTACACACTTTTTTAGTTTCCAGGTCCCGGCCAAGGCAAAACTTTCGCCGGAACAAACTTTCTGATTCCTGGTTAATCTCGGCCAAACCGGGACGGTTGGGAACCCTAATTACATCAGAACACATTTATATCCACTGCCTAGGTATTGCCTAGGTTTTTTTCGTTTGAGTCAATATGGCATTATCATACAATATGCTAAATGCAGAAAAGTATGGAGGAAAAGTTTCGTGATAAGAACTATATAATAACTTAAAAAATGCTGTAGTTTTAATTAATGGCGACCGCGGTTCATTCAGTTAAAAACACGTAGTATACACGACGAGGCTGCTGATGAGGTAGCAGAAAAGAGAGAATTTCTTTCTACAATGTGTAAGAAAGTATATACCCGAGAGGCTAAAAGTAATGTATTTCACAGAGGATAGGGTCAGCTGAACTGAATGAATCAGGAAGTATTAAAGTTTCTCAAAATCGTGACTCAAAATCGTAGCCTATTCAAGATCAAGTTACTGTTATCGATAATGGAAATAAAGCAGATGTCCGACCCAATATTGGTCTTTACGAAAATTTTGATCAAGAATTTTTTTTTAAACCGGAGGCAAAAGAGCTTTTCCGCACGAGCGAAAAACACCCTTATATATTAATAAATAAAATATGTTTCTTCGTTATGGTCATTTAGTTTTTGTAGATTTGGGCCGGTTGCCTGTTTTTCCCGCGTCGGTTTCCACTTCCCCATCCGCCCCTGCCGAGAACGAATAATATATTTCAGAATAATAATAATTCTACTACAATTAAAGAATAATAAATAATTGGGAATAAAGAAGTTTCACTCCAAAAAGTCAAATAATTTAGCTACAAATTTCTTAAGAGATCATCAAAATCGGTCCACTAGAACTTAATATATCTTCTTCTTCTTCCAGTGCCTATTGCCTATCCTCTATAGATGTTGGCAATCATGTTGGTCCATATAATCCTATTGACAGCCGCCCTGAATAAATGTACGGTCGTCATTCCCGTACACTGTCCAATATTTTTCGGCCATGATGTTCGTCGGCGTTCCTGATCTATTTTGACCTGCAGTATTAGTTGGATAAGTTGGTATTTATCACTACGCATCACATGCCCAAGCGTATGCCATTTTTCTCACTTTCACACTATGTATATTTTCTAGTTGTTCACAAAGTAGAATTTGCTCTCTTAGGAAGGGGAATAAATGAGGAAACCAGTCAGTCTCTAGGCAATTCTCCCGTTTCGTATATTTTATTGAGTAGCTTCAGGGCCGGCGGAAAGGAAATATCGAGACTGGGCAAATAATCTACCTGGCGCCCCCCCAATGGTTAACGTGTTACAATAACATCTAAGCATGTTTATGCTACTTTAACAATAAAATTTCACTTAAAGGTACTTCAAAATTCTTCTCTTCGTTCAATCTTAGTCCGCGGTGGTTTTTTCTATACCGGGTGCATCTTGAAAGTGACTCACCCCTCTCTTTTATTTTCTTTAGATAAAAAACAAAATTTGGTATGACATAAATTAGGAATGATTGACGTATTCAATTGTTTTTCATCGCTTCCTATTTCAACGAAAAGCTATTGATTTTTAAATGGCACCGTCGGTATATTTCTGGTTTATTCTATAGAAAATGACACTCTGAGTAGAATGACATATCATATGTCAACTTTTGACATTTTTGCTCAAAAAATCGTATTTTAAATTTCAATCTAGAATGCCATGGCTGTGTTAGAAACACCTATTTTTAAACAATTAGTCTTTGAAAAATATATTTGATCGTCTAATGTTTTTCGTATCTTGTCCTGGTCGGTTAAAAAATGCCCAAATCGAATTTATAATCATATGCCAATTTTTTCAAATGGAACAAGTGGCTCATTTGCATATTTGGAAAAAAAAATTTACGAATAATTTTGTACCACAGACTTGATATTTCGAGTCAAATTGTCGTTATGAACCGTATGTTACAATTTCAAATAATCCATATGCGAAAATGTCAAAAGTTGACATATGATATGTCATTCTATTCAGATTGTCATTTTCTATCGCATAAAGTAGAAATATACCGAGGTTGACATTTAAAAATCAAAAGTTTTATTAATTTCCGGTGAAAGAGGAAGTGATCAAAAACAAATGAATACGTCAATTAATCCTAATTTATGTCGTATACTTACATACCAAATCTCGTTTTTATATATTATATAGGAGTGAGCCAGTTTTGAGACGCACCGGGATAAATGATAAGTATAAGTGATCTTTGAAAACATTACTATTTAGTTCCAAGATGCATAAGAATTTAAGAAAAATTTCTTCTCTTTCTCACAATCAATTATTTCGTGCAGAATTAGTATAGGTATGATCAGATACAGTTTTGTCGGCTTCAAAATGAGGATTAGCCAGTGTTTGAGATTTAAGATGCATTCATTTGTCTTGCTTTAATGAGAAATTTCTACGATTCCGCTACCATTTACCATGTATAACTAGATATTCAATCCAGAACAATCAAAATCACCAAAAGATTGATAGTTTTCCCACTACTGTTAATAAATTAATGAGGCAAACTTACAAGCTTTTTTTTTTGATAATAGGGATATCGGGATCCTATTTAGCTTCTTGCGAATGAATATTTGTCTCATATAATTTTAGGGTAGGTCAGCCATTAACAAATAATGGGTGCGGGTAGTAGACAAAGTGCAATTTTGAGCAACAAGCAGTCTAAAACTGTCAATTTTGCTGGCTCTTGACCCAAAACAGTTTGTTTAGAGAAAATTTATTAAAACAAGAATTATAGAAAGAAGGGTTATTTACAAAAAGTTGATAGCATTTCAGTTATAAGTAAAATACCACGAACAATATTTTTAAAATATTTTAGTTGCTGGCGTGGCGCCCCTCACATTCGGCGCCCCGGGCGGTCGCCCGGGTCGCCCAGCCCTTCCGCCGGCCCTGAGTAGCTTTCTCAGCAGTTTGAGTTGGTTGTCTTCCAACAGCTTCAGTATTTCTGCTTGAACATTGTATGGTCCAGTTGCTTTGATATTTTTTAGCCGTGTTATTGCGTGCCGTACCTCATCTAGTGTTATTTCTGGACCTGAATCAGCATGTAATGGTTTCCGCCTGTTGCTCCTCCTCGAACAGCTATCCCACAATATATAAAACTTTAAAATACATCAACATTTTAAGGTGCCCCTTTTTCGTGCTGGTGAGTATAGCAACAACGAAAAATAAAGACGCGACGTTTGAAATAGCTTGGATATGAAGATCGCTGTCATTTTATATGTAAATTATATAGAGAATGACACCGATCATTATTTCAAACATCGTTATTTTATACAGGTTGTCCCAGAAATAAGTGCAAATATTTTAACTGGTAGTAAGTATAGTTCAACTCCAGAAACACCCCTATGCGGTTTTGGTTTGGAAAAAAAAATAAAAAAAAAAATTAAATTTTTTTGGAATTTTTTTTAGTTAAAAATCATAATTTCTTGATAATACGGCAACTTAGGTATTAGATTAAATTTGCAAGAAAGAAAATCCAGAAAAGATCTAGTGGTTTTCAAAATTTTTGTAAAAAATATTTTTTTTGGAAATTTTCAAAGCAAAATAACTCCGTTATTTTGGACTTATTTGAAAAACGATAAAGACAAAATATGTTTTTTTATCGAGATCTACCACCCTTAAATTACTT